GCAGCTGTTGTAGCTGCAATCGCAGCAGCGACGTCGCCGACGGAGGCGGCGGCGGCGAGCAGATGAAGAAACTCAGAACCGTTAGAAAGCAAGCAAGCAAGCAAGCAAGAAATGCAAAACAAAGCCCACTTTAAGCAAATTTCTAGAAAGCAAAAACTAAAACAAAAAAAACAAAAAGAAGAAAAAGTATCTCCATCTTGTATATTGAATTTGCCAATCCCGAACATCAATGAAAATCCAAGCGGAAATCCCAAGAAAAATTGATACGAAAATGTTTATAAATAGAACTGTGAGATTGTGTTTTTAAGGTGTTGACCGTACAACGGTTAACCGGCGTGCAAACACTTTTCAAAAAGCCCCCATATTTACGACTTAACCCTTAGCTCTGACGAATTCAATATGCTCGATGACGCTACTCTCTAAGTACATATAATAAATATTAAGATTTAAATCGAAGTAATGCAAAAATAACACAAAAAGAAGAAAAAACAAAAAAAAAAAATTAAATATATATATATATACCTAAACGTATATATATATATATATATAGAATTATATACGATTGATTATTGTAATGATGTTTAAGATGTTATAGCTATGTGACCGAAATGAGAGAAAATAGGGGTAAAACCAAGCAACCAACCACACAAGTAACAAACAAACAGGCAAATGAATATTATTACCTATCTACATACCTTTACCTATATCGATTTAAATATAAATACAAATATATATCTATATATAAATATATATATATATATATATATAAAGTATATACAAAATATTAAAAATAAAATATCTACAAATTTACGGATACAAATACAAATACATAATAATGCAAACCAACTAAGTATAAAAAAACAAAAGCAAATCTAAAAAAAACAATTGCACTTTATTTCTTAATAATGAAGAAAATCCCATTTAAGTGTTTGGACAAATTGTGTATTAAAACAAAAAAGCAAATGTCAAATTTGGTCGTTTTATTCCGGAAAAGCTTTACGTATTATGTTATCCTTTGATATGAAGCGTCTTCCACTTAAACCAAAGAAAAATCTATTTAATTTCTATTTGTGTGTTAGTAGTTAAGGGTAAAACCTCGCAGTTAAACACAATAAGATGGATTCATTGTTATTTATTCATATTTCGTTCACATTGCTCGATATTGATTTAATAGAACGTTTAAGCGACTTATACGACGACTTTGAATTTTGTACAATATTTCGTATTTAGCTTCTTGTGTCAGGAACTTTGATTTACCAGGACCCTCGTAGAACTCGTCGCCAGACATTTTCGTGTAATTGATAGAGCCAAGTAAGCCCTGAACATATTTCTCTTTATGCTTTATGCTTTGGCAATCTGGTTTCTTAGATTCACACTCAGATTCCGCATCAATGATTTCCATTTTCTCTCCATTTGTTTCGTCTTTCTTTATATTATTATTATTAATTTCGAAATCTCCACTTTTTTGTTTAATGCTGCTTTCGACTGATTCGTTTGCCATTGTGGATTCATCCAGGAATCCATTCAATTCCAAATACTTTGCGATCATTTTATAACGTTCGATTTCCGTTTTCAATTTGGCTGTCACGGATATATATTCGGAGAATGCATGATAGCTCAATATCAGAACTTTGTCGCAAAATAGATGCTTATAGTGCTTAGATGTCAAGACAGCGGACACCTCTTTAATAAGGTTCTTGCTATCAAAACTGTGGCCCAATTCAAATAGATCAATCAAATCCTCCACCTTCATGGATATGGCCCGTTCGGTTAATATGTTCAAACAGTCGTCCATTATGGATGGCACCAGCCACCGATTTCCGCACACAAACAAATCAATTATCGTTTGCGTGGTGCACTCGTTCAGGATATTCTTTTCATATGTGTATATATAGTCTCGGAATATATTGAACGTGATCGGTGATATGTCCTCCAGGTATATTCTGCCGGAAATCGCTTCCTTGAAATCGCCCAGAAACATGCGCTTGAAAAACTCAGAGGCATGCGACAAAATAAGTTTGTGGCACTTGAATGTTGTGGCGCCGACAATAATAACGCAATCCGTAAAGTTGGAATCATTGCTCATATTTCTAGAAGTATCCACCAACCTTAAAATAGATCAGTCAATATCAATAAAAATCATGCGTACAAGTATCGCAGTCAAGCATACCATTTGCTCATGGCTTCGAAAATTAAAAAAAAAATTCAGAAAATATTAAAAACAGAATAGGAAATATTGTCTAAGGCCAAGATTAAAAGTCACATCCAAATTTATCGCAAAGCTTCCAAAAGTGCTGGAAAACGCCGAACACCGCTTCGATAAATGCGAGAATGAGGTTAGAAATTATGATCGTATAAAAACTTTTCCACTATAATTTGATAACAGCTCGCAAGTAAGCAATCGACTTTTAATTAGATTCGAGATTTAAAAACATAAGACGTATTTTCTTTAATACAAGCATATTATTTCCTTAATTTGATTTTCACAGCATTTATTTGTTTTACAGCACTGACAATTTCTTCAATTCAACCTCCATGGAAAAGTCAAATATTGGTAAGTATTGATTAAAAGAAAACTATTTAATTACTGTTTTAAATGCAGCAAAACAAGTTGATAAAAACGTTTATTTAAAAGAATATTTCAAAAATAATTGTTGGTTGATTTAAAAATCCTTAAGTGAAATCATAAAATCACATGATATTACAATAATTATATGGGATTGGTTTCTTTTTTAAGCCAAGCCAAAGTGAAAGAGTCCTCGGATAACAATGGGGAAAGCGTTTCCCAAACCAACTTATGATAGTCGTTGAGTAACTTAATTTCATCTTTGGTCAGAAGCTCCTTGATTACCATTTTCGTCTGTTTTGGGCACATGGTGATGGTTTTAAAAGTAAGAGCACCACGGTTGGCAAAATTGTGCTTTCCTTCTGCTGGAACAATTTGTACAATGTCCTCAATGCGTATGCCAAACTCTCCATCTTTATAGAAGCCGGGCTCGTTTGAAATGAACATATTTTGCTGTAGCCCGGGGTCATCGGGCATTGGGCGGAAGCCGACACCCATTGGGCCCTCGTGCACGTTCAAGAAATGTCCAATGCCGTGGCCAGTGCCATGGCCATAGTCTAGGCCGACATCCCAGAGGGCCTTTCTGGCCAACACATCTAAAACTTGGCCCTTGGTCTTCGTTGGAAATACTGTTGAGCCGAAAGTTAGTTGACCCTTAAGAACACGCGTATAGGCTTCTTTTTGAAAGTCTGTGGGATTGCCAAAGTGAAAAGTTCTGGTTACATCAGTTGTGCCATCCAAGTACTGGGCCCCAGAGTCACATAGATAGATTTCCTTGTCGTTGATGGGCCGGTTCGTCTCCTTCGCTGGATGGTAGTGTATGACCGAACCGTTGGGACCCGAAGAACTAATCGTGGTAAAGCTGAGACCCATATAGTTGTCTTTAGTTTTTCGAAACGACTCCAATTTGTCAGCGCCAGACATTTCATCAACATTCTCTCCCCGCGCCACGGCAGATTCCAGCCAGGCAAAGTACTGGCACAGCGCCACGCCATCACGTATGTGGCTCTTGGCAAATCCTTCGATTTCTTTGTCATTTTTGATGGCTTTAAATATTGCAATCGGCGTGATATCCTGATGTCGAGCCGATTTCGGCACTAGGCAATTTAAGTAAAGGCTGCTTGTTGGCGATATCCATATTTTTCCGTTAGTTTCAGCCGCAATTTGACGTACGCCATCGCCAATTGATTCATAGGGATGAATTAAGATCTTAACGTTATTCTCACACAGATGAGCTTCAAAGTTATCTGGAAGCTTGCTGGTGTCGATATACAAGGCTATTTCATCGTGTGTTACGATCATAAATGCAAAGAATACAGGATTGTAGGCAATATCCGAGCCGCGCATATTAAGGAACCAGGCTATCTCATCCAATGCGCTGACAACTAGAGCGTTCGTGTTGTGCTGCTTCATTTGGTCACGAGTGCGTTCCCATTTCTTAGCTATTGCCTCGCCGGCAAAGGATAAATTCAATGTGATGAGATTGTTGGATGGACGCGGCGGTTGATCAGCACCCCAAACCTGATCAATTAAATTTTGCTCGATGCCCACCAAATTACAATTGGCCGCACTCAGATCCTTCTCAATGGTTTTCGCTGCACGAAATGAGAACAATCGTGGATCAACGCCCACAGCACTGCCTATGGGCAGATTCTTGCCCAGCCATGTGCCAATCGAAGGCGTTGTCGCCAGTCCGTCCTTAACCAACTCCCAATTGGCATCGAGCTGCTTATCAGCCTGCTGATAATAGCGCCCGTCTGTCCACAGTAGCGCCTTGTCCTGAGTTATAACCGCAGTTCCCGCCGATCCAGTGAAACCGCTAATAAATGCACGTCTCTCGTCGTGGGCACACTGATATTCGCTCTGATGGGCGTCATCTGATGGCACCACATAGGCACTTATTCCAGCGACTTCCGGTGCATTCGCGCATTGCATCAGCTCCCTGAGCTTCGACAATTTCTGGGTTGTGGCTTTCATTTTGCCTCTTACTGTTGCACTGAGCACGTTCGTCGCTTGGATAGCTATAAATATAGCCGGACAACTCTGAGATAAGTGTAATAGGATCTGATAAGAAGCTAATCGTAAATTATAAATTGTGTTCGACAACTGCTTATTATTTCGCAGTTGCAGTCGTAAAATTTTTCTCTTTCTAGCTTGCTTTTTGCGTGTGCTCAATTTAAGTGTTGATAAATGCAACAAAAAAAGTTATCGATAACAAGCACTGCTGGAATTGTTGTAATCTACACCCGGTATAAAAATATATATATATATATTTTTTTTGGTTTGAGGAAGACAGTTGCAAGAACTGTCTACGTGGTTGGTTATAAAAATAAATGTGAAGAAAATCACGTATTATAAACCTGTTTATTACGTATTTCTGCGCATTGTAAACATAACGAATATATTTTTAAACATATACTACACTGATCTTAATTCACATAAAGCTGCGTCCGAACGCAGGTTGTGGAGGGCTTCTTTTCATAGCAATTTTGTATAGGATGTCGTATTTGGCTTTATATGTCAGCAATTCAGATTTACCGGGACCACTGTAGAACTCATTAACACTCATTTTTGTATAGTCTATGGAACAAAGTAAAGATTTGACAAAATCAGCTTTAAGCTTTCCTTTAATCTCGCCGTTTGCGTTATCATTTTTCACTGGCGCTTTTTGGGTATCTGGTTCTGTTTTGTTGTTTTCTGCTTTATTATTCAGTTCATTCTCATTATTGTCAAATTGAGTCATAGCATTTATTTCACGCTCTTCTTTATCATTTATATCCTTCAGAAATCCATTTATTTCCAGGTACTTTTCAATTATCTTATAACGTTCAGTTTCCGGTTTCATTTTGGCAACCGTGGTGATATATTGAATAAAAACATCCGAACCAAGTAGAAGGACTCGTTCACACAGCAACTGACCGGAATGTTTAGTCATCATAAGAGAAGTAAGTGTCTGAATGAAGGACTTATTTTCATAGTTATGAGCAAATTCATAAAGCTCAATAAGTCCGTCCAGATTCATGGCTGTGGCACGTTCGGACAGCAAGCTCAGACAGTCGGAGGTTATTGACGGCACCAGCCATTGATTACCGCACTCGTATAGATCCATTAAATCAGCATTTTCATATCCATTAAGCGTTTGATTGTTGTAGCTGTAAACATATTTACGAAATTTTTCAAAGATCTCTGGCGTCACATTCTGTAAGTGAATCTCCCCAGAAATAGATTCCTTGAAATTACCCAACAGCATGCCCTTAAAGAATTCTGAGGCGCTAGCCAAAATAACTTTATGGCACTCGAAAGTTTTAGAGCCTACGATAACACGACAATCCGCAAACTCCGTAGATAAGCTACTGAGGACAGGCGCCAACCTTCAATAAAACGCAATTAGCAGTCTTTACTTTAAAAATAAATAGAAGCAAGAGTTACCATTTGTCCATTTCTTGCTGCTATAAATAAATACAGTTTTCTACCGATACGAGTTCCTTTAAGAAGTTTTTAAGATTCTGCAAAGGTTGATAAAACCACTTTGTTTAGTCTTAAAAAAATAAACAATATTAAATAATATAAAATCAAGATTGTTTGCGCCCGCGATCATCTAATACACATACTAGTAAGCTGCGTATACAATAATGATTGTCTTGCGCATGGGGTTAATTACACCTGCAAAATCTAAACGACAGTTTTTCAAAAGTGATATTTCCATTCACCAAATACTTGGAGCACATCTAAATCTTTGGCTTAGACTATTAGTTCTGGACACTTTTATAGAATACATCGATAAGATTATTTTTTGTATACGGCCGATAAGCGGTCTATTTAACCACATTTGAAAAAAGGGTCTAATTCAATTTACGAAAACTATGCCAAGGTACAAAAAATTGCCAAAGGTTCTACTAAACTTATTAATTGAATAATCAAACGTACGCCTTGATAATGTTGAAAGCTTACAAACGATTCTATCGATATTTCAATCGATAGCTTTTCTGCACTACTAGTTAGTGACTCTAACCATTCCGTTGCTTGCTCTTCGCACGACAAGTTCAGTGGCTAAAATTGTATATTTAATTAGTGTTCTATATACGTTTCTGAATAAGCAAAACTCAAAAATGGTGGTCAAAGCTGTATGTGTTATCAATGGCGATGCCAAGGGCACAGTTTTCTTCGAACAGGAGGTAGGAGACTGTGTATTATCTGTTTTTAACGGGAAACAAATATGGCAGCCAACAAAAACTAAGGTCAATTAGCCGGCCGCACCGCACCACACCGAGCTAATAAATGTGTATGCTTGTACGAATGAAGAACTTTTATGTACATATGTACTTGTGTGGGTATATGTACATATGTGATTGTAGACTGTTGCGGTGCTACTTGAATTTCAATTGCGTGTAGTTTGCGCTGTGTCATCTGATAAATGCATAATTATATAAGCACAACAACATTGCACACATGTATGCATGAAATGCGCAAGTGTGTGTGTACAGTTAAAGACAAACGGCGAAAATTCAATTCGCCCTTCTACTCACGCTTCGGTGTCGCTTCTCTTATACCGCATACATACATACTTACTCTTGGCTTACCTATTCAATTGTCTTCTCGAATAGGGGATTAGAATCTGACCTTAATTTTAACCTACCTTTGCCCACCGATGTGGGTGTCATCATGGTTAGTTTATTCTGCTTATCAGCTTGTTGAGGCAGCATTATAATTGTTCCCATTTTGTTTTACTCTATTCGTATCTGTTTTTGATCCACTTCAACAGGGCGAGGGTTGCCCCGTGAAAGTTACCGGAGAGGTAACCGGCTTGGCAAAGGGTCAGCACGGCTTCCATGTGCATGAGTTCGGCGACAACACGAATGGCTGCATGTCATCGGGACCGCACTTCAATCCCTACCAGAAGGAGCATGGCGCACCGACCGACGAGAATCGCCATTTGGGCGATTTGGGCAACATCATCGCCAGTGGCGACGGTCCCACTCCTGTGGACATCAGCGATTGCAAGATCACATTGCTCGGTGCCAATAGCATTATTGGACGCACTGTTGTCGTGCATGCTGACCCCGATGACCTGGGCAAGGGCGGCCATGAGCTGAGCAAGACAACTGGAAACGCAGGCGCTCGCATTGGCTGCGGTGTCATTGGCATTGCCAAAATCTAAACAACTTTAGAGCTTAAAAGCATTTAAAGCAAATGCCTACATATTATCCCACATATATATAAATATTATATATGGATTTAATCTAGTGTATCTATGGCGCGTAATTACGGTTTAAACTTTCTATTGGATATATACGTACATAAAAGAGATTTTCCTTTTTTAGTTGTTTAAAAACGACCTTTAAGGCAATAAATGGTGTTATCTAATTAAAATGTACACAACTCACTGCTCTCACTCAGCTAAATATATTAAATATGTTACACAGCTGGAATTGATATCGGCAACAATTTTACATACTAGTCCAAACATTTTATTGGTTTCGAAATTTTACTACAATTTTTCGTAAACAATATACGTATATAAATTAGTAATATTTACAATTCTTGAAATCCAATTAGTCAAAGCTATGACATCACGACGAAACAATATCAACGGGTTTAGAAACAAAAACAGGATTTCTAATTTAGAATATGGGTTTGGTGGTACCGCATATTTGTACTCAAATGGCTTCAATTATGTCTTGTTGAAATAGGACTGATAGACGATGCCCAGGGAAGAAGTCGCAAAGAGAGTAAAGTAGCTCCACCAGGTGGCGAAACCCAGAAAGCCCTTGTACACTTCCGTAGAGAACACCTGAAAGTACAAATAGCTTAGGGAAAAAACCAACTATTTGAAATTAAATCTCTTACATTTTTCAAACTAGCAAATGAGGCTTGCAACGACTGCGCAGATTCCAAAATATTAAACTCGGCTTCAATATTGCTGTCTCTTGGTGTTGTGGCCAATTCCCCATCGGCGGCACATTCATGTTGCAGCACAGCCGTCTCTTTAAAGATGCCCGTCCAGGTGAAGCCGCCCAGGCTTTTGTACATGAGCGTCAGATAAAGGCACAATATCAGCGGTGCAGCAAATTGTAACGTAACAACGCAAAGATAATAGAAAATAGATGAGATCTGCAAGGCAAAGACAATATATCAATCGTTTATTATGCATAGCTTTCTCAGGCTTGCCTTCTTTTGGAACTCCACGTTGGTGATTCGTCCAGCCTCTTTGCGTAGATCAAGTATCCTGTCGTAGGCCAAGTTCAGATACGATTGCAAATAGATGGGCATCAGTGCAAAGCGCACAATGACCACAACGACTACCAGCAGCAGGCGCAAAGTTTCAAAAACATGCGGCTTTAGGCTGCAAAAATGTAGAATAAGAAAACAGAATCAATCAATTTGTTGTAGTTCCTGGAAGATCTGGTCACTTACAGCGGCTGCTGCATGCCCTGGAAAACGCGCACCGTCAAATAGTCGCGACTAATGGGTCTTATCCACAATATGACTAGTATAAAGGGCAGCACAAAACTAACATTTAGTACAACTTGCAGCATGCGATTGCCACGACAATATTTCAGCGAATCCCAATGCATTTTGGCCATGCGCAGCCCGGGAAATGTGAACAGGGAGCCGAGCACACCGCAGCTCAATGCGAGAAAGAATTTGACAACAATTTTGGACGCTGGGCCACTAAAAAAAAATGAATATAGAGTTATTAAATCAATTTAACTAGGAACATATATGTTTAAACGCACGATGACGGCAGACCCTGCTCGGTGAGAAATTTCGACGCGCTGGCATTAAAGCTTGTATAGGCATCCTCCAGACCCGTCTCCAGTATGCGCTCGTCAATGATAAGCACAATCATGGCAATTAGTAAATAAACCAGACAGGCCACTATCACCATGGAGCGCTCCCCGATCGATTCCTCGCTTTGGAAATACAGAACAGTCAGCGAGGACAGCAGTTTGATGGCAAAGAAGATGACCAGCAGACACCAGACCATGCTCAAATTGATTTCATGCTTGAGCGGATAAAAGTAGTGAAAGAGCTCGGAGATGATATACACGATCGCAGTATAAACGCTGAAGTCCAGCAGCCACTGATATTCGGTAAAGTAACGCAAATGTATCACATCCCGCTCCACTACAGGCAGCGTCTCCAGATCCACTTCAATGCTGCGTGGTATGTGAAACTGTTGCGAGGCGTTGCCATTGCTCAAGCCGTTTTGCTGCTTGTGCTTGCCCTTGGCGGGACGATCCTTTGGCACGCCGCCCTTCGTGCGCAACTCGTCGTCCGTGGGATGCAGATAGCGGAACAGCCCGGTGCGGCACAGTATCCATTTGGCAAAGGAATAATGCGGACTTAATTTCTGTATGACGCTGACCATTACCAGCGTAATGACTAATTGGGCGCCCAGTATGGCCTAGAAGCATATAATTACCATTAAGAATCACAGCCAACAATTGTTTCTGTCATATATGTATATAAATATTTTTGGGTCAATTCTATTTTTGGTCAATTATTATGTACATTCCATTTTTCCGGGCAAGCTTTGCCCTTAAGTTTTATGGTTCGCGAAATTTCTTACCATGATTTTGTGCTGCGATGTGTTATGTGTCGTATGTAGATGCGGGCATGTAACGAAACGTGCTAATTGATGTTTTAATTAATTCATGTTTCCTAATTAAAAGAAGTAATGTGAATCTAGTTGTGTTTTACCGAATCGCTTGGAACCTATTGGATCGAACGACTACTTCAAATGAACTGATAGCTGGTTCCCATTGTGTGCACTGCTTGCTGAATATTATGTTAGCGGCAACTTAACATTTCAATGTAGTTAAGACCAGTATGTACTGCTATTATCGATATATTTCAATTCAAGTTTACCTGTAAACATATCGATATGTCAATATGCTTATACATCCCTGATTGATGCACGTTTTTCAATGCCGGCACAAATAAAAGTGAAAATTAATATTAAATTATGTTTATGAATTCAAATCTTTTTGAGCCGGGCAAATCGAAGCCGGAACGCAGCTTTATACAGGGTGCCGTTAAGCAGAACACCCGCTTCGATGGCCGCAAATCAAACGAATTTCGCGACGTGAAACTTACCTTCGGCGCCGAGTGGGGCACAGTGGCTGTCTCCATTGGCGAAACAAAAGTCTTGGCCCAGGTCAGCTGTGACATTGGTACTCCGTCGAGTGCGCGAGCCAACGAGGGTACGCTGTTTCTTAATGTGGACATCAAGGGCGTGGCATTTCTGGACGAAGCTCAGGCGACACACGATCAGCGCTTCCTAACACTCAACTCCCTTTTGGAGCGAACGTTTAAAAGTTCGCGTTGCCTGGACCTGGAGTCCCTATGCATCGCTGTGGAGCAGAGTGTGTGGTGTGTGCGGGTGGATATCAATGTGCTAAACCACGATGGCAATCTTTATGGTGCGTAGAAATAGCTGACGAGGTATAAACGGTATTGAAATGCTCTAATTGTAGATGCCAGTACCATTGCGGCGCTGTCAGCACTCATGCACTTTCGCCGGCCTGAGGTCTCCTACGTGGAGGAGGAAATTCGCACGTTTAGCGAAAGAGAGCGCGAACTGTTGCCGTTGCTCTTCCTGCACTATCCTGTGAGCGTCACTTATTGCGTATATAAAAGCAGTTCGCAGCCATTGGTGGATCCAACGCTGCTGGAGGAAAACGCCGCGGACTCGGTCATTGTATTGAGCTTTAACTCCTATCAGGAGCTGTGCACGCTCAACGCTGGCGGCACCGCGCCCACCAATGTGCGAACCATCATGCAATGTGCACGCAGCGCAGCCAGCCGCTCCAAGGCGCTGGTGCAGTTCGTACGCAAAGCATTGGAGTTAGATGCGGAACGTCGACAGGAGCCCAATCGAGTGGCCGGTTTAGTGGATCTCTTAAACGAAACCACACCCCAGTTGAGCTTTAAGCATCTGATGGAAGAGGAAGTGCAGACGCAAACGAGCACGGCAGACCAAATAAGTGGTGATGAACCCATGCAGCTACAAGAAACAGTTTCTGAGGAACAGACTCAAACGTCCACACAGATGCCAGGTAAAGCATTAGCAGATTGTGGCTCGGACATATTAATTGTTCTCCGTTTCACATTGCACAGAGAACCAAATAGATGATATCAACTGGCTGCCGCAGGGGCAAAATCTCTCGGAGGAGCAACAGGTGGACGGCGTACAGCTGAGCTTAAACGAAGAAGTGCCGACAACTGCCAAGGCGGGCAAGTCCAAGCCCAATCGGGGAAAAAACAAGGCTGGCAAGAAGCAGCAATCGACACCAAGAAAACAAAGTACGAAGAACTTTTATTATGCATATCTCATTAGAAATCTAAACAAAAACTATTTACAGATCAAAGCGATTCGGAGGAAGAAGTCACACAAATCATTTGATAGATAGATTGGTGCTCATATGAATACAATTTATACGTTATATACGCTTAAGACAAAGTTTAATATAAGTATAACTTTAGATAATTTAGTTAAAATATATGAAAAGATGTTTAATGTAACAGAATTAAGCCAGCTGTAGTATATGGAGCAGCACAATAATAATTGACAACAATTGTAGGTATAATGCTTAATAGATATGGTGTAATTGTGCGTGTACTAAATACAAAGGAATCATGAATAAGCTGGAAAGAGCTAAAGCTAAATAAGCCTGTACCTGGATTTCAGTTGAAGTCGCAATGTAACATTGTGTATGTGCGTGTGTGTTTGTAAAAATATATGAAAAGCTTAAAAAGGATGCCAAAATGAAATCTGGGCTTAATTTTGTCTACCGGGTCAATTATATATAGATATATATTATGTACGGATCGAAATTATTGGTAAAGATCTTGGAGTTCCGCTCATTTCCCAGCTTACTTCTAGATAGACTTTGGGTGAGTAAGAAAACAAGCTTGTCCATTTGTTAATTGTACCTCATTTTGTAGAGGGTATTATCGAACGATCGGTCGAAAAGTCGATTTTTGTATGGTAAAATATGAAATCTCTGCAAAAGACACATGTCCATTAGGGCATTAAGTCTTCGACGTGCAGAAAATATCCTTACTTTCTCGTCTTATTTTAAATACGCTAATAAATGACTGTTAACCTATTGCATATCTTTGAGTGCCGCATACTTCCCGGGAGTTCTCCAGATTGACTTTGGGTAAATCAAAATGAATTAATTTTTTATATTTTTATTCATTTTTTTTTGCATAAATAATTTCCTAGGTCGAAACACTACGTTCAGAATACTACTTTTCATGGAGACCTGGGCATGCTATCTATTTTTCTGAAGATCCTTAAGAAGGACTTTGGGTAAGTGAGAACTAATATATATATAAATTTTTATTCATTCCCATGCGTACCTTTATTACTAAGTCAAATAATTTACTATAAGACTATTGAGTATGATCGAATTTAGTGGGGCCAAAATTTTAGCTCCAAATTATATACAGCACGTAATCACCTGTATTTCCTGTACCTCCTTAAACTGTCATTTTCTCTCCATTTTTTAATTAGGCCAATCGATTGGTTTCCTGGTAATTTGGAGTGGCATTTCCATAATCTAGTTTCTATGTAAAGCTATTAAAATAGGCTAAGAGAATCACGAAGAAGGAAACTTTAAATTTTTACCATTTGTTAAACCTTTATAAGTCGAAGCTGTCTTACTTGACACGTGGTCAAAAGATAACAACAAGATGTCCAAGAGTTAACGGTCGTGGCTTACAGGATTCTTGTTAAAGTTGTTAAAACAATTTCTTAATTTTGCTCAAAATGTTCATTTTTATATAAAATTTTCATGTAGTCTCACAAGTTAATAGTAAAAACATTTAACTCGGCCAAAGAAGCTCTTACATTTCGTTTTTCTTTGTGGAAATGCCGGGCGAATAATCAAGTTGCACCAGTTGTTTCCCCTCCAGCAGCGTTTCAACTTCGGAGTGGGTGCAATTGTTGTCGGAACAGGAGTCGTCGTCGGAGCAACTGTTGTCGTCGTCGGAGCAACTGTGGTTGTAGAGTCCGCAGCCGACACCACCTGAATTAAGGCTAAGGCCATCAGAGCGCAGACCACAAAGTATTTCATTTTGAATAGTTGGGATATTGTAGTTGCTGGTGTTTTGATATATTGAAACGCAGCTCTTCTCTTTTATAGGGATTTTGATATGGAACCGTGATTGTATTTATTATTATTTATTGATTCAACGACAAGTGCTGCCGAAGCAAATAAGACCTAGTTCAAGGTGTTTCAGCTGAGCTAATTTAGTTCAAATAGTGCTTGACTTGTAATTGTTTGACAACAAGAATTCGAATAACCGCGTCTGTTTGTCAACAATGCTGTGCAAATAGAGTAGATGTGGGATAAACGTCTATAGACATCGTTTAGATATATTAAGTAGGTATACAATTCTTACAAGATTTAACAAATAATTGATTTTGCAATAAAGTCCATTGAGGAATACCTATACAGTATAATTTGCTTAGCTGCCTCGAGTACGTTGCACAGACATTAGAGGCAGCTATCCTAAAAAGGCAGTTACTTAATTAATTTTTTTCCTAAAAAGTGAATCGATTTTATAGTAACCTCTATTTTTTTTAAGTTGCACTGAGTTCTATTAAACAGTACAAAGTTTAATAAATTAATTTGATAGTTTTTATTAACTTTATGTATTTAAATTACATTTTCATTTCATTACAGTTGTATATATATATAGAAAAACAAATCAAAAATCAACACATCTGATCATAGATGGCGCAGGTTACTTACATGATATTCATAGAAATTGGCAAATAATTACTGCCGATAGGTGGCGCTTAAATGCAAAAGGCTGTTAAGTTTAGATGCTTGGATTTATTTCCAAATGTAGACAGCACGAAAGTATGCAGTACTACTATAATTCCGCTAAAAACCCGCTACAAACGGCTGTAAATGGCTATAAAGCCCCTGGTATTTTGGATGATTTTAAGAAAAATCTCGTCCCATTTGGGAGCAGATCAAAAAAACAACTGAAATTGTGTGTGTGAGGTTTTTTTTTGTTGGTGTCCCTTTTACACGGGCTTTTTTTTAAATAATAAAACTATGTTACTTTTTTTACACGATTTTAAAACTTTTGGGCTGTAATTTTTGTTGTCAAATTTAATTTTTGTGAAATATGTTCTTATCCCAAATTTAGTTGAATTCCCTTTTTGTGCATACTACTACAAGTAAATTTACTTGTCAGAGCAATTGAAATATGTTAATATTTTGTAAACTATCAGACTATGCAATCAGACGTGTTTGCTTGCAAAGACATTTTTTATAGGCGCATTTGTTTTTCCAACATTACATTAAATTTAATTTTCACGTATTAAGATAAAAAGGTCAGCCAAAAAATATCTTATATTCATTCAGTTATCTATATTTTTTTCATTTTTTTTTTTACCCTAAACATTGAATAACCTATTAACATAACATGAATGACCTGTTAACAACATAGCTGCTTTACATAATTGTTTTTATACCCTAAACCCATTAAAAATGGGTGAACAGGGTACTATGTATTTTTGCAAGTGTATGTTACAGGCAGAAGGAAGCATCTCCGACCCCATAAAGTATATCTATTCTTGATCAGCATCAATAGCAGAGTCGATCTAGCCATGTCCGTCTGTCCGTATGTATGAACGCAAGGATCTCAGAACCTATAAGTGCTAGAGACTTGAAATTTGAGCTGTAGGTCCTACTAGTCCCCGCGCAGATCGATATCGAAATCCTGTTTTTTGAGCAATTTCGGCAAATAATATGAGCTAGAGACACCAAACTTAACATGTAGCTTCTAGAATAGTATATATATATATCAAGTATCTTTCATTTAATACCTATAGCCTGTTGGAAGAAGAGGGTTCAGGGTATCCCCTAGTCGGGAGCTCCCGACTAGAACCTCTTACTTGTTAGTTCCTGAACTTGTCATACATTTAATTTACATTACATCCAAGCTTAAAATGCGTATATATTTTTTTTCTTTAATAACTATGCTTGTGTAAAAAAAATAAACTTGAATATTTGTTCTTCTTCTTCCTTGTTTTTCTCTAATTTTAACAGGTTTTAGAGATAAGGAACCAATCACCTATTTTTTTTTTTTTTTTTGCATATGGATCAATGTCTTTTTTACACGGTTTTTAATATATATTTTAATTTTCCTGTTATGAAAATAACTTTAATTAAATTTATATGAAAATTTATAATACTACTAAGTCTACTATTAAGTCTAATATAAAATTAACAAGGTTAGGGTGACTATATAAACCTATCTGGGAGATCGATTGGATTAGAACTCGGATATCTCCTCCGTAATTCTACGCCTCTTTAGAAGGCTAGGCCCCGCCTTTGGCTTTATTGGACTTGGAGTTCTTTTATTAAGGAATCAGACATGCTTTTCACTATAATTCAATCTCTAACTTTTTCACATTAACTAAACTTACAAAATTCTAGTAGAAAAAAAAAAAAGAATATGGAAACAAACGCACAGTGCTTTACCTCCAAGATCTTCGATCTGGGTAAATGGGATTCAAAGGCAATTAAGCACTACAGCACCTTGCCACGCATTCAGAAGCAATTGCGTAGGGGCAACTGGACGTACATTCAGGAGCATCCAGAGGTAAATACCGATACTACTCTCTCTCTCTCTCTCTCTCTCTCTCTCTGATCTAACTGCTCATTGATTACGTTTAAAGATACGCGCCATCATACGTGTTATAATGCAGCACGTGATCAATGCCAATCCGGATAATGTTCGGGCGTGTATAGCCGATTTCTTCAACTGCGGCCGCACCCCTTTGCTTGTGCCTATGGTAATTGAAAGTCATCTTGAAAATGTTCCGAATCTAATGACAACTCCTTAGATAAACACGCAATTAAAGTATGTGAAGGAACAGCTACAGCGCGGACGCTGGAGCAAGTTTGATGCGGAAACGTTGTTCATGGAAAGTCCTTCCAGCCATTCGCTCTTATCGGCAGCTTCCACTGACTTCAATGTGCATCCCGTGCTCACCTATGCCCTGGTGTTCAAGAAACCCGACGAATGTGGCTTAGATAGCCCGCCTTACTGACAATCCTCCCAATCGAAATTTGTCAAATCAAGATTATTTTTATGGCTGCATTTGGGCTAATTTCCTAAAAATAAATATGGTTTATAAGAAGAGTATTTCAACATGATTTCTGCTCTGGTTGTTCGTTTTGTATAGTAAATGTCATCTATCACAGTCCTCTGGTAGTTATTTTTGTTGAAACGTGTGAGAAATTTAAGAGAATTGTTCTTCTTTTCTTAATGTTCATATATTCGTCAAATTTGCATGTAGTCTTGCAAGTTAATAGTAGAAACATTTCACTCGGCCAAAGAATCTTTTGCATTTCGTTCTCCTTTGCGGAAGTGGCGGGCGAACAACCAAGTTGCACCAGTTGTTTCCTCTCCAGCAGCGTTTCAACTTCGGAGTGGGTGCAACTGTTGTGGGAACAGGAGTCGTCGTTATAGCTGCTGTTGTCGTCGTTGGAGCAAGAGTTGTCGTCGTTGGAGCAGCAGTAGTCGTTGTGGGAGCAACTGTTGTCGTCGTTGGAGCTGCTGTGGTCGTCGTTGGAGCAGCTGTAGTCGTCGTTGGAGCTGCTGTTGTTGTTGTTGGAGCTGCTGTTGTCGTCGTTGGAGCTGCTGTTGTTGTTGTTGGAGCTGCTGTTGTTGTTGTTGGAGCAACTGTTGTCGTCGTTGGAGCAACTGTTGTCGTCGTCGGAGGAACTGTGGTTGTTGAGTCTGCACCTAACACCGCCTGAATAAGGGCTAAGATCATCAGCGTGGATACTATAAAGTATTTCATTTTGAATAGTTGGGATTTTAATGTTGCTTTACAAATGATTGCAAAGTTGTGATATGATATTTTGAAACGTGACACTTCTCTTTTATAGTGTTTCCGAATGGTGCTGTATTTCCTATTTATTTTATGACATGTGTTCGGAAGTAGTTATTTTGAAGCATGTCAAATCTTTTAGGTTTGCTTAAAATTGAATATTGTAGGTTATTGTAATTGTTTGACATCAGCAAATACGTACAGAAATATGTTTTACAAAATGCTGGCAAGTTGAGATAGGCTCAGTTGAATAAATATCTTTGCAGCAAACTCTTAAGAATATGGTAATAAATCTGAGTGCATATATGTAACTGGCTTTAGATATATGTAAGTGTTATACAGCAAACTGTATAACAGTCGTTTAACCTCATTCTGATAAGTACATGCATAAATATGTTTGCTACTGTTATGCATGTGTGAAGTTTATGCTAAATTTAACATTAATATGTTATGTTGCTGTTAAGGCGCTTCGATTGCACATTATTTGCATGCAAATTTGTTGCTAAAATGTTTGCTGTCAGTTTATTTGTGGCAGTTGTGGCTGTTGCATGTTTGAAAAATCGTGTGAATTGCGCTTCTTTTGTTGTTGAATGATCTGATGAGTATTCTAGATCATTCTCATTCTGGCAACGTGATTATAAACAGCAGACGCTGTGGAGCTGCAAAGAGAGAAAACGCTCGAATTCCTGCGAATTTTGACATTCGTTCTTTTGTTTTTGATCATATCCCTGTATCTGTATCGTTTTGCATTTTAAACGAAAAACTGGCGTAGTATTTTTGGTAAGTTTCTATCCCATTTGGGCTATTGTGTAATATACTACCTTGATTTTAATATCATTTTCGGTTTCGTTTCTCCCTCTCTCTCTCTCTCTCTCACTCTCACTCACTCACTGATACACTTTTCTCTACTCGTATGCCTATCTGTGTGCTCTGGCTGGGTGGACCTTGACGTCGTCTTTCTCGTCTCGTGGTGGTGGTCTAATTAAAGCCGCAGCAAATATGCCCAAATTACCAGCAGTTGGCATTGATCTTGGTACAACATATTCGTGTGTCGGCGTCTTTCAGCATGGCAAAGTTGAGATCATTGCCAACGATCAGGGCAACCGGACCACGCCCAGCTACGTGGCCTTTACGGAGTCGGAGCGTCTCATTGGCGATGCGGCCAAAAACCAGGTGGCCATGAATCCAAACAATACAATTTTCGGTGAGTCCCTTGCTTCCAAATGTCTTCCTTTACTTGCAACATTTTCATGAATGAAACATGCGCAAATTTAGGATATCTCTTTTCTGTTTTTTTTTAAGATTTTATTTTGGGAATACATATATGTAGATACACTGCTAGTTTGGCTGCTCTTGCATGCAGCTAGGCCAGCTAAGAGTAGTTGTTGCCTAAATGTATTTTTTGCACATTTCACGCAACCCCCACCAACGCGCTCTCCCTTCCATTTAATGAGCCGCATTCACTTGTTGTGTCAGTTCTTTTGGCTTCGCCGCCTGCCACCTCCCGCTGCCACCTCCCGCTGCCACCTCCCGCAGCCACCTGCCGCTGCCACCTCCGGCTGCCACATGCATGTTTATTAGCATAATTTGTGTCAGCGCATTTGGGTGGCGAACATTTCATGGTTCCACCAACTGTGAGCCAAACAAAAATATATACAAATAGAATATATTTACATGACAATATTTACAATCTGAATTGAGGACGGACCTGCGCCCGCTGCCATTGACTTTTTAAAGAGAATAGAATTGAGGAGCTGAATTTATGAAGGAGCAGTTAACTGGCAGATGTGTTCTAGACTAGATCATATTACTTCTAAATGGGGAAAAGGGCTCCACTTTCGAAACTCATGATGAGACCAGTTTGATGAAAGGTTTGTCATAAAAAAGGGGCTAAAGCTCTGTCAGGAGGATCAACTAGAATCCAAAGTGAATAATTTGTTGCATCTGAAAGATTATAGGACGTTTCCTATTGGATGTTTGTCTCTTAGCCTCTTATCAGATAACCAATAATAGTTGAAGGACTTTTGAGGCTGAAACAGATTCTGTTAACAATTATGAGGCTTACAAATTGCCTTGCTTCTTTTATACTCTCTCGTAATATTCGGTTTCTCTATGAATTCTTCGGGTTACCTGCATCCTTTTACTCCTCTTTTAACTCGTATCTCACATACTTTTTGCCAGCTCTCCCATTAGATTTGTGCAGGTCTAATGCAAGACATCTTTTCTTTTTTGTACTTTCATTTCAGTCTCAGAGTCCACATAAATCTGCCCTGCCCCGAACCCGCCTAGCCTAAGCCTAGACCTGCGCCTAGATTCGAATTGCTATAAGTCTAGTACAATTTGTTCAAACCCCGTCCATTTTGTTTGTTAGCTAATAAAAAACAAATAAAAAGCCCAATTGTGATATGTTCCTCTGCCCGGGATTGTCTTACAGATGCCAAGCGGCTGATTGGACGCAAATTCGACGATGCGACGGTGCAGAGCGACATGAAGCACTGGCCCTTTGAGGTCATCTCGGAGAATGGCAAGCCGCGCATACGCGTCGAGTACAAAGGAGAGAAGAAGAGTTTCTATCCGGAGGAGGTGTCCTCCATGGTGCTAACGAAGATGAGAGAAACAGCCGAGGCGTATCTGGGCGGCACTGTTACCGATGCGGTGGTCACAGTTCCGGCCTATTTCAATGATTCGCAACGGCAGGCGACCAAAGATGCGGGCACCATAGCCGGGCTCAATGTGCTGCGCATTATCAATGAGCCGACGGCGGCGGCCATTGCCTATGGCCTGGACAAGCAGGGTACCAGTGAGCGGAATGTGCTCATTTTCGATTTGGGCGGCGGTACCTTCGATGTATCCGTGCTGACCATCGAGGACGGCATCTTCGAGGTGAAGGCCACGGCCGGGGATACCCATCTGGGCGGAGAGGACATTGACAACCGCATGGTCAACCACTTTGTGCAGGAGTTCCAGCGCAAACACAAGCGTGATCTTGGCCAAAGTAAGCGCGCCCTGCGACGTCTGCGTACCGCCTGTGAGCGTGCCAAGCGTACGCTGTCCTCGTCCAGCCAGGCCAATATCGAGATCGACTCACTGTTCGAGGGCATCGACTTTTACACGTCCATGACGCGTGCCCGCTTCGAGGAGCTAAACGGGGATCTGTTTCGTAGCACCATGGAGCCGGTGGCCAAGGCTCTGCGAGATGCCAAAATGGACAAGGGCCAGATACATGACATAGTGCTTGTGGGCGGTTCCACCAGGATACCCAAGGTGCAGCGTTTGCTGCAGGACTTCTTCAATGGCAAGGAGCTGAACAAGTCCATAAATCCGGACGAGGCTGTCGCCTACGGTGCTGCCGTCCAGGCAGCCATACTGCACGGCGACACATCTGAGGCTGTCCAGGATCTGCTCCTGCTGGACGTTACTCCACTCTCGCTGGGCATCGAGACGGCCGGCGGTGTTATGACCGCGCTGATTAAGCGCAACTCCACCATACCCACCAAGCAGACACAGATCTTCACCACCTATGCGGACAATCAGCCCGGCGTTCTGATACAGGTTTACGAGGGTGAGCGGGCCATGACCAAGGACAACAATATACTTGGCAAGTTCGAGCTGACGGCCATTCCGCCAGCGCCGCGTGGTGTGCCCCAAATCGAGGTAACCTTTGACATCGACGCCAATGGCATACTCAATGTTAGTGCCGCCGAGAAGTCAACGGGCAAGGCGAATCGCATCACCATTACCAACGACAAGGGCCGGCTCTCCAAGGAGGACATCGAGCGCATGGTTAACGAGGCCGAATCGTACCGCCAGGCGGATGATCAGCAGCGGGCGCGTGTCGATGCCAAGAACCAATTGGAAAGCTATTGCTTTCACATTAGAGCCACCCTCGAGGATGAGCAGCTGCGTAGTCGCATCAGCGATGCCGACAGGGAGACCATCGCCCAGAAGTGCAACGAGACCATCAGCTGGCTGGATGCCAATCAGCTGGCCGAGAAGCAGGAGTTCGAGCACAAACAACAAGAGCTGGAGCGCATCTGTAATCCCATCATGACCAGACTCTACCAGGGCGCCGGCATGCCGCCGCCCACACAGAATTCCGGCGGTGGCGCCGGCGGAGCCGGTGGCCCGACCATCGAGGAAGTCGACTAATGGCCAAAATTATTGTTAAACGCGCTTTCTTGTTGTTAGCCCCCCATACACCCACCCACCCACCCACTCCCACGACAAAATTATAGAGTATCCAATTAAAAGAATCTTTACAAGCCGAAAACTTGCGTTGCCTTTTCCTTTCCTTGGACTCAGTTACCAGATCTAAAAGGCATTTGGAAATTTCTGTACAAACTTTTCATTAATATACTTTATTTTCAAACTTATGACTATTTCACAAAATTACGGAGTCTGTCTGCCATGCCACGTGCCAGTGTATATATGAATGCTAGGGTATATCATTATTGATCTCACGATAAACTACGCATAATAATAATTAACATTTAAATCGTTGATCAACCGAGTTGCTAAGCATAAACAGATTAATTGGGTCATTGCGATTAGTTACATTCATTATAGAACTAAGATCTACAAAGAGAAAATCAAGACAATAATAGAAAGCAGATATCCTCTATAGTGTATAGTATATGTGGGAAATATATGAGTATTCCAGTTGCTTCTTTCACTCTTAGTTAAACTGTATAAATAATAAAATAAATACACAATTTGCTCGATTTGGATATGTTTCTACTTCTTTGATGGGGGTCAGAAGATATGTAACAAATGTCATAGACCATGCCAAACATAAGTATATTCATATAGTTATAGAGCATATAGTCTCGACAAATCGAAACACAGAGACGACAATATTTTAACTTTTCGAGGGGTCGAACATAAGTTTTAACAACCATTTAAGCAAATACTACATATCAGTTTCTCTATGGTAGAAGTCTAGTATTTGGATAGTGTATAGTACATTTCGTTTATTGTATTCAGCTTGAAACTCGACTGTAGAAAATGCACAAATTAAATTTGATTCTCAAATGAATCGAAGCAACAGGCCCGATGGGCTATCCCTATAAGGATATCCATGCGTCATAGTTTAGTCGTTAACACTAATATTTGTCTAGAACTGATGCTTGTATTATGTTAATTTGTTTTAACGATCAACTAACTTAACCCACTCCTGAACATTCATATTTCTTTATATATATATAGTTCGCTTATTTGGTAGATAATACAGATATGATTTGTACAACAAACACTGCAAAAGCTTTCGATAACATACGAGACTAAAACTAAAGAACTTTCAAAACTTTTGCAATGCTGGCAAGTGTCTCATTTAAGATCGACAAATATATATATATACACATTGGTTTTAACTTTATAGCTGAGTTCCGAATCTTTGAAATTCAGAATATATGAAACTTAAAATCAATTAGGAGTAGCACAATTTTTGAAAATTTACTAGATTTTTGACTTGGGTAAACAATAAATATTATAATCTTTATAGTTCGCCTATTTATTTCGCTACATTATTTCATAATTATTTTCGCCAGCTGTCGCCAGGTATATCATTCAATACCGTATGTATAAATTGTATATAAACCGATTTTATAAATTCATTTGCGTATATTTAATCAGTACTAAACTTTAGGGTATGCACACTCCTAAACTCACTATCAACAATTAACTTTACACTATCATTAAATATTCATATTGCTTACAGTATTTTTTTTTTAATTTTATCTACGTGTCAAGTCGACAAATACTTCCAGATTAAAACATATATGCAAAATGAGGGATTGAAAGAAATGATGAATTGTGTCAAAATTATTATAATTACTTAGCATAAATAAATATTTTTTAATTCATTTATATTATGTACTAATTATTTAAGTAGTAATTATTTTGCTTTTTAAATTAAAAAAGTTATTATTAATTCAAGTAATTAGTATTTTGCTATTAAAAAGAATCCAATTATTAATCAATCAAATAATTAATATTCTGTTCTTAAAAAGGAACTAATTATTAAGTAAATAATATGCTGTTTTTTTCAAGATAAACTTTTAATGACTTATTCAAGTAATTAATATTTTGCTCTTGAAAAGAAACGAATTATTAATTAGTCAAGTAATTCAGATTTTGTTCTTTAAAAGAAACTAATTATTAATTATTTGCGTAATTAATATTTTGCTTTTTAAAATCAATTTTTTACTATTCAAGTAATTAATATTTTTCTTCTTAAAAGAAAATAATCATTAATATGTCAAGTAATTAATATGTTGTTCCTTGAAACGAAATAATTATTCAAGTAATAAATATACTTTTCTTTAAGATAAATTGAATATCAATTCAAGTAATTCCAGATGAAGTTATTAATATTTTGCTCTTAACAAAGGAAACAAATGAATTACTCAAGTAATTAATAATTTGTTCTTTAAATAATTTTAGTAATTAATGTTTTGCCAATAATTAATTATTCAAGTAATTTATATAATTATAATTTTTGCTTTGTGACACACTTAAAATGAATACTTAATTTGGGATATTTGCAAAAATACCACATGGAATGCTTAGTTTTCTGGGCTTTTAATATGTACGTATGGTACGTATAAAATATTGAACATATATACGATATATGCACGCTTAGTGCATACAACACGACGATAAGAAACACATATTTAATGCTTTATAGGGTAGCTCTTGTCCGTGAAAGGAGACACGCTCTTACTATGTTACACATAATCTAATTGGCTAAAACTAAACACGTTTGACGTTTAATTCAATCAACTAACAGTTAAGCATTAACTTATATTTATTTAGTTCCATATAAGGTGAGTGGGAGGAGGGGTTCAGGACTTAAGAGCTATTAAGCTATAGCTACGATCGGTTGCAGGCAGCTTTCAGAGAGCCTCAGTCGAGGAGCTGCAGGGACCGTTATAACCATTTGCACGGCCGGAACCTGAGCCCGTGGCTTTTGTGGCTGTCGTTGTTGTTGCCTGCGGCTGGACCAGCTGCTTGAACGTGTTCTCCAGCCTGGGTGGATACTAAAGCAATTGGATGTTAGGTGGTTGAGTCTATGGCTACAGCATTATATATATTGCATTAAATCCACCTCCTGGTTCTCGTCTAGCGATGGCAGCAGCTCATCCAGCGAGTTGGGCGTCAGCGGACTGGGCGTGGCCATGGTGACGCGACTGAGCGCTGGACCATGCTGGAGCAACGCCTCCCCGATGATAATCTGCGGCTTGTTCTGGGTGAGATGCTGCTGCTGCTGGAGTCGCGCCAGGCGCAGCTTCATCTCCTGCCTGATCTCCTTCTGCTGCACCTCCTTCTCGAACCGCATCATGCTGTAGCTGCGCACCGAGGAGCTTGTGCTATGCACAGATGCTAGACTTGGTCTTCGAGAACCTGCAAGCGGTAATAAATGTATTATTATTTAGTTATTAAGTCTGCACTTTCAACTTGGCACTACTTATTTCTGAGAGCAGCATAGATATTATCGAAGCAGAGGCAGAAGCAGACAGATAGAGACAGAGACATAGACAGAGAGACATAGAGAGAGAGAGAGAGAAACAGGCAGTTGGATAATAAGTTACAGAGAAAGCGAGAGAAAGGCAGAGAGAAAGGCAGAGAGGCAGAGCAAGCGCCTTCAGCAAGCGGCTAAATTGCAGGCAAGGCAGACACATGTCTATATTAAGTATTATGAAGGATCTAAATATCTTTAAAGCGTTCAGTGTGCACAAATTAAGCAGGCTGTCGGAAAAGTATACAGAACGGGGTTGCTTGAAGTTGTGGCTGATGGTTCTGAAATAATCAAATATATTCTGTAAAATATTATCATTTAGTTAAAATTGCATTTAGTTAGATTTGCTTGCAAAAATTGCCAAGCGGAATGCTGGAATGAAACGTCAAGCAATATTTTGTAGGTTAGCAACAGGCGAAAACGAAACACAAGCTGTGTAAGCTTTCCAGGAAACGCTGGAATGAAACATTCTTTTCAAAATGCTGTATGATTTGGAACATTGCGAAAACTGAACATTCCCAATCTTTGCATTGCAGCTATGCAGTTAAAAATATAAAAAACAAACGCTTAAATGTTAGAGATTATGTTCCGAAATCTTATGAGAAAGCTTGAATAAATGCTAGAAATGAGTTAGTTAGTTTGATATGCGTATAAACAAGAGATAGATCCATATGCAATCAGTTTCATTCAGAAGATAGTCAGAGGCTTGCAGGACTTGAGAAAGGAGTCAAAAGAATCGCTTATCGAAATTGAATAATAATACTTGGGATTGGTTCGTGTGCATTTCAATATAATTGGAGTGTTCTCTCACTCACACGACACATGCAATTTGGAATATTCAGTGTGTGTGTGTGTGTGTGTTTACTTGTGTGTCTGTGAGTGTGTGCGTGTAGGTATCATAAGAATTTGCAATATTTTGTTTAAACAAGTAGATTATGGTGTTATAAAATTTCTGGAAACAGGAACATAGTCACCGCCATATTGCTTCGATATCATATTGTCAAGCTGAAGTTGTATGTTATATATAATTATTATATAGTTAGCTGTGGCTCTGATGCGTTCAAATATTCCGTATTCATATAAGATTGCTGTTGGAATATGATAAATATATTTTGTTTACAACATTCGCCGGCTCAACTGTCATTTTCTAAATATATATTATTGTCGATTGAATTGTGTTAGTATTCGTATGTAAGGTATTTTTTTCTATCTTTTATTTTTTAATATTTATTTAACTACTACCAAAAATCGGGTGTGGGAAACTAAACTTGGGGATCTTTTTGTTTTTTTTTTTTTTTTTTGGTATATCTTGTTGCTGAACACGAAGTTTTGTAATTTGATTTCTACGGTTGTGTGTGTGTATTATGTGTTTTTGTATATTGTATTTTCTTTTTTTTGTTCAATTTTTGTAACGCAAATAAAGAAGAAACGAAACAACCAACTTTTAATTTGAAACAGAGTTTTGGAAGCACATTAAACATCGATCATTTAGAACGTAAGATTTGTTGTTAAAAGACCAAGAATTAGTATTTTCGACGGGGGGTTTTAATTAATTTTTTTGTTTTTTTTTTAATCTATTTATGGAAATGCGGCAAAAGAGATGATTTTTTAAATGAGCCAATTTACACATAAAAATGAACGTGATTGTGTTACGATTAATGTACAACAATATTTATGTTGTGGATCTCTCTCTTTAATTTAAATTATAAAGCAGCTTGTCCGATCAATTGTGAAGTACCTATTTTGAAGCTGGATTAATCTTTACTCAATTATCTTTAGCTAAAGCAAACACGTTCGCAATTGATTCAGATTGAACTTTAAACGATTGGAATATTCAAATTTTGTACAGTCAAGTAGACCGAGAGTCCACAATATAAATGAGTTAAGGCCAAATTGTGATTTGTTTTGTTTTCTTTTTGAAATGTTGTAATAGGTTTTAGTTAGTTAATGTGGAGAGCAGGAACCAAAACAGGAATAGAACAATGTAACTCATAAACATAATAAATAGTTGCTAGGCAGGTTTTGGATTGATGATGATATGATGTTGGCCAATTGTGATTGTTTGCGATTGATGCTGATGATTGACGCTGATTGACTGCTGACTGATGAGTTGATTTACCGCAAATCTTGGCGTTTCACTCGCCGGCGTCGGCAGGGCGCCAATTTGCAAATGATGCAGCTCGGCACCGCCACCGCCAGTGCCACTGTTATAGTCGTAACCACCGCCACCGCCACATCCACTGGCACCGCCACCGGTACCTAGTGGATCTATGCTATTGAACCCATCATCATCATTATTGGCATCGTCATCATCATAATTATGAATGCCATTCATGCCCAAGAGGGTCCTAAATCTATCCTGATTCTTTGTCTTCGCCGGCGACAGCTCGAAACTGAGCAGATGCCGTTGATGATTCAATTGCTTCTGCAGCTGGCGGTTCATTGAGAGTGTGCTCTCGCAACTGCGACAGCCGCCGGCGCTGCCGGAGCCGTTGTTCTCGTCAAGATTGTCGCGCGAATGCTGGCTGCAGCCGGCGCCAGATGTGTGACGCGATGAGGCGCGTGAATTTTGTTTGGACACGGCCGTTATGTGACACGATATAAGCAATATGGCGGCCGATCTAGCCGCACCTGTACGGGACGTCGACACAAGTATGCCTTTCGAGCCGCTTCCAGCGCCGCCGCCGCCGCCGCCACCGCCGCCGCCGCCGCCGCCACCGCTGCTGTTGCCGACGCCGCCGCCACTGGCGCCAGCCAATCCGCCGGACGAGGCGCGACGATTCCCAAAGGAGCCTATCGAGCCCGTCGAACGTATGCTGGAGCGCGACGATGGACGTGCCGAGTGCACGGTCAACGGTATGCCTGAAGGAGTACAAACAAAAAAACCCAGCATCAATTATGCAGCTCCAGGCACACTTCGCTACTCTCCCCCCTCCCCCCCTCGGCTCACCTGTATCGCTCGAGTAGAGTATGGGCGGCGGTATGTTGGCATCCGCAAAATTGCGATGCCTCGGATATTTCGTCTTGCTGAACAGATGCAGCACCATGCAGATGAGACCCGCCAGCACCGCAATGCCCGTGGAAACGCCCAGCAAAGTGGGCAAATCCGAGCCGAGCTCGCTGAGATCTGCAAGAAATCAAATGAAATGCTTGCTGATTGGTTGGCCGGGCTGCCAGCTCACCTGGTGTACAGAAGACACGCCGTGTTGGCTTCGTGTAGCTGACCGAGTGGTAGCCGCTGGCGCACTGACACATCGCATTGTGTCGCACCTGAACACAGAGGGAGTTCTCGTCGTTGTAGATGCAGGTCTCGTCGTAGAAACACTGATCGCCCAGTTTCTTGGCTAGTTATTGCAATTAAATTAAACAAAAATCGTACACTACAATTCACAAATACAATCGTAATTCTCTCACGTTTCGCGCAACCCTTTATCAGTCCCAGCTGCACGGGATAGTTCCTTTCGCAGTTGCACAGCTGCGTCTCCTTATCGCAGGTAACATGCAACAGCTTGGCATCACATTTCAGCTCGTTGCATGGCGCTCCAATGTATTTACCTTTAGCTGCAATCAAAATCGGTTTTAAGATCAACATTTTAAGCTAATAACTATAAGAATACAGCTAAAGTTGATAAACCTTAACCTTAAATAACGCCGACTACTTGCGCTTTCGTCTAAGCAGGAGTTCGAACCGGCGTCTTTTCTTTTCACTTGCCTGACTCACAAAGAAAACTTAATCACTGATCTCATTTATATATGTTCTCTTACTATAAGAATACAGCTAAAGTTGATAAACCTAAACCCCTTAATAACGCTGACTACTTGCGCCTTCGTCTAGTCAGGAATTCGAATCGGCGACTTTTCTTTTCACTTTTCTGACTCACATAGAAAACTTAAAGTGATCTCATTTATATATGTTCTCTTACTATAAGAATACAGCTAAAGTTGATAAACCTAAACCTTTAATAACGCTGACTACTTGCGCCTTCGTCTAGGCAGGAATTCGAACCGGAGTCTTTTCTTTTCACTTGCCTGACTCACAAAGAAAACTTAATCATTAATTAAGGCTTGCTTACAATTACAAATTACTTTAGTCAAGTGTGCATAACTAAGAGATACCCTGTTACTGGTGCTGAACTTACAAAGATACACATTTATTTATTAATGTTAATGCATACAATGATATCTCATTTATATATTTTCTCTTACTACAAGAATACAGCTAAAGTTGATGAACCCTAAATAACGCTGACTACTTGCGCCTTCGTCTAGGCAGGAATTCGAACTATAAGAATACAGCCTTTAGTTGATGAACCTAAACCCTAAATAACACTGACTACTTGCGTCTCCGTCTAAGCAGCAGTTTGAACCGGCGTCTTTTCTTTTCACTTGCCTGACTCACAAAGAAAACTTAATCACTGATCTCATTTATATATGTTCTCTTACTATAAGAATACAGCTAAAGTTGATGAACCTAATCCCTAAGTAACGCTGACTACTTGCGCCTTCGTTTAGGCAGGAATTCGAACCGGCGTCTTTTCTTTTCACTTGCCTGACTCACAAAGAAAACTTAATCACTGATCTCATTTATATATGTTCTCTTACTATAAGAATACAGCTAAAGTTATTAAACCTAAACCCTAAATAACGCTGACTACTTGCGCCTTCGTCTAGGCAGGAGCTCGAACCAGCGTCTTTTCTTTTCACTTGCCTGACTCACAAAGAAAACTTAATCATTAATTAAGGCTTGCTTACAATTACAAATTACTTTAGTCAAGTGTGCATAACTAAGAGATACCCTGTTACTGGTGCTGAACTTACAAAGATACACATTTATTTATTAATGTTAATGCATACAATGATATCTCATTTATATATTTTCTCTTACTACAAGAATACAGCTAAAGTTGATGAACCCTAAATAACGCTGACTACTTGCGCCTTCGTCTAGGCAGGAATTCGAACTATAAGAATACAGCTAAAGTTGATGAACCTAAACCCTAAATAACACTGACTACTTGCGTCTCCGTCTAAGCAGCAGTTTGAACCGGCGTCTTTTCTTTTCACTTGCCTGACTCACAAAGAAAACTTAATCACTGATCTCATTTATATATGTTCTCTTACTATAAGAATACAGCTAAAGTTGATGAACCTAATCCCTAAGTAACGCTGACTACTTGCGCCTTCGTTTAGGCAGGAATTCGAACCGGCGTCTTTTCTTTTCACTTGCCTGACTCACAAAGAAAACTTAATCACTGATCTCATTTATATATGTTCTCTTACTATAAGAATACAGCTAAAGTTATTAAACCTAAACCCTAAATAACGCTGACTACTTGCGCCTTCGTCTAGGCAGGAGCTCGAACCAGCGTCTTTTCTTTTCACTTGCCTGACTTACAAAGAAAACTTAATCATTATTTAAAGCTTGCTTACAATTACCAATTACTTTAGTCAAGTGTGCATAACTAAGAGATACCCTGTAACTGGGGATGAACTTACAAAAGTATACATTTATTTATTTATGCTAATGCATACAATGATATCACATTTATATATATTTTTCTACTATAAGAATATACCTGAAGATGATAGGCAGGAATTCGAACCGGCGTCTTTTCTTTTCTCTTGCCTGACTCACATAGAAAACTTAATCACTGAAGTCTGTTTTTTATTAAAGGCTTGTTAATACATTTACCAATTACTTTGATCAAGTATGCATAACTAAGAGATACCCTGTAACTGGGGCTGAATTTACAAAGATACACATTCAATTTAAGTTTATGCATACCATAATATATCAGTTATATATTTTCTCTGACTGCACCAATATTCCTTTTACTGATTTAGAACAAAAATATTAATTGTAATTATAGTACTTTTGAGCTTTAATTTCGATTTACACATAAGAACAATAACATTAAGTCCAATTATATTCTCTGATATCACTTTATTAGCATCTGCATCCGAAAATGGGTTAACTATATTTACTAAATTGTGCTGACCTTTCCTTGACCTTTCAAACAGTTTGCATTGCCAAATATTTTGGTTTCTGGCCAGGTTTGCGGTCAGCACACATAGCTAAAGCCGAGTCGGCGAGTTAATTCCCCACAGATCATAATTCTCATAAATTGCACAACAGCTGCCGACTGCCTTTGGCCTTTGTTGAGGTCCTTCGGCAACAACGTTGCGAGTGCTGAGCGGTTTAGGATTTGAGGTTTGGGGTTTGGGGCTTGGGGGGAGGCAGCTGCCATGGCCGTATCTGTGCCGTATTACCAGATTTCGATGGTATTCGTTTGCTGCACTCAGCCGCAATGATTCAGCGGCTTATTCAATTTAGTTTCGGCCAAACTGCGGACTTTCAGTTGGTCCATTTTAGAGGTCAGCGAATATTCGGTATCTATGGAACCACTCGAACTGCTGATTTTGTTGCCTTGCAATACTAACGGCAATCACAACTTGTATTTATTCAATCGAAGCGAGTTTCTAATCTATATATGTGTGTATTTTCATGATTACGAGAGAGCAAATCTAAGGCCCAAGGTTGTCTATTGCAAGACATTTGTTCGAAGCCCACACACGTTGGGAATTACAACGCGTCAAGCGACGAAACACAGCAACTCAGGACTTTTATTCAGCTATATACAAAGGGTATGTTTTTATTTTTCATATTTTCTATTTCTTAGTCTTCTTATTAGTCTAATTCATCCACATTCAATATGTTAGACAATGTCTAAGCCAACAGGCCCAAGGTCGTCTATTGCAAGACATTTTTTCGAAGCTTATACTAGTTGGGAATTATACCGCGTCAAGCGACGAAACACAGCAAAAAGCAAACAAAGCTATTTTCACTCAGGACTTTTATTCAGCCAAAGGCTAAATTTATTTTCTATTTTGTATTTACCCATTTAGTCTAATTCATCCACATTCAATATGTTAGCAAATAAAGTGCCCAACTCACCTGACTTATTGTTAATTAAGATTACGAAATAGCAAATCTAATGTCTAAGCTAACAGGCCCAAGGTCGTCTATTGCAAGAAATTTGGTTCGAAGCTTACACTAGTTGGGAATTACAAGGCGTCAAGCGACGAAAAACAGCAAAAAGCGAACAAAGCTATTTGCACTCAGGACTTTTATTCAGCTGTATGCGAAAGGCAAAATTTATTTTCCATTTTGTATTTACCCATTTAGTCTAATTCATCCACATTCAAGTACTCAACTCACCTGACTTATTGTTAATCAAGGCCTCAAGGTCGTCAATATCATCTGGATAACTGGCATCGTAGTCATCGTCAGGCACATGGGCAACATCGCGTTTTGGTTTCTGTGCGTTTTCGACTTGGCTTAAACCTAATGTGCTTGTTGTGAGATTCGACACGGCCAGCATGGTCGCTGTTGTGCTAGTTGTCGTCGAGCTGGCAGAGGCGGCGGCAGAGGCGTGCAGCATTAGGTAACCATAGATGAGCACGGCCAGCGTCAGGTAGTGTCCATTGCCATGCCACAATTGCAGCCAGCCTAACAGAGCCATGCGCGTTCTATTGTTGTTGTTGTTGTTGTTGTCGTTGTGGTTTGTGTTGTTGTTGTTTTTGTCGTCGTTGTTGTTGTTGTTGTTGTTGTTGTTGTTATCATTGAGTTGCTGCTGTCGCATTGATGTGGGCGTGTCAGTGGCCAGCTGCAGCGCCGTCAGTTGCAAACGCTGCAGTAGACGGTGCAATGTTAACTTCGCCATTCTGTCATCTTGTGGCACCTGCCTCAACACTTTTCCAAGTATTTCAAAACTTTTGTCATTTACAAATGGTAAAGGGTATGATGTCCCGTACTCAATGTGTGTGCTCTATTTGTTTTCTTCTTGTCGCAAATGTCGCTGACTTGACTTGACTTGAGTTGAGTTGAGTTGTTTGCTCGCTTTTGTTTGCTTGGCAAATGGCCGCAGCTAGCGCATATTACGTATACGTAATACGTATATTACGTATACGTCATGCAGTCCGCACGCAGCGCCTCTGTTGCAGTTCAAGTTTAGCCTCCTTCTGGTAACTGTTATTCTTGTTGTTCTTGTTGTTGTTGCTGTTGTTGTTGTTGTTGCTGTTGTTGTTGCCGTTGAGTGGCCAACTTGGCCGCTGCCTGCGCTGCATGATAATTTTATATAATTTGCTCTCACGGCAAAATTGTTCGTGTTGCGCTCATCATCATCATCATCATCATCGTCATTATCATCGTCATCATCATCATCGTTATTATTATTACTTTTGGCACTGCCTCCCGCACCACCAGAGCGCACATATGACCCAAAAATGCGTTGCATGCACTATTTTTTTATATTCTTGTTCTTTTTCGGTTTTAATTTCATGCAACTTAGAGATTTATTACACGAATTTTATCGTGTTGCTTGCGTCTTTTTGCTTGGCCCATTTATCCAACTACAGCTGTACGATAGAAAAGGTCAACACAATAAATATATCAAAAATATATCAATAAATCATAATTTGCCAACGTTTTAACTATATGATTTGTAGCACAATATATTATTTATTTTTGAATTTATGCTCTTAATAAAAGAGAAGGTATTAATCATTTAGGCTTTAATAAAATCTCTCACTTCAAATGTGAACAAATCCTAAAACAATTTGTCAATAAGCACGGATATTTTTTAAGTGAAAGGCGATGAGCAGAAAAATTCGATATAAATACGAATAAATAGCAGTGACTAGGGCAATAATCAAATAATTTTAATAACAAAAATAGTTCAACAAATAATATATAAGATAATAACGCATAGCTGGCACATCCGTGTGGTAGGCGGACTTTAGAATACCTCCACAGCAAGTCACAGCTTGTCGTACGAGGCGACTAATAGAGACATTTGCCTGGTACTGGTTACATTCGTGCTTCCGGTAAAATATGTCCAAAAGACTCACTCGCCAGGTGCCATAAATTCCGAGTAGTTGGGATTGGGATAGGCCCACATGTGCGAATATCCTAACAATTGCTGTGCTCAGCTAAGCTAACATATAGAGTCATATATCTGAGGAGATTGTCTAAATAGTTTTAACCTTTAATTATTATGAATTAAATATATTTGTTTTAATTTACAAGAATCTCATGTTTACCCTTCAACTCGCAACACAAGCCCATGAGTTGGTTAATTCCGATCTATATTATATATTCTTAATATCCAAAGTCGATTTGGTCACGCGTGCACTAATTTTATTTAAAGATTGTGGTACGAATTTAATAATCGCATAATTCGTAATGCTAAAAATAATTATTTCTAAATTTGAATATTGCATGCGGGACGATAAAGTCCCGATAAAGTCTTAGTCACTGTTAAGTCTCAAGGGTATATAAAAGCGTGTGCAGACCCTCAAGCCTGCATTAAGTTGTGGATGGTCTCACAGCAAATCCAAGCATGAATGCAGTTTGTGTGGTTCTTGTGCTCATTGGCAGCGTGCAGAGCATTCAGTATGACGTTGGGCTCGAAGGCGAATGGAAGTCCTTTAAGGAGATGCACGGCAAAAGCTATGCCGGCGACAGCGAGGAGCTGCTGCGCAGGAAAATCTTTGCGGACAACAAGAAGCTGATCGATACGCACAATGCACGCTACGAAGCCGGGGAGGAGACCTACAAGATAGGCGTAAACGAGTTCACGGATTTGCTGCCTTCTGAATTCGTATCGAGGATGTTGGGCGGCAGCCTGAATAGCACGGCTGTGAGTGCGGATCATATTTATGCGCCATCCGCGAACCTTAAAATTCCGGAGAGCATGGACTGGCGCACCAGTGGCGCGGTCAGTCCCGTCAAGAATCAAGGAACATGCCGCTGCTGCTGGGCCTTTGCCACAGTTGGCACTTTGGAGGGTCAGAGTTTTTTAAGGACTAAAAAAATGGTTGAGTTCTCGGAACAGAATCTGCTGGACTGCTCCTCTCAGGCGCCCTACAGAAATGCCGGCTGCAATAGCGGCACTCCGCATGAAGCACTCAGATATGTTAAGGACAACCACGGCATAGATACGCGCAGCTCGTATGCCTATGAGGGTCACCAGGGCACATGTCGTTTCCGTAAGCAGTATGTCGGTGTCACAATCAGAGGCATCGCCACGGTCAGGTTTGGCGATGAACGCGCTTTGCAAGCGGCCGTTGCCGAGAAGGGACCAATTGCGGTGACCATCGATGCGCAGCATCTGCAGTATTACCATTCTGGAATTTATAATCGGGCCTGCGGCGGTACCGCACACTACCATGTCATTCTGCTGGTGGGCTACGGCAAGGACAGAGGTCACGATTACTGGCTGCTCAAGAACTCCTGGGGCAACTGGGGCGAAGGCGGCTATTTCCGCATGGCCCGCAATAGCCGCAATCTTTGCTATATCGCCAACTGGCCCGTTTATCCACTAATCTAATCGATATATACAAATATTCATTTAAATTTAAGTTTACCAAACTCGTGTTTATAAATGAGATTTACAGATGAAAAATAAATAATTAAACAAATTTAAGTTTAACTTTTTTTCAATTTGAGCACTTGTCCACTCACTCACAACATTGAAATCTGTTAGCATTACTTGAATTCCTGAAAATCGCATAGAAAGGCGATGTCAACAAGCATATCCTTGCGCCTTGCTATCTCCTACATATCCTTTGTTCATAATCTCATAGCGTAGCACACGGGAAACGCGCGGGCTGCTCATGACCCTGATTTCTGACTGGTCAAGAACGAGTAAAGCGTCATCTGGGGTGACAGAGGCTATGACTAGATGTCACGCAATCAAAGAAGGGGTTGGTATGAGTAGCGGTTGGGTCTTAAAAGATTTAGACACCAAGTCCAACAGCTATCTAGCTAATAAAGAAAAAGGAAAAGCTTAAGGAAAATGACGGCTGAAAGATAGCAAAATGGAATTAAGAAAAAGACATTAATGGAAAAGGAATGTGAAGCGAAAACGAAGAAAAACAATGGGACTAAGAGACAACTCTCAACAACTAAAAATGGGGAACAACAAGAAGCAAGGAATATAAATCGATTAATTATCTAGGACAAATCAAGGAAAATGTAAAAGAAAACAATTTCCGGATGAATTACTATCGACATAAAAAAACAAATGCTGTCAAATATGCAAGGCTAACCAAAACAACAAAGTTGGGATTAAATAAATGGATCAGTGATAAAATATTAGAAACAGTAAAGAAAATGTTTCACAGAAATGCCGAAGATTTAATACCCTTGCGAAAAGCTATTTAACAGCTGAGCTGAGAGCCTGCCTGGCTACGGATCGGGAATGTATATGCTTAATGGTTTTATGGGCATCCATAAATAGCACCTAAACAGAGCAGCAACGGGTGATTATAATAGCCCAGAGCCACCTACGTCAGGCAATACAATTGTTTAATAGCAACAACAACAACAACAACAAGAATGGATCCATTGTTTTGACTTCAAGCCCAACATCCTGACATTGCCAATGCCAACTAACAATCCACACTGCGCTGCGCTGCGGCAAACATACTAAAAGCCGCATCGCATTCAAGTGTTTGCCTGGCATGTAGTGTTAGCCGTGCCTACACCTACACCCTCAGCCCGCCCCTATAGCCCGGATCCAGGACAGCACAAACAATTGTATAGACACCTCGGCGCCGCCACCCGCCGACGCAGCTTAGTGTGGCAGAGTGTGGCAGAGTGTGGCAACAATCTGAATCATCGTTTTAGTTGATGCTCTGCCTATCCCCCTCCAGCCCCCTCCAGCCCCGCTCGGCAAATGTTAATATCTGTTACTGATGCCTTAAGAGGAAAATGTGATAATGTGCTCGAAACAATGAAAGTGCCGCATAAAAATAGCCTGCTGTAGTGTGCGTATTCTCTATCAAGAATCTGAAGAGAATGTTGTATAAAACAGAAGAAAAAAAAACGTTGGTACAAGTGCAACTCGAAGCAGACAATTTGTATTGATCCCCATCTTAATTAAATAGTGAACAATTTGTGAGCTTATGCCCAACTTAATTTCTTGGTCAAATACTTTATGAAGCCGGACAATAAGCGGAGCACAATTATCTAATAATCCAGAGAGACCTTGGAGAGTAGTTAATTTCCCAGAAGATCTGCAGATTGACGTAAGATAAGTGAGAAAGAATAAATATACTCACTTTTACCTTTGTCTAGCTTTAATTCAAATATGCTTTAGCATAACTATTTTCCCAAGCCAAGCTTTTAGCTTCAAATTATAGACGATCTAATTTCCACCCTTTTCCACCCTTAATGAGATGCCTTTGGGTGAAAACTACATATACATATCTCTAAAGTCAAATACGCTTGCAAATATAATTAAGATTTGTATTTTTTGTGCCAATTCACAATCACTTTTCTTAACAAAACTTCTCTTCTTGATGCTGAAAATGTCTGCGCAGAGTCTTGTCATAATTTAAGTCGTATATTTATATGTAATTAAGTTCGCCATAAACTGCAACAAAAAGGACAGTTAGCTTATATGCAATATATTAGTGCGCCGTTGCAAACCATTAAAAAGTCCACACTCCAAAACACTTTGGGTGGAAATTCTAACCGCGTGGAAAAGCGGAAATTCAATGCAGCAGGCACAACAATAAGCAGGTTGGGCAAGGCAAGATTAGTCATGTGCAGGGAAGGCGGGTGTAGGCAGGGGAAGGCGCAGCTTTGCCTTTAGTGGACAATGCGCGCCCATAACACACGTATAATTGGCTGTATACATATATATCTACATATATATACATACGTGTGTGTGTGTGCGTTGGCGAGAGCGAGCGAAATTGTAACGGAAACGGCAGACGCAACGACTCGCTTCGTTTTTTGGCGACTCTCGCGAGAGTGCGCGTCGTGCCCCTGAGAGAAGTGCTGGTTAACGGTACATAAGATTTTGTGATGCATGCATTTGTGTGCGTGTGTGTGTGTATATTTTTGGCCACTGATAAAAGCAAATTTACATGTGCCGCCGTCACAGCTAGATCCCCGCCTCCTACAGTAACGCAGCGCCTACGACAACGACTGGGACTTCGGTCACGGATTTGACTTGTTATGTATGTATGCGTGCGTGTGTTTGTGTGTGTGCATATCTATGTGTCGTAGTTGTCGTTTAAAATGTAGGTTACACACAGGGAAACATCTTCTTACACACACATACACACATTCATACACAGTACACATACTTGCATACGTAAAATAGTTTCCTTCAAGTGCACTCGTCAAAGGCCTTTTCTGGAGTTTTTAATGCAGACTTTTGCGTAGAAAAGGATATTGTACTCTGGCATAAACGAATTCTGGCTTAAAAGCATTTTTATGAGTACCTTTTAGAATTGATGCAATCTGCATCATAGAATATGCAATTAATCTTAAGAGAACTTTACCAATTCCCTTTTGTTACATTCGTAAACGTAACCCTGCCAATTAATACTAAATAACCAATTTTACATAATTAGTTGCATAAATGCATCAGATGTGCACAAAAAGCACAGTTACAAAATAGTTAAGATTCTTTGATGTCTTTCGAAAACATAAATATCTTATGTCCAATAGACTAGCGGTTAATTGGGCTTGTGCTTATGTAAAATTATTAGGTCAGATCAACTCGTTATTAAATCTCATGTGACACCAGCGTTAAATGTGTATTGGCTCCATTAAATTTTCATCGGAAACGTAACATCTATGGTAAGGGCACAAACGGTCAAACAGACCGATATACAAGCCAGTATGTATATTAAATATGTATACACTTTTTATGCGTAGGACAAACAACAACAAACATTCGCTTACCAAAGACGTTAATTCAGTTTAAATTTGCGGCTTGGTACCTAAACACTTCGGTTATGATTGTTAAGATTCGCAATAATTTCACAAAATTTTCACAACTTTTGAATTTAATTTATTTACACATTTAACATGTCGTCGCAAAAACAATATGCAATTAAAACGTAATGCAATTGTTTTTGCTACACGCACTTGTACGGATACTTAATACATCGCACGTACTTTTTTTTTATTTTATTCACAATGCACACTTCCACGTCTAGCACGTCGGCTAATCGCACTAAAACATTTATAGCACACTTTTTGGGGCTACGGCAGTTTACATACTTATGTATGTACATATGTATGTATGTATCAGTATGTAAGAACTTTTATATAGCTGTGCACTTTTTACTCGTGTTGTAGGGACACTGACACTGCACGGACGGGCGAGACTGTGCTGACAGCAATGCTGCTCGCTTGGTGGTTGTTTAGCGTCTGCTCGGGTCCTGGGCAGATAGCCCCTTAGGGTAAGGACCAAAAAAGCCAGCATTGAGAGTGCGCCTAGAAAACTGAGGGTAACATAACAAAAACAGCATCTAACAGCTGTTGTCTAGGCGCGCAATTTACATTAATTTCAAATGTTCTTACATTTTTGAATCACGCGCCATTTTTAACAGATCAAGAGTTTTATTAATTTGCACATGCTGGTCACACACTGTTTTAGCAGCTCTGTTACTCTGATCAAGTTTAACTTTAACAGCGGTTATCTTTTACTAAATGGGCTGTCTCGCTCGCACGCTGTGTTGATTACTAATTCTAGTCATGCACTCTATTAGCAGATATGTTATTATGATCAGCATACCGCTTAACAGCTGTTATATTTAACAGCGCAATCCGTCTCTCTCTGCTCATGGTAGCTTTCGTCGTTTGATGCGCCATAGCAGCAGTTCAATAGGTTCCATACTTTCAATGTGAACGCATTTGTTTTTAAGCAGAGTGCAAGTGCAATAGTAAACAGAGGTATAGAAAATAGATTTAAAATGCGATTGTGGTTAAACTTAGCGCTGCTGGCTTGCTTAGCACTGGCAGGTGAGTAATATGAAATGAATGCAATAATTAAAATTTATGTACAAAGTGTGTGTGAGATTGTCTAAGCGGCTTTTTCTCTTGGTATGTGTTCAGCTTTTATATACCATATATGCATGTATGTGTGTGCGTGTTTGTGTTTATTGAAAGCGTGGCGTGAGCTCAGTATGTACATGTGTATGTACTGAAATGGCTGCCGGTAACCGCTATAGTTTGCTAAAGTGCCGTTTGCTTTTCCAGCTCATGGAAAAAATCCGCCTCGTTGGGATGCCAATTACATAGTGAAGGGCACTCTTTATATACCCTATGCAGAGATAGCGGAGCCCTTTTACGCCTGGTATGACAAGAACACGAAACGCTCCCGCATTGATTATTACGGGGGCATGGTCAAGACATATCAGCTTGCCGGCGAGGGCCAATATGGTACAGCTCTAAAACTGGCGCCCGTCTCGACACGGGAGGAGCTCAATAAGCTGAGCTGCCTGCAAGTGAACGGTACCGCCGAACAGGCTGTGGAAATCCAAAGCATTTTGCCCGATGCGAAACCCTTTACTCTGGTTGGCACCGAAACATTCTTGGGTTTTACGTGCGACAAGTTCCGCTTGGAGCAGACTATTGGGCAGAAGAAGAACGTGTATACGCTGTGGGTGCGGTACAAGAAGTCACCGCATTATCCGTCTAGTCTGATGCCGATTCCGGTGCGCTACGAGATGCACGGATACAATACGCTGCTTGGCTCCCATTATGATCATTATTATCTGGATTACGATAGTTACGAGCATGATGACATACCCAATGAAGTGTTTGAGATCGATGAGAGCCTCACGTGCACTGGCTTCCCAGGCCCAGGCACCGGCCATTTCGCCACCTTTAATCCCATGCAAGAGTTTATCTCCGGCAGCGATGAGCATGTGGACAAGGCATTCCACCATTTTAAGCGCAAGCATGGCGTAGACTATCGCAACGAGAAGGAGCACGAGCATCGCAAGAACATTTTCCGCCAGAACTTACGTTATATCCACTCCAAGAATCGCGCCAAACTAACCTACAAACTGGCTGTCAATCATTTGGCCGACAAGACTGAGGAGGAGCTGAAAGCGCGACGTGGTTACAAGTCTTCCGGCGGTTACAACACTGGCAAGCCTTTCCCCTATGATGTGAACAAGCACAAGGATGAAATACCCTCCCAATATGATTGGCATATGCTTGGAGCTGTCAGCCCCGTCAAAGGTGGGTGGAGTCCACTTCCAACAACCCTTATTTCAATACCAATAATCTTCTGCTCCTAGATCAATCGGTTTGTGGCTCGTGCTGGTCCTTTGGCACCATTGGCCATTTGGAGGGCGCTTATTTCCTTAAGAACGGTGGCAATTTGGTGCGTCTCTCGCAGCAGGCGTTGATCGATTGCTCCTGGGGCTATGGCAACAATGGCTGCGATGGTGGTGAGGACTTCCGCGTATATCAATGGATAATGCAAGTTGGCGGCGTACCAACAGAGGAGGAGTATGGTCCCTACTTGGGTCAGGATGGTTACTGCCACATTAGCAATGTTACGCTCGTCGCACCCATCAAGGGCTTTGTCAATGTCACCTCTAATGATCCAAACGCCTTCAAGTTGGCCCTACTCAAGCACGGCCCGCTTTCGGTAGCCATTGATGCCTCGCCCAAGACCTTTAGCTTCTACTCGCATGGTGTCTACTATGAGCCCGAGTGCAAGAACGATGTCGATGGTCTCGATCATGCAGTGCTGGCCGTTGGCTACGGCACCCTCAGTGGCGAGGATTACTGGCTGGTGAAGAACTCCTGGTCCACTTACTGGGGCAACGATGGTTATATTTTGATGTCTGCGCGCAAAAACAACTGCGGCGTTATGACCATGCCCACCTATGTGGAAATGTAAAGCCTGAGTTATATTAAACTATTTCATTTTGTACTTTTTATTCTGTCACGCCCCCAAGGGCTTTAAAACGAAAATGCAATAAACAATATGTCAATACTCTTTTGTAATCCAAGTCTGATGCTTCTTATCGCTATATATATATAGTTCTAAATATAATATGCCTTCTACGATGCCACAGCTATATCTATGTCTTTCTGGCTTTCTCTCTGACTCCAACTACTCTGCAGCGATAAGTTTAGATGACAATGACCAGCCGTGCGCCGCACTTTGATCTGGTACTGAACATTATCTGGTAATTATACACAATGGGCTAATATTACGTCCCGCCTGCAACAGCTATTTGCCTTACAGAAATATGAGATTGGCCAAGTACAATAAGTATGGCGTATTATATGTTTACATGTTATATGGCATGTTCTCTAGCAATTTGAAAACTTGATACGAATCAATTAACGTTAAATTCAAGACAAAGGAAAAATATATAAACTGCGGTTGTCACAATGACAAAATGTTTATCAATGGTTTGCAATATAAAAAAATAAAGGAACTATTACGTCCTCTTTACTTCACAAATACAACTCCACATATGCAAAAATAAAAACACCATAGTTCTATAATTTTATTTTCGTTTTATTTGTGTTTTTCGATTTTCTGTTTATTGGTAAAGAATCTTACGAATCCAATTTTTTAATGTATTTTACAGACGGAAGTGTTATGCTAACATTCGCGTGTGTTCTGCGTGTTTTTTGTTTTTAGTAAATAATTAACATATTTAATGTACATCAGTTAAACCAAATGTTAAGGCTAAAAACTCTACTCTTATTATTCAAATTCGCACTTAAAAGTTATGCAAAATACTTAAATTACAGTAAAAATGATTACATTGATTTTCCATCAAATAATTTATACGTAATTTCTTGTGTAATTCTGTAAAACTAATTTTCTTTTGCTTTTCTCCATTTTCTTTACGAAATTTTTTTAAATATATATTGTATCTAAATGTAGTTTAGTATTATACAGATCTTAAATAAATTAACAATATATTTTTTTAATATAAAATCGTTTTCTTAAGTTAGCATTTTGTATTTTACACTTTCTCCTTACAAAAATCGTTCTTGTGTTTGTTTAATATGTACATAAAGAATAACCCATAGAAAAAACAACAAAAGTAAATATAATATAGTTATCCTTCTACCTTCTATAGCATTTAAATATATTAGAATTCTTTTAAAAAATCATGTTTTTTAAGATGGCTTCCAATCTAAAACTCAATATTTTTTAAATGAATTTTTCACAGAAAGTTTATAAAATATATATTTTAAGAAATCAGCAAAAGTACTTTGAAGAAGTAAAAAGAAAATGTTCTGGCTATACTTCAAGAAAATTAATTTTTTTTTTTTTGAAAAGTTGTATAGAGAAGAAAAGTTGAAGCGAAATTTATGATGGAAGTTCTTTCATAGATAGGGTTTAGGCAATATTTATATTCTTGAAGTAGTCCCAAAAAGTAGAGAAAATATCAAATATTTTCAGACCATCCTAATTAACATTCAAAATTAATTTAACTAAGCGACGCCAATAAAATATGAAACTTTCATTTTAGAAGAGCCAATTTGAAACCATCTTAAGCAGCACAAACTTTTGAATTTGGAAATAATTGTAACGCTAAATTAAATATTATAAAAAAATTCTGCGAATCCAAAAGATTTCAACTGCTTAAATGTTAAATGTAAAAGTTGTTATATACAAAAATTAAAAATTTGTTTTCAATTTGTAAGTATTAAAAAAGGAGCGGATCTCTTTAATTGTTTTGGAGTTGTAATTCTTAAATATTAAATTAGTTAGACATATTCACAGGGTTAGGTGACTTTCCTATTTTTCTGGTATTTCTCGGAGACAACCTTGAGTAAATTGTTTTTAGAAACGAGAAAAAATAAATCAATCCATAAATAAGAAAGTATATTTTGTTTTAAGGGATTCTGAAGATTTGAATGAAATATAAATGAAATATCTGTGCTGGGAGTGGAAAGGGATTCTTACAAGCTAATTACGCGACGGCCTAGTTTAGAGCCTGTTATATACATTGTTTAAATTTTAAATTTGTTGTTGTTGTTGTTTTTAGGCATATGCTTAAGTTTAATTACGTTCAATTAACTCGCGTTTTGTACTCTTTTTTCAATGTTTAGCTTACAAACTAAAGTAGCGTTTGTTTTTTTTTCTTTTCTTTTTCGTTCTCTTTTTTTTTGTGGTTTTTTTTTTTTTTGGTTAAAACTAACAATTAAACAAGTTATTTTTTGTGAATTTTATGTACAAATATTTAACAATATGCGATTCGCTCTTACGTGTTTGCAAAATTTATTTATTTACAGTTTAGTTCCATTTATTTTGGTTTATAGTATTGCTTGCGTTTTAAGCCTGGTTATGTTGTTATCAATTTCCGTTTTAATCAGATGTGGTAGTTCATATTTTTTTCTTCTCTTATCAACTTTACAACTATTATAGGTTAATGAATAGTAAAAAAAAATCAATAATTATATATTGTGTACTCGTATTTTCTTTTGCATATTTCAATTAGTATAAATAAAAGTAAAAATTCTTGAAACTCTACGCAACTAAAAATGTATAATAGTAAAATATAATTTGTATATTAATACATATATGCATTTAAATTAGTTTAAAACAAAAGGAAATTTAATGTTAACTAACAAGTTGCTTACATTTTTTCTTTCAATTAGTTTGTTTCTCCTGTATTACTAAGCATTTTATACGTTTATAGCGATTATATATATATATCGTATTTATACTACTATATAAAGATATATTTATGGAGTAGAATTACATAAGTTGCTCGACTGTTACGAAAAGAAAAAAAAAACGCGACGACTTTAACTACTAGTTAGTTTAGCAGAAGGTATTTCTTATTTTTCGTTTTTTGTTTTTTTTTTTTTCTTGAAAATTACATTGCTGCTGTCTATTACATATAAACATATAGAGATATATGTATTCAAGTAGTATTAATTATAGCGAGTTATAGCGTTTACAACAAAAATAATAAGGATTTAATATTTGTGACTGCCGTTGCGTTTCTTCCGGGATTTTCTGTACATTTGTATAAATAAGGAAAGCGCGTTTAGCATATATATATATAGATCATCCTGTGGATACGCCAGCAATTGGTTGTTAGCAATACAGATTTGGATTGTATTTAACTGGGCTACATTTTTGGTTTATCCTGGTTTTAATTCCATCAATTGGAGATTGCTGTGTAAGAAAGATTTTTGTCATTATTATAAATATGAATAGGGATTATGCGCTATTTTTATACTCCATGTGACCATGGGCAGTTATTTGTTATAACTTTCTTATAAAAATAGTTGCATCTTTGTATTTTCAATTTCAATTGCATTTTATGTTTCACGATGTTCATTCAATGCATTGCTCATGGATATCGCATCTCTACCTACCCATTATCTGCTCAGCCTACGGCCTTGCGCCTAGGCACCATCTCGCCTGGTGGCCGCTGCAGCTGCCTTATCCACTATGCTACCGGCAGCTGTTGTGCTGGCGCCCAGGCGCTCGATGACGCGCGAATCACAGGAAATGGTGCGCTGCAGGCAACGTGAGCGTTCGCTCATCTTCTCCTGCTGCTGCTCCAGCAACGTGGGCGCCGCATTAAAGTGGCCACCTGCGAAAGAAAAGCGTACAATGGATAAGCGCCATGGATTTTTACTTTGGATTTATGAGCTTACCCTTGGGCTTGTCGTCGAACATGTGCAACTTGTGGGCGGTGCTCAGGATGCTGTTGACCGTGCTCAGCGTGGCTGCCGCTGAGTTCACCACAGAGTTCTTTGTGTTGCTCTTGACCGCCGAAGATTGCTGCTGCTGCTGCTGCTGTGGCAACTGCTGCTGCTGCTGCTGCTGGTAGTGGTGATTGTTGCTGTTGTTTTTCTGGTTTTGGTGAACGCTTATGGAATTGCGACGCTCACGCATCGCCTGAAAGCGCTCCGGTGACTGAAGCGAACATTTGTTGATGGTCTGCGGCTTGGCAAAGCAGCGCTCCGTTGGAGTTGTAGGCGTCGTGGGCGTTGTCGGCGCCGCATCCACAGAGGGCCGATGCCGCATGCGATACTCACTAATGGAGAGCTTGCGCTTGGGCATTGGCGCCGGCTCCGGCACTGTCAGCATGGGATTCAGGCGTGGATCATGGCTGGCAGTTCGTGTGTACAGCTTAAGCGGCGTTGTTGCCGGTGGCGGCATGCTCTCCAGCGCCGAAATAGCTTTACTGTTGGCGGCTACTGCTGGCGTGACAATTGCTGCAGCTGTTGATGGTGATGCAACAGCAACAGCTGGTACTGCCACCGCCGCCGCCGTCGCCGCTTTTGTTTTGGTGGCCTCCAAATACTCGGCCAAACTGGGCATGCTGCTGCTGCTGTTGATTTTGGCCATCGGCGAGGACACCAATGCTGCGCTCGCTGGCAACGCGGGTGGCTCCTGCAGTTTGCCATAAATCGTATTATAAAACGGCAATTGCTTAGCCGCCGAGCAGGCGCTGCCGGCAACGACAAGGGGCACCGACATGGACATGGGCATGGGCATGGACATGGCGGCTGGTGTTGCGAGTGTTGGTTGTGTTATCAGCACGGGTATTGGGGCTGCTGATATGGGTACGGGTTGTACAGTAAGTGTGTTTGGCTTAGTTAGAGCTGCCTTAACTAGTGCCGGCTTGGGCATCGTTGCATTTATTGCAGTTGGTGGCTGTTGCTGTTGCACCTTCTGTTTATTGTTGCCCTTGGTCTTGGTCGACACCTTGTCTTTATCCTTTTGCTTCTTTTCACGGTCCTTTTTCTTGCTCTTTTTCTTTTCCTTCTTCTCCTTTTTGATCGCTGCCGCTATGAGCGCTGCCTGCTGGCGACTGCCGCACATAGACTCCCGCCGCCGACTGATGGGCGTCAACTTGCCGCTGGCTATGGCAGCCGCCAGGCTCATCGAACCTACTGCCTCCTGCTGCTGCTGCTGATGATGATGGTGATGATGGTGGTTGTTTTCCTTGCGATGCTGCTGCTGTGCTGTTGGGGTCGTGGCAACTGCAGCTGTTACTGCTGCTGTTGCTGTCGCTTGTTGATGTTGCTGCGGTGCTTTGCTGCTGTTGAGCAATAAGCTGCTGCTGAGTATTTGGCTGTTGGGTTTGGTCAGCTCCTGCTCAAAGTTGGTTTGACGCTTCTTCGTTGTGGCAAGTATTGCAGATGTGGGCACTATAGTTGTTGGGCAGGGCGTGGCAGGTGTTATGCACATCGACATGGTGCGACGACGCAGCGCCGATTGTTGCTGCTGTTGCTCGAGCGTGTTGCTGTTGTGCTTCGTCTTGCCATTGGCTGTTGCTGTTGTTGTTGTTGCTGCTGTTGCTGTAATTGTCGTCGCCGCTGCTACTGCTGCAGATGTTGCAGCTGCAACTATTGCTGACAATTGCTGCTGCTGTTTGCTTTCTTTGGGCTGCTTCTTTTTGGGCTCAGGCGGCGGCGCCGCCGCCACCAAAGCGGCTATGGCAGCTGCCTTCAGCTTGTCCTTCTCCTTAGACTTCTTTTTATCCTTTTTCGACTTCTTCAGCTGCTTGTCGCGCTCCCGCTTCTCATCTTTCTCCTTGCCGGATTTCTTGGCGGGCAGATCTACGCCAGCAGTGTTGCTGCTGTTGCCCTTGCTGGAGCTGCTGCTGCTGCTGGTTGCCTTCTTGTTGCGCGATTGCAAGTAGGATATATTTTCCGCATGGAAGGATAACAAGCGCTCTTGTATATCCAGTTCGGTCAGATTTTTGCTGCTTGCTGCAGGCGTTTCTATTGCTAGCGTTGGTGTTGCTGACGTGGGTGTTGCTAATGCTTTAGTAGCAGCAGCAGCTGCTGCTGCTGCTGTTGCTGCTGCGGCTGCTGGTGTTGAGTTCACTTCCAGTTTGGGCTTCTTTTTGAGCGGCTCCTCTTCTTCTTTCACAGGTGCTACGCGCGCCTTGATAGCAGGCTTTACCGAATCCACAAGCGCTGTAGTTATTATTGTTGTTGTTGCTGTTGCTTCTGGCATTGCTGTTGCTGCTGCTGTGCGCAACAGCGACTCACCCGGTTTGGGCTCCGGGATTGGAGCGACTTTGCTGGCAACCGGTTTAATTGCTAGCTCTGGTTTAATCTCTATCTTAGGTTCCATTTTGGCCACCCGTTGTTTCTCCTCTGTTAAAGTCTCTGGCTTCGGTTGCTCCTGTTGCTGTTGTTGTTGCTGCTGCTGATGCTCCTGCTGCTGTTGTTGTTGTTCCTCCTGCTCGCGCTTGACCTTAAGCAGTTCCTCGAACTTATCACACGCCTGACTCTCCTCACGCTCCACATCAATCTTGACATCCTCCGCTGCGGCACTCGTGTCCTCTGGTTCGATCTTGACCAGATTGTCCTCGGCCACAATTTGCTGTGCGCCTGGACTGGGCGAGCGCAAGATGTCCACATCGTCATCCTGCTCAAAGTGCTGATGTGTCTCGACTTTCAAGTGCTCCGTTTTCGGTACCAATTCCTCCAACTTATGCTCCTCCTCGCCGGCGCTGCCAATGACATCAATATGCGGCTCCTCGGCTGCCGTCGCCTCGAGGCCACCGTTGCTGATGACCACCAGACGTCGCTTCTTAAGCGGCGTGCTAAAACCATTGGACAGCAGCGGCGAAGTCTGCTGCTGTTGCGGCGATATGCTGGGCGTGGGCGTAACCGGTGCCTGCGGCTGATTGTCATCGGTGGTCTCCTCGCTAATGGCCTGTCGCAGCCAGCGCTTCTTAACCGACGAATTGTTCTGCACTGAAGTCATCTGTGAGCGCTCTGTGGCCTCCACTTGATGTATAAACTGTTCCACCTTGAGCAGAGCCGGAGCTGGCGCATCCAATTGCATTTGCTGTTGGGGGATTTGCTGCACCTGCTGTTGCTGTTGCAGTTGCTCCCTGGAGCCATTTATTTCGCTCATGGCCGCCTGCACCAGGCTGTCCAGACCGGATTGTTGCTGGTGCTCGCATTGCTCCGATTGGAACCAGCTCGACATGAGCGTTTTCTTGGTCTTGGCCCCACTGGGCGGATATTTGAACTCGCCAACTGAAGGTGACTGCAACGGATTCACTATCGACTGCATCTGCTGCTGCGGCGGCGGCTGTTGCTCCAGTGGACCCATCGCAGCCTCAATTAGCAAACAGGCACTGCTTACCGCAGATGTTGCTGCCGGCGGCTTGAAGGGCTCGCAGTTATTGTGCGCCAGCGCCAGCAGCAAGTCGGCATCTTGATCCGCCGATTGCTGATGTTGCTGCTGCTGCTGCTGGAGGATGTTGCTGCTGTTGTTGGGAAGCTGTAAGGCTGGGGAGGCTAGCTCCGATTCGGTATGCGATTCAGCATCCGATTCGCTCAGACTTTTCCTGCGCTTGCTGTTGTTATTGTTGTTGTTGTTGTTGTAGCTGCGACTTACTTTGCGCTTCTTTTTGTTGCGCTTTGCCTTGCTGTTGTTGTTGCTGGTGGTGGGCGTGCCTATGCCCACTGCACTGGAATCGGCCGACTCGCTAATGGAATTGCTGCTCGCATTGCGTTTGCGGGGCGATGCTGGCGAATTGCTGGCACGCTGCTTGCCGCCCGACTGGCGACTGTCCGCGCCAGCAGCTGCTCCGCCTGCTTTTTTGCCGCGCGCCTCCTGCTTCTCCATTTTATCAATGGCACGCAATATGGCCTCTAGCTTGCGTTCCTCGCGAGATTTTGGTTTGTCCTTTTTAGCGGCGGGAGTTGATGTTGCCGGTGTGCTAGCTGTTGATGCGGACGTCGTCTCCTCCTCCTTGGCGTCTTGTAAGGGGCTGCTGATTGTTGTTGGTGTTGTCGCTTTCGCGGGCGTTTTTCGTGCGGCTGGCGTTGCATTAACATTGTTGTTATTGCTGCTGCAGTTGTTGTTGTTGTTGTTGTTATTGTTAGGCTGTAAAGACGCTTTCGTAGGCGTTTTCGTGGGCGATACTGGTGGCTGATATACCTGTGCTTGTGACGGTTGCTGCTGTGGCGACAACTGTTGCTGCTGGGGCTGTTGCTGTGGTTGATTCAACGACTGTGTTGCTGCTGCTACCTTGATAGGGGTTACAATGTGTGCTGTGGGCGTAGCATGCAAGGTTTGCAGCGCACTAACCGCCATGCGTGCCTCATCAGCCAACTGTTGCTGCTGCTGTGCGTAATGTTGCAGCTGCTGCTGCTGCTGTTGTTGCTGCTGTTGTTGCTGCTGCTTTTGCTGCTGCTGTTGCTGCGCTTGTTGCTGCTGTTGTTGATGCACATTGACCTGCTGCTGCTGCTGCGGCTGCAGATAGTACGTGGTCATCGGCTGCTGTGCCGCAGCTGCTGCTGCAATTACCGCCAGCGGCTCCTGTTGCTGTTGTGTCTGCAACAGCGAAGGTTGCTGCTGTGTCGGCTTCTGCAGCAGTTGTGGAGATAGCAACATGGGCGTCGGTAGCGCTGCGAGTATTTGCTGCTGTTGCTGGGTCGGACTGCGCTGCAGCAGCGATGTCTGTTGCTGCTGTTGTTGATGCTGATGCTGCTGCTGATGCTGCTGCTGATGCTGTTGCTGCAGCTGCAATGTAGGCGACTGCAACTGAGTCGGTGTGGGCGATGGAATGGACACAGATGGCGATGAGGAGGAGGTACAGATTCCAGAATCGTGCAGCACACTGGACATAGAAACGGAGCACGAATTGTTGCTGTTGCCGCCATTGCTATTGCTACTGCAGAGCATTGCAGCAGCAGCAGCTGTTGCAGCTGCTGTCGCTGATGCCGTCGCCGCCGCCGTCGCACCGCTGCCAACTGTTGCCGTCACCAGGGCCGCCGAACTGGGCTTAAAGCCCAAGTTCAACTGGCTCAGCTGCGGACTATTAAGGCCCATATGGCTGCTGCTCTCACCGCTGGAGGAGGTGGAACGATTGCGTGCTGTCGCCGCTGCCGCTGCTGCTGCTGCAGCCGCCACAGTGCTGCTGCCCAGGCCCATGGTGAGCTGTATGGCTGCCGCGCTGTTGGCAGCTGTTGCCGCTGCCGCCGCAGCAGCGGCCGCCTTGTTGCGATGACTGCTGCGCGGCTGAGCGGGCGGCGCCTGCAGCTGCTGTTGGACAGCGAGCGGCAGGGCGAAAAGGCAATCGCTGCCCAGATCACAGGCACAGCGCGTGCTCGTCGGCTGTATGACCGCCGAATGAGATTTCTTCTGTTCGACGGCGGCCAAATCATGCGGTTCATGCCGCACAGTTATCTCCGTCTGTGCCCGAATGTGCGTCAGCGCCACAATATACAGATGCAGTGTGCCTTTCTCGAAATAGTGCTGCAGTTCGGCGTTGGGACGGCAGGAGCGGCGCACGAAGCGCGCATCGTTGCCATAGGTGCGCGTATCGACACAGACTTCGGGTCCTTTGAGGTAAGCGGGCAGCGGTGGTGGCGGATGCTGATGTGCCATCTGGGGATGCGTTTGCATGGGCGCCTCGACGCCAGGCAGCTGATAGAAGAACACAAACTGTCCAGGCGTCTTGTGCACTTTGAAGCTATTCAAATAGTTACTCGGCGGCGGCGTATTCATGTTCACGGTGGGATTCTGCGTGCGAAACTGTGTGGTCAGCATGTATTTACCCCGTAGCTCGTGAATGGGCGCATGCGGCGCCAGATCAATGCTGCTGATCAACACCTTGGCACCCGCATAGGGTATCAGTTGGGCGCGCTTCTCCAGTTCACTGGCACAACCGCCGGCAATCAGACGCAATGCCTTATTCTCCGTATTCTGTATGCTCTGCAGCAGGCTGGGCTGCTTCTGTATGGCGTGCAGGCGGGCGCGCAGCTCCGGCGAATAATGATTTGTGACCGCGTATTCATAGTGTTCGATCCATTGACGCAAGTTGGCCGCATGCTTCTCGGCGGCGGTCAGGGCGGGACTGCTGCCGCCGCTGCCATCGCCATTGGATTTGCTCTTGCGCTTGCTGCTCTTCTTTGCCGACTTGGTGCTGGCTGTGCCGCCGGCCGTGCCGCCACTGGCATTCAGTTTATCGCCGCTCTTCTTGCTCTTCTTGAGCGTAACGGCGGCGCCATCTTTGGTTTTCTTCGATTTCTTGTTAAGGCCGACAGCGCCAGTGCCAAATCCGCCATTTGGTCCGGCTCCCAGCCGCTGCTGCTGCTGCTGTTGCTGCTGCTGCTGCTGGTGTTGCTGCAGCTCTTGGCTGTTGTACAGTAGTCCAGCCGCTGCTGTTGCTCCGGCGCCCAGTGAATTGGCTGCTGCCGCGGCTGAAGCGGCGGCGGCGGCCGCAGCGGCAACTGCTGATGTGGGTGCACCACTTGCCGCCTGTGTGGCCACCAGCAGCATATGCTCCCGTCGCTTTTGACGCTGTAGCGCACGTGCTCTGGCCTTGTCCACGGGTCGCGGCTGGCACAGCTCGCACTGATACTCTTCGGGTATGTTGAGACGGTCAATACCCATGCAGTCCACGTGCTGCCAGGCTCTGTTGAAGCAAATAGTTTTGGATTAGTTAGCGCCAGAGCACGGGCGGTTCTGGAATACTCACGAGCACTTGTCACAACATATCATATAGCCATCATCGTGGGTTAGTTCACATATGCAGCGCGTGACTGAATCATCCTCAGCTTCCGCTTCGGGCGCCGTTTCCGTCTCCTCGCCGGGATCGATGTCGGCACCGGCCAGACGCGAGCTGCCGCTTATAGCCGAGTGAGCATCATCATCAGGCACATGCCGTCCAACTGTGCAGACAAAATACCATTAAATTTAGTTTTGCGCTTGGCAAAGAGCAGAATTCACATTTAGTATAACTTACTCTGCTGCCCAAAGTAGCTGCTATAGCTGCCTGGAGCTGGTGCGGCGCCTGCCACCGTTACACCAATGCCACCAAGAGACCATTGCTGTGGCTGCTGTTGCTGCGCGGATGTGCTTCCAGCGGTGGCTGCCTGCTGCTGTTGTTGTTGCTGCTGCTGCTGTTGCTGTTGCTGCTGCTGCTGCTGGGAGGCGTACGTATGATCCTGCATAATAGCATGCAGTTGCTGCAAACGCAAATCCTGTGTGTGCACAGGCACTGGTCGCACCTCTTCAATGTATAGCTCCTCCTCGTTTGCGCTCAACTGCGGCTGCTGCTGCTGCTGTTGTTGCTGCTGGGTCTTCAACATAAGCGTTGTTGCCTCCACGTGCACTGGTGGCAAATGTGGCGCCGCTGGCGAACCCAACGTTATCGCCGTGTGCAGACTCGTGTTGGAATTGGTGCGGAGATTACCGGTCAGATTGCTAATGCTGCTGCTGCTGTGGCTCAGGCTGCAGAGGCGATGCAAGAAAATAAATTAAAATATTTGTTAGTTGTGCGCGTTGACAATATTAAAAGACTCGATGACTCTTTTAACAAAAACCTTTCCGTTCTGATGCCGGCACAGAAGTAAACAGAGCTCGATATCGATAGCTACAGATGAATCTGTATACAGTAGGTGGGGGTAACACAGCTGCATGGTGCTCAGAAATCAGGGTAACTTTTCCGTATCGAAATTTTCTCCGCTAACAATAAATTTTTGTCTAGCAAACTTGAGGCAATTTTTATTTTCATATTCAACAACTGTCAAATGGCAAACAAACTAGATCAAAATTGTATTATAAATGCACCTTGACTAATTACTTGAATTGGAAATATTTCAATTTTATGCTTGACAGAGTTCAAATTCAAGAGCTCGTTTGCAATACTCTATTACAATATGACAGAAAATGTGCTGACAATTTCGACTCTTAAGAACTGCTAATCTGACTTTGAATATAATACCTATAAGTTTTTTCCGATTCTTATGAACGCGTCGATGTCAAAAACTGCAAGAGCTGAAGAAAATACAATTGGTATGTAGATATCTCTATTGAATATCTCCTCTTGCTATCACCATTTAATATTCCGAATGGATTTTTCGACTATTCGTAAACTAAATAAACTATATTCCTCAGATTAAAATAAGAATGAAAATTGAGACATTATCTGAACAATTTAAATATCGTAATTTATCGCAAAGTAACTATTACTATATAAAAGAGTAGTTGCTATATCAAAGCTAATCACTCACCTGTGCTTATAATACTCGACCACATTGGGTGGCGGCTTGCGGATGGTTGCTGCTGTGAGAGCCTCGTGCTGCAGATGTTGTTTGCGCTCCAGTGATGTGGCTCGACTACTTGGCGCACTGACCGATTGGCGACGCGCCGCCGTTGCCGACATGTACGAGGACATTGCGGCACTGCCGCTGGCAAAGCCATGCGAGGAGATGCTCACCGAGGGTGTGCTGGAGGAGGTTACCGTGAGATATGATGCGGATGATGCTGATGGCGATGGCGATGAAGCTGGTGTCAATGTTGCTGCTGACGAGCTGGGCGACATGCCTGCCGCCGCCTGATAGTGGGTCAGCAGCAGATTACCCGACGACGCTGTCACTGCGCTGCTACTGCCGCTAACGCTGCTGCTGCTGTTGTTGTTGTTGTTACTGCTGTTGCCACCGTATATAATTTGCGTAGGTGCTGATGTTGGCTGCGGCGGCGGCATGCTTGTATTTGTTGCTGCTCCCGCTGCTGCTGCTGCTGCTGTAACTGTTGGTGTTGTCTGCTGCTGATAGCGCTGCTGCTGCTGACTGAAGGACTTTTGGGCCATGCTCTGCAAAATGCGTGCCGACAACTCGTCTGTCATCTGCGTGCCATTCACAATCATCACATCATCGGTGATCAGCGACGATTGGTGGTGATGCTGCTGCTGCTGCTGTTGCTGCTGATGATCGGTGCTGCTGTCACTGCTGCTGCTGCTGCTGTTGTAGTGTATGCGCTTGGGCTGGCCCTGCGGCTGATGCTGCTGTATGACGGTGCCGTGCGAATTGACAAACTTAATGGCGCCCGGCGTGGACTGCTGCAGCATGTAGCCGCCACCGCCGCCCGTGGCCGATGTCGTCTTCTGCTGCAGCTGCGTGCCCTGCGGCAAATTGGCGGCCAACTGTTGAAGCGGTTGCTGTTGCAAGACATACTTTGTGTTGCTGCCTGCAGTCAGTTTGCCAAGCTTGTTGGGCGTCAGCTGCAGCTGCTGCTGCTGCTGTTTGGCGTAGACATTCTGCTGCTGCTGAGGGACGGCAGCAATGGACAGCCCGGTGGCTGCGCTGCCAACGCTGTTGTATTGCTTGACAAATTTGGTTTTGACTCCTGCTTTGTGTGTTGCCTGCTGTGAGGAGATAAAAGCTTTAAACTGCTGTTGTTGTTGTTGCTGGTGCTGCTGCTGCTGCTGTTGTTGTGGGTGATGTTGCTGCAACATATTGCCAACACTTTTAACAGTTATCTTTTGATTGGCCTTCTTGAGCAGAGCCGCAGCTGCGCCGCCAGCTGCTGTCGTTATCGCCGGCCGATTGGCCACAGCATTTACATATTTCTGCTGTGCCGCTGCTGCTGCTGGCTGCACAATTATCTGCGGCGGCTGCTGCTGCTGCTGTTGCTGCGGAGGCACATACGATTGGAGTCGCGTTACAACACGGGAGCCCAACGTCACCTTATGCATTAGCGGCGTTGTTGTTGCCTGCTGCGTTGCCTGCGCGTAGCCTTGCAATTGTTTTGTATTGGCGCCAGCACCCACGGTTTTGTAGGCGCTGACAGTGCCAAACTTCTGCTGTTGTTGCTGCTGCTGCTGCTTAATTGCGGGCGTGGCCGTCACATAGGGCAAATTCTTCGCGTTGACATAGCTAAGCTGCTGCTGTTGCTGCTGATGTTGTGACTGGGAGGACATGGATGGCGCCTGCTTAGACAGCACCGTGAGATTACTAAGCAAAAGCTGGGAGTTATGTGGCGGCGCCGCGGCTGAGGTATCGATGATGACATTGCTAGTACTGCCATCGGTAGTAACAATCTTGTAGATTTGCGGATTAAGCAATTCATGTTGCTGCTGCTGGTGTGGCATATGCTGCTGTTGCGTTGCTGTCGTACGCACCGCGTACTTTTGAGCGGGCTGCGCTTGAATGGACATGCGCCGCTGCATGGTGCGCTTCAGCTGCGCCTGCGTTGAGAGGCTGCTCCCATCGATGACAATATGCGGTGGATGCTGCTGCTGCTGTGGCCCGCTGATGCCAATTCTGCTGCTGACGCTGTTGTTGCTGCTGCTGTTGCTGTTGCTGCCGCTGCTGACGACAGGTTCCACAAAGACCGTGTCGTGCGTGGACATGGGCATTTTTACAAATTTTATTGCTCACCAAATAATATTTGTATATTTTTATATATATATATGCGGTATATTGTTTTAAAACTAAATTTTTATGCTTTAGACGGGGGCGGGGGATGCTTTTTACTGGTGCTAAGTTTTTGTTGCTCTTTTGCTTCTTATGTTGCTGCTTATGCTTTTTAACTTTTGGCATTTCACAACACTACTTCACTAGACATCTTTTTCACTAGAAGCTTTTGCCTCTGCGGCCGCCGCTGTTGTTGTTGTTGTTGTTTTTGTTGTAGTTCTTGATCTTGTGACTTTAGCCGCGTTGCGCTGCTGTCCCTGTTGCTACTGCTTCTATTGGTGATGGTGCCCCCAAACCTTTGGGGGCCTAATGCATAACCAGAAATGCTCTTTTCGGCGGCGTTTGCCTGACCGCTGCTGGCAGCTGCTAATTGTAGGCGGCGCGCATTCAAATTGCAAAAACGATTTCCAACACTGTGCCACATTACATTGTTAGCCATTACAAACATAACGGTGCGTATTGTTCCTTCTACTTCTCTTCTCTACTGAGTCGACGCTTCCTATTGGCGCGCCTACTGTTACTTTTCCTATTGCAGTTAAATTCTAACACTCGTTGTTCTTGTTCTCGGCGTGTCGTTGTTTTGTTTTGTTTTGTTTTGTTTTCTTTTTGTTGTTCTTGTTGTTGTCCAGCACAACGAAACTGCTTAAAATTTAACTCATCAAACGATCTTTCGTTGTATGTTCCATTTGCTGCAAAGAAATAACAAAGAAAACGATTTTAATACAAATGCAGATTAAACTAGGTTACATTTTTTATTTAATAAATCCTAACATCATTTATGCTGCTTGCAGCTCAATACATAAGCTTAGTTCAAATTTCAACAATCGGTAATCAATAAGTGGCTTCTTTTACTAATCTATCGGACAGCGTTGCCAGGTGCTAGTTTAAGGCTTATGTAATTCAAATAACAACAAAAACCAAACGCATGCGCGTCACAAACTTTTGGTATGTACTTTTCGTGTGCTTCGCGGCTGCATTTGCAGCGAGAGTAAGCTTAAAGCGAGTAGTAGCTAACAACTCGTCAACTCGTTAATAGAGAGCCAACAAAAAAGCCGCACACATCAAAGCTGCCAAAGCAGACCAAAGTGATACGTTATGAGCCTGCATTGTTTACACTTGTATGCGTGCGCAAGCACCGTGGGGCGGGGGCCTTTTGCCATCTAAACCAATGCCCCCTCCCCCCTCCCCCGCCACCCCATATTTCGAGTGCATTTAACTTAAAGAAAAAAACCTGTTCTTTTGACTCTTAGTCAGCCATCATTTTTATGGACAACGCTAAATCAACGCAAGTCAAAATCGCGATTCCATCTAATACATTCTGTAGGGTTTTTGTATTATATACATATATTTTGACCATTGTTTATTCATGTAGACAATTTTGATCTATGTTACTTTAATATATTTTCAAAATGGTTAATAATAGGATGAATTTTATTTTCTTCCTTTCGTGGACAAATTCTCTTATTCCGATTGTGTCTTCTTCTTCCCGTTCTATTAGCCCAGCCTCAAAGCACAGTATTTGTTATTTGGCATTTCTGCTATGTGCATGTTTATCTAATTTTATAGTATTTCTTTCACAGTTGCTCTCCACCTAGCTATTCGCATTTACAATTTACATAAGTATATATGAATGTACATCGAAGTACGAATTGCTTTTGCTTTTGGCCGTTGCCAAAGCCAAAGCAAAAAGTGAATGCACTAATTTTGCCTTGGCACCCGGCGCGGCATTCACGGCAGTCGACGACATCGTCTTACTCGCCGCTGCATTGTTGCTGTTGTTACCGTTGTCGTTGTTGTTGTTGTAGCTGCTGCTGCTCTTTTAAGTATCTATTGCCAGTTGTAGTTGTCGTCTTCTCTCGTGGCATGCACTTGGTTCTCGTAGTTTCTGAGTGCGCGCCTATTGAAATTTAATTTCGAATTGTAATAAGACTGCCGGAGGAAGCGAGGGCAACGCATTTACATCAACTGCTCAATTGAATGCATTTGATGTGTTTGTTTTGTTTTACTTTGTCATCAATTTGAATAGAAATGAGGAAAATAAATAAAAAGAGAATAAGCTGTACACAATTAAATAGACTTGCGAAATGCTAATTGCACAGTCAATGTGTTTATGTAACCCCATGATAGGTGTAATAAATATGCATGTATGTAAATGCCAAATGAATAACACATAAATGTATAACAGCTATATTTGGACAGTTATGTAACGGTATGCATTTCACTGTTAAATATGTACATATGCAATACATGCAAAAGTTCTAGCTCAAAGTTATTTCCTTTCCATTTGATGTAATTCCTCTATGTACATAATAATGTACATATGTAACTGTGAGCACATGTATTCTTTCCGTTTCATGTTGTATTTCCCAATAACAGCGACGAACATAAGCATAGTTCGTCTAGCCCCAAGATAAGAGCAGCAAATATATGTATTTTCCACTCGGGCTGGGTTGCCGCAGATTGATTTAGTGTGTGTGAGTGTATAAAAATCTTGTGTTGTGAAATAAAACGACCCAATTTAAAAACTAAACAAGCATCTTTAAGTTGCAAGCTAAATTTAATTCAAACACACATACATGTCTAAATAAATAGGCAGATATGTTAAAATACTTTATAAGTGTTAATGCGAGAAACAACTTTTAGCAAAAGCTTTAACCCTACCCCAACCTTCTTTTAAAATGCGCGCCATAAACAATTTGCATTCATGTGTGTGCGGCGTTCAGATGCGAAAGAGCATGTTTGAATGCACATTGAAACTGATTGACACACGTTTACCGCGAATGACCGCAGTGCTTTTCCGTAAGCTTTATTGGCGTTGAAAAAAGAAGGAGAAACTCACTGTGTTTGAAAAGCGACGGTTGGGCATTTGCCAGAAACGGCGTCAGATCAAAAGCAAAGCTTCCAAACGGAAAAAATCTAATCGAGTCAAACGATCGATAACAATATCTAACACTGAGACTGTCTATCGACTACCCGTACTCGTTGTAGATGCATCACTCTGGGCCTGTGTAGCCAATGACATTACAACAATACGGCTAATATCAGCATTGCCAGTGGGTAATTATATATAGACACATACATATGTATGTATATCATGGGCAGACACCCACACACCTGCAGTTTGCGTGTTGCACACTATCCGTATTTGTTTGTATTTAACACATGGGCTTTAATGATGCCAGACCATGATGCTAGTGTCAACTAATTGCGTCTTAGTTTTGTTATTCTCGCGCGTATTTAATACGCTTGTATGCCGATTGGAATTGCTTGAATAATTTTAATGGGGTATTATTGGATAATCTTTTTACAGACTAACATTTGCACATCTGTGTAAAGCAATGGCATTACTGAGTAATTTTAATAAAAAAAAATATGTATAATATACATATTAATACATATGTAATCTAATAGGTTACATATTTAGAAAACTTCTTGCACATCCTCTTTCGCCCATTATACCTATACACAAATCAATGCATGTGTGTGACTGCATGTGTATTAATACGTACATACACTTGGATACACATGCACATTTTTGGCGGGGGTGTATGCGCGGCAAATACTGGCATCCCTTGAATTATTGAATATTTTTTCTGATTTTCGCTTGCATCGGTCATGTTGAGGAGTGTGTACATATAAGTTTCGTATGCGCCAAAGCATTATATACATATTAAAAACTTGTCCATCAACTTTTGCTTTCATTTTTGCCCATACCACAGAAAGTAGCGAAAAATCGTACAGGGCAGGCGAGGCAAAAATCACGTATGCGTAAAGAGTAGCAGTGGCGACGAGTAGAATGGACCATGCGCAAGACAGAGACAAATAGATAAAACACATACCAGTAAAGTGTACAACAGCGGCCAACTTAATGGTGTACAAGCGTGTAAGCGCAAGAATTGGGAATAAATCATTTGACGAAAACATAACACAAGCTTGGAGTGTACAGCAAAAATGGAAAAGCAAAGGAAATTGAAAAGAAAAAATATCAAAGCGACGGCGGTGCTGTTCTAGCATATGAAATTTAAATGAAACGCAATTTCAATATGGCGGAGACATTGCAAATGATTTTAATGTAAAAACTGCATGTTTAAAACAAATATTTGGTATTTAAAATGTTGCCAATTAATTTAACGTTGTTTCGCTATTGCTGCGCATGTCAAAACAATGCAGCGCGCAAGAAACATACATAAAGTGGTGGTAAATCAGAATAATAAGTACGTGCATCACTTCATAAGCATATTAAAGATTCCAAGTAGACGTTTTACAAACAATTATATGGGATCTTGATTTCATATATTTCACGCACAAATTAACTAAAACAATAATTCGGTTTCTATAAATGTAAACTTTGCATAGCTGGCAACTCTATGGAACTCAATTATGCACAACTAACTTCACGTTGCACAAAAGAAAATCGCAAGCAAAACAAATGAACGCGCAAGCTATATGCCAAGTACGCAAGTGGGAGCGAGAGCAGTATATGCTTGCTTTGGGGGAAAAGTACGAAATTAAATATGGCGACCCACTGTGCGAAAAAAAAGCTCGAAAATGGCAATATCAGTTATTGTAAACATATAATTTGACAATATGAATACTTATAACAGTTCACATTATTTGCAGCCCAAAGACAACGCGATTGCTTTCAATGTCAAGTGGCAAAGAAATTATTAAAATAAGATTACTACCAATACTGCATGATTTGCGCGCGCGTTAATTTTGTTTTGTTTACCAGTATAATTTACTCACCGTGTATGATTATTTTGTATCACTTAATTGTACACAACACGAGATTTATATGGCATGCTCCGATTTCGGTTTAATATGTAGCATTTGCTTTTTTCGGCACTTGAATTTCGTTTTGCATGCACTTGCTTGTTTGCTGTTTTTCACATTTTCAGAAATTCGAAACGAACGCACTGTAATTTGGCTTGCAGGTTTTGTAGTTGTGAAACGCGGCGTTGTTTTAACGTTTGCTGCCTGCTTAAATAAACGTTTCCACTTTGATTAATCAATTTTATTATTAATACGTATGGCATAAGAAACAACGAAAATGCGCACGAAAACACGTACTGAGCATGTGTCAGAGCGAGATGGCAATACTGTGCTATGCTGCGCGCGCACTTGTATTATGAAAGCAACATATAGTGTGGCCGTTTTAGCGTGCATGCCAACTAGCACAAATCCTACCTATTATCGGCTATTTTATTTTGTTCGCGATGCTGCTTCTTCTACCTTGTCTTTCTTTAGCCTATTACTACTGCGCCTGCCATTCCGCAGTGTACTTTATAGTGCTGTACGTACATTCGTTTTGTCTTTCTGTCTGTTCGTCTATACATACATATATGCATGCATGTACACACACGGCGCCACCGAAATATGTACCTACGTACATATATAAAAATCTATACGCGGATGTTGCCGCTCATATACACAAAATTTGTTATATTTTAATATTGAAAAACTACACGCTTATAAAGGGTAAACATGCCCGCCAACTGGAAAACAAACGAATGCACTTAATTTGTACATATAAGGTAACTGTTTTATAGCAGACAACATATGTACATAGAATTATCCATATGTAGGTGCCCCTACAATTAATCACATTGTTAAAATAAGTACAACTATAATATGACAAAAAAAAATTAACTACATTTGTACAATTCTTTACATTTTGTACCTCGTTTCGTAGTCACACACAAACACACGCTTAAAAATATACAATGTATGTATGTATATAGACCGCTGCTACAACACTTTAATGGCATCTCGCTTACACTAACGCTTCGTACGCATTTTACCTTTCACGTCCTATGTGTTTTCCATTTTTACCAACACGCTAATAAGATAAATTTAAAAACTACATTTTAAGCTATAACTAACACGTTTCACCATTACATTTTAGGATATTGCGTAAGCTGCACTTGAGAACAGTGCACAAAACAATTTTTTTATAATTTATTTGTTGTTTTAACACCTTTAAACGCGTTTCACACTGCGCGTTACTCCGACTCTTCTTCTTCATCTAGTGTAAGCGCAAGAATGTTAACTTATGGCAATGTTAACCCACCGAATTACTCAAATGACACTGCTATGGTGTTTACAGCGCAACGAGTCCATATACGTAATAAATGAAGCTTAGTGTTGTAAAGGTTATAATTGTGGTCGGCTTACAGCACCATTAAAGCAACGATTTCTTACTGTAATCGAAATATTTGGCGATGCCACACTGTTATTTACACAATTCCGACCATCAGCTGATAATCTTTTGGCCTAATAGAAAATAAATAAATAATGATGCCATGGAGGTGAACCCATTGGCCGTTATACTTGTTTATTTCGACAGCAAGGGTGATCGCCTGCTGTATCGCTATCCTTACCAGACGCTCGGCCAAACGCTCAAACTAGAGGAGCCACGCGAGGAGCTGGTCAACAAAAAGCGCAATCCCTTTGCCGTCGCCCACACAGATGATCTGCTGCAAACGGCCACACACCAAACGCAGACCCAGAGCCAAGGCCCAGGTCAGCTGCAGGGCTTTGCGGACGATGTGCTTTCCGCGCTGTTTGCCGTCAAGCCGCAATTGTGCAATCAAAAATTTGAGCTAAAACTGAACGATGTCCGCTTCGTTAGCCACCCCACGCTGATCAGTGTGGTGCCCACGCCCGTGGCCACTGCTCCGCCAAGTGCGGGCAGCAATTTATCTTCGGCTGCCGGCGTTGCCGCCACTGCAGCTGTGGCTGTGGCGAAGAAACAACAAATGCTCATCAACATTGTGTTTGCACTGCACGCCCAGGCCAGCTACTCCATTGTCAAGTGCTACCATGAGCTGAGCAAGCGGCTGGGACTGGCGCTCAAATTCGAGGAGCAGCGCAGCGGCTACCTTACCGAGCAGACGGCTCTAATGGCACGTACACACGACGAACAGCAACAGCAGCCGCTGGAGCGCACGCTGGAGCTGATCGCGGAGCGCTGCAGCTTGGCGCAGGCTCTAAAATCCATTTGCAATGATCTTTGCACCACGGGACTGCTGAGCACCACTCTGAATCAGAATCTAACGTTGACCTTCTGCCTGCCGGCCAAGGCGCATCAGCTTCACAAGAAGGGCAGCATGGTAGATCCGGAGACCATAGATCGTTGTCTGCGCGCATTAAAGCCCTATCATGGCATGCTGCTGCTGGTGGACTTTGCGGAGCTGCTGGACTGTGTGCCGCCGACTGGGGCGCGCATGCTCTGGCAGCTGGTGGACGCTTATAATCCGCTGATCAGCCTGCAGAGTATGGCTTCCAATGCGGATCTGAGCATTGAGCATGTGTACAAGCTGGTCTCGCATCTGGTCTACTGGGCCAAGGCGACCATCATTTATCCACTCTGTGAGACGAATGTGTATGTGATAGCACCGGATGCGCCGCTGCACACCAGGTCGCATCTGGTGGAGAAGTTCTCCACACGCTTTGCGGGCATGTCTCTGTTTGAGGTAATTTCGGACTTCTCGCTGCCGACGTCCATTGGACATCTGACGACGCCGTTGCAACAGCCGGCGCGCCAGGGCATACTTGCCCAGATGGTACTCTGGATGCTGCAGCATCATTTGCTTATGCAGCTGCACACCTATGTGCAGTTCATGCCCAGCGACGCCGACGATGAATTCGGCGACTCGGCGTCCTGTGCCCAGGCTGGCAGCAACGTCACCGAGGAGGAACAGGACAGCAATCACACCGAGGACGAGCCGAATCGCGATCGGGATGATGATCCATTGCATGGCGGCTCCATGCTGAGCATGTCCAGTCAACCACTGCCCATGCCCGTGAACGCACATCGACGCAGCGTGCCCGAGGATCACTACTCCCTGGCCTCGGACAACATTGCTGTGCAGCCGTCGTCCAGCCACAAGTCCAACTTCAGCATGACGGCCTCGCTGAGCACGGACAATTGCGATAGCCTCGACTCCATGGAGGACGAGCAGAAGCTCAAGGAGCTGCTGCAGGTCTTCAACGATGCGGATCGCGCCGCCATTCGCCGCATACCCGCCTCCCTCAACGTGGATGATCTATCGCTGCTGGTTAAGCTCTATCAGATGGGCTACTTTAAGAGCGAGCATCACCTAGAGGAGATTATGTACTTTGAGAATTTGCGCCGTTCCCAGCTGCTGCAGCTGCTCGACAAATTTCGCGACGTCCTGATCATATACGAAACAGAAGATCCGGCCATTGCATCCATGTACAACAATAAATAGATTTATAATAAAGAGCATTCCAAATGCAATTTGAGTGTAATTAGCACACTTTTACGCATAATCCACCCATACAGGAGGAAAGTGGGTGATAAATTCTTAAAGCTTATACTTAAAGAACTTTTGAGAATGTCTGAATGAATGTCTATTCAGTTGCCTCCTCCAAAGAAACTTATCAATACGTATTTCTGTGATTTTGAATAAATTCACACCAATGGAAATAATATATATATTAATAAATAAAATTGCATTATGACATCAGTACTTACAAGCAAAGCTTGGAAAATAAATATTTTTAAAAATTACACTCACATAGGTGGAAAATGGGTGGTAAACTGTAAAACTAAATTTTTAAGAAAAGAAACCCCGATCGGTCGTCTTCAAATCTGCATAATAAATTTGATGCGTTTCACTTGGTCAATCGACGGAAATGGGTGGAAAATATGTCTAATCTCAACAATTAAAAAAGCGATCAAGCCTGGAGAAATCCCATTAAAACCTGCTAGTATTCACATATATAACATAAGCTTTATTTGTTGAGTATACCTAACTAATATTTAGGGGATTTGGACGATGGACTATATCCAAATTGAAATGTGCTTAAAATTCTAATAGCCAGCCGATTAAAATTTCTGTGAAACGTTTCGTATACTCTATTGAATTATAAATATATATACTTACATCTAGTTAATGAGTTTATAAAAATATATATATATATTTATAAAAAATGTACTTTTTGCTTATAATTAGTTGTAACTATCTACTATATAGATGTGATAGATCGCTTGAATGACTCGATCTGCAGTTTATCTGCAAACCATTTGTTAATGCGTGTAAAAATAGCTGTAGCAAAGGGTTTTATCAATAGTTTTGATAACACGATCCAGCTTGCTTTATGTGGGATTGTGATATATATATATATAACCGATTAGTGACCCAATTTTCATCAGTTTCAATGTGGACTAGATTCGCATTCACAGCTCACAGGCTCGATGAAAATGGGATGGGATTCTTATCATACATGTACATAGATATATAACAAAGTTTATAAAATTTCCTGAACGTGCCTCAAGCTTTAAGCAACAAGAAGTAGAGAACAGCTTGTCGCTAGGATTTGTTGTTACTGCTGCTGTTGGAAATGTTGTTGTTGTACAAATAGGGTATCAAATTGGGCTCAATTTCCAGCTGTTGCCGCAATATGGAGCTCATCACAAACTCCGTAGAGACAATATGGCACTTGGGATTGCCATGTCGCGTCAGATCCGCGCACAAGTGCATATCCGTTGGGCAGGTAACAATGATATAAGAATCGGGCGCCTGGACTTGCGCCTCTGCAACGGCGGCACCGCTGCGTCGTTTCGCCTCCACCTTGCCGCCCGAAGATTCGATCATGCGTATGATTTCATCGCGTGCCGGAAATACATCGGGCGTTACATAGAAGTATCTGCCCGCAAATAGTGTAGAACGTGTCGGCGCACACAGCACAGCATCCAAATCGAACTGCAGATTCTCATCGACGGGTATGTGCCGAATATGATATTCATCCGGCGGCACAAACTTGCCGGCCTTGGCGCTGTCCACCAACCAGGTGGACTTGAGCACATAGTCCACATGGCAGCAGGCCTGAATCAGTTTGCAGGTGCGGCTTTCACGCGTCATGACCAAATGTGTTGCATCCATGGGACTGTCCACAACAATGCCGCCCAGAAGTCTGTACGAAATTGAAATAAAAACATGTCAATTATAATTAGGCCATTTAAATCAATTGTCATCGACTCACTCGACAGCCTTTTTGAGCGACTCCGCATCGGCGACCTGTGAGAAGATGACCTTGGGCGGTTTTGTAGTCTGCGGATATTCAATGCAAACGATTTGCTCTGGCAGCTGCTCCTGATAGACGCACAATTTTTGGCGCTTAATCTTCTGTTCATTTGCATACGGATCGGAAAGATGACGCTTGACACGCTCGTGTGCCTCCTGGGTGAGATTAATGGGCGCTTTCCAGGCGGCTAAACAGTAAAAGATCAAGCAATGAATCCGGGTGCCATCGATAATTAATGGATGCACTACTTACCCAGCAAATGCTGCACCAGATTGCATTCGATGCGGAATGGCGCCACCAGATTGTACTGCTGGTATTTGGGATTTTCGTACTGGGTGAGCCCGCTCAGATTTCCGATGCACACATCGCTGAGCCAGAGGGCATTTACCATCGGTATGTTCCACTCTTTGGCAGCATTGAATTTGTTGCCCTCCAGTTGCTTGCAGACGACCAGCGTGTTCACCTTGGACAGGTACGAGGTGTAAATGGCGCCACATTCCTCGGCCATTTGCTGCAGCCGCACAACTTCCTCGCCCTCAAAGCCCTCCGATGTGATAATGTAGCGCTCCAGTGGCTTTCGGTAGCCAAACTGGCTGGGGAAGGGCAAATGCAGTGGCTGCCACGGTGGCATTAGCTGTCGCTTTAAACAGATGTCGCTTAGCCAGTAGGCGGTCACGCAGCGTTTGGCATCGCGCAGTGCCTGCATCACCATGCCGTGCCGCTGGGTGCGGCAGATGACGTGCGTCACGCGGGCGCAATAGACACGCTCAATATCGCCGCCAAACTGACGTATGGTGTCCAGCCAAATGGGCAGCTCATCGCTGTCCGTCTCGTCGTATTCAACGATGTAAAAGGTGCAGCCGACCAGGAAGAGATCAGCCGGCAGCTTCAAGTTCGGATTGTGGCCATAGAACTGGGGACGCGGTGGCATCGGTATGGGAGGCTGGCCGGGACGCACTTGCATGTAGACATGAGGTGGTCCGCCTGCTACTTGCACTGGAACGCCCACTGGCAGCTGTTGTTGCTGTATGTTGGCCTGCGGCGCGACCACAATTTGCTGTTGCACCAAATGCTGTTGCGGCAACTGTTGCTGCGGCACGCCGACAACACGTCGCATTTGCTGCGGATGCTGCTGCAGCAATTGTTGCTGCTGCTGTTGTTGTTGCTGCTGTTGCAACAGAACTAGCTCCTGCTGTGTCCGTGGCGGACCAGGCACGCCTACAGCAGCATTATGCTGTTGACCCATCATGCGCAGCGCGCCAGCGGCAGATGGTGTCTCCACATGTTGCTGCGGTCCAGTTGCCAATTGCTGTTGCTGCGCTGCGACCAACTGTTGTTGTTGCTGCTGCTGCTGCTGTTGCAGCAGCAACTGTTGCTGCTGCTGGTGTGTGGCACCGCTAACAACAACTTGTTGCACAATTTGCTGCTGTTGTTGTTGTTGCTGCTGCTGCTGGACATCGCTCATGGAAAGCAGTTGCTGCTGTTGAGGCGGCACCTGTGTTCCATTGTTGCCCAGCCGATTGCTCAACATGTTGGCCAAAGCGGTTTTCGTTTTCAAATTCATCTGCTGCGGCGTCTGTTGCTGCTGTTGTCCATCGGGCGCTGCAGAAAAAGGAGAAGAAGCTGCATGGGTAAACTAATTCTGACAAGAAATATGCTATATATAATATGCTATATATAAATATATGAAACAGGTGACTTACCCGCTGCGGGCATGACCAGTGTTTGCGTCATAATATTGCCACCTGTGGCGCCACCAACAACAACGCCTGTTCCTGGTGTGGTGGGCGTGCCTGGTGTCGGCGGCTGCTGCTGCTGTTGCTGGGCCTGCTGCTGAACAATGGTTTGCTGTTCGATTAGCTGGCCATTGGGACCGGTGATGAGCTGCACGGTCTGCTTGCCCAGCTGCGGCGCCGGCGCCTGTTGCATGGGTATCTGTTGCACGCGCAGCTGTTGGCGTTGCAGCAACATTTGCTGGCTGGGATCATTGGGATTAAATTGTTGCTGCTGCTGCTGCTGAGGTAGCTGTTGAGGTGCTCCACCAGGCTGTTGTTGTTGCTGGGTAATGGGACTGAGTCCAGGCGCGCCGCCCGCACGCACTACCACTGGACGTGTGCCCTGCTGCTGCAGCCAGAGCATTTGCTCTTGCTGCGTAAGTCCACCTGGCATTTGGCTCTGCACAATAATGTGCGAAGTGCCTGGTCCAGGCACCGGCACTGGCCCCGGTGCACGTGTGGCCACCACGCTACCGGGCGCACCGGGGCGTGGTTGATAGGCCACCTGCTGGCGCAGCATGACACGTGGCTTGTTCTGATTCAGTTTCGTAATGTACTCGGCACGTTTGTGTGCATCTAGCGACATGAAATGCGCATGCGTCTTCTCGTCCAGATGTATTAGTTGGCGCTGCTGCTGTTGCTGCTGCGGCGGTGGCAGCACAAGCTGTTGTTGTTGTTGTTGTTGCTGCTGTTGTTGTTGTTGTTGTGACGGTGGTGGCTGCTGTTGTGCGGGCCAAGGTGTTTGTGGGCGCAGTCCGCGTGGTGCAAATTGCTGTGGCGCCTGCTGTTGCTGTTGCGGAGTTGTGGGCGTGCCAGGCAACGGTGATTGCATGCCCATGCTTGTGGTGGGCGTGCCAGGCGTTGTGGGTGGCAGCTGATTTGTCACAGGACTCTGCGGGGACCAGTGCGCCTGCTGCTGTTGCAGCTGTGCGTGATGCTGTGGCGATTGCTGCTGCAGCATCAACTGTTGCTGTTGCTGCTGTGGCGATTGCGGCGGTGGCGTACGTTGTGGCAAATGTTGTTGCTTTATGAGCACTTGTTGCATGATTTGCTGTGGCGGCTGCTGCTGTTGCTGCTGTGCCACTGGCTGTTGCTGCTGTATGAGAATTTGCTGCTGCTGCTGTTGTGGCGGCCCAACGAGTTGTTGTTGCTGCTGCTGCTGTTGTTGTTGCTGCTGTTTTTGCTGCAGCAATTGTTGTTGCTGCTGCAAGTATTGCAAACGCTGCGGATCGCTGATGACTTGTTGATTTATCACAATTTGTTGTTGCTGCTGTTGCGGTTGTTGCTGTTGCATTTGTAGTCGCTGCTGTTGTTGCTGCTGTGTTATTAGCTGCTGTTGCATTTGAGGCGGTGCCTGCTGTTGCTGCGGCGATTGCTGCTGCGGCAACATCATTTGATTCGGTGGCAACTGTTGCTGTTGCTGCTGTTGCAATAGTTGTCGCTGCTGCACAAGTTGTTGCTGCTGCTGCTGTTGTTGCTGTGACAGATTTGTGGAATTCACAATGAACACATTTTGGTTTTGCTGATTCTGCGCTAATATTTGCTGCTGCTGCTGCGCGCTGAGCTGACTGAATTGCTGCTGACTGATGATGAATTTTTTGGTCTGCATGGCTGGTGGTGGTTGTTGTTGTTGCTGTTGTTGCATTGGCTAAAGGTAATTTGAAGATAAATTAATGAAATATTTTTATGTACATTTAATAATTAATATACATACATGTTGCTGCGGCTGCTGTGGCAATACTTGTTGCTGCTGCTGTTGTTGTGGTGCTTGTTGTTGTTGCGGCGCAAACTGTTGTCCAAGCAGCTGTTGCTGTTGTTGCGGTGGTTGTATTGTCTGCTGTATGATGCGCACCTGACCACCTGTGCCCAAAGCTATGTTTTGTTGCTGCGTGAACTGTACTTGTTGCTGTTGTTGTTGCTGCTGCTGCTGCTGAGGTGGTAGCTGTTGTTGCTGCTGCTGTGGCAGTTGCTGCTGTTGTGGCAGTTGCTGCTGTTGTGGCTGCTGCTGAGGTATCATTTGCTGTTGCTGCTGCTGTTGCTGCTGCTGTTGCTGTTGCAGCTGCAACATTTGCTGTTGCTTTTGCTGTTGCTGCTGTATGCTCATCATATGACTCTGTATTAGTTGCTGTCCCTGCGCCGTTGAAGTGTTTATCACGTGCCGCTGGGTTATGACCTGTTGCTGCTGCTGTCCAGGTCCAAGTTGCTGTGCCATTTGTGGTGGCTGTTGCTGCTGCTGTGGTTGCAGCTGCTGTAACGGCTAAGGCAGAAAAAGGATAGAAATTAGCATTTTCTTTTATGTAATATAACATAAGAAAAATTATAAGAATCCTGAGTCACACGTAATAAGAAACTTTCGGTTCCCAGGCAGGATTAGAGAAAATATCTCAGTCTTTAAATACTATTTACCATTTTCCTAAAATTTAATTTTATATAGGAATCAGCTAAATTTGCCAGTGTGATTGGAAGGGGTTCGTTAAAATTAAAAATAATCTTAATTTACTATATTATATTAAAAAATACAATAAACAGGAAAAAAGAAAAAGTTATTAATAATGTAAGGAAATTTATATTACATATGTATATAGAGTGTTAAGTAGATAGGAAAAAGTGATAGTGATGCGAAATCTTTTGTTTTTCTTATATGTACATATTTTAGTTTCTTAATTGAGAATTATTTTTCGACAATCTATGCGACAACAATTTGAAAAGCATCACCGCGGGCAACAGAAAGTCAACGGAGAGACACTCTCCTGTTGCCCCAAGTACGAATGCGATACACAATTATGTAAGATTGTTAACAGAGTACAGGGTATTTCGCAGCGTGCAGCTTAAGATTTGTATACTTTGAATAGGTTTTAGTACATACCCTCTCTGGTTGTTGTGGTGTTGATTGCTGTTGATGCAAAGGCGACTGTCGTGGCGAGGGCGTATGTTGTTGTGGCATTTGTTGTTGCTGCTGCTGTTGTTGCTGCTGTTGTTGTTGTTGTTGCTGCTGTTGTTGCTGCAGCTGTTGTTGCTTTAACTGCTGCTGGCGCATAATCAGTGAATCCTGATTGCTGCTTAGTGTAGAACGACTGAGCACTTGAGCAACTTGCACGGGATCCGTGGGATCGATGGGCTGCACAAAGGATTGCTGTTGCTGCTGCTGCTGCGGGTGCTGAGCTGGTTGCTGCTGTTGTTGTTTGCTAGCCATGGGTGGCGTTTGCGAAATTTGAGGTGACTGCGGCGCTGAAATGTGCTGTGGACTTTGTTGCTGCTGCTGCTGTGCGAGCTGTTGTTGTTGCTGCTGCAGCTGCATGCGTTGTTGCTGATGCACTGGCTGTTGGAATGGTTGCTGTTGTGGCGACATCATGGCCGTGGGCGGCTGTTGTTGCGGGGAGCCCATCATGTGCTGCTGCTGCTGCTGTTGGCGACTCTGTTGCAATTGTTGTTGCTGTTGGCGCAAGTGCTGCTGTGCGCTCTGTGGTGAGGGCGGCGGAGGCGGCGTCATTTGTGGCGCTGGCGATTGCAATTGTCGTGGTGACTGAGGCGGTAACATGTTGCTGCTGCTCGCAACCAAGTGTTGCTGCTGCTGCAGCGAAGGGGAGGGCGTGCCGGGTGGCATGACTGGCGAACGATTTTGAACCATGCGTGGTGATTGCTGCTGCGGTTGTTGCTGTTGTTGCATTTGCTGCATCTGCATTTGCTGCTGCAACAGTTGCTGCTGTTGCTGTATCTGCCGCTGCAACGCCTGTTGTTGTGGTGTCAGGCTCTGGCCATTTTGTATGTGCTGATGCAGTTGCATTTGCTGCTGTTGCAACATTTGCTGCTTGTTCATTATGTGCTGATGCAACATTTGGGGCGAGACTGACACGGACGGTTGTTGTTGTTGTTGCGGCACTTGTTGCTGTTGTCCCACTTGCTGCTGCGGTGATTGCACGGGCTGTGGTGTTGTCGCTGGCTGTGGCGTACGCGGCGTTTGTCGTCCACTGGGCATAGGTGGTTGTGGCATGGTGGGTGTTGTAGGCAGACGAGATTGTTGTTGTTGTTGCTGCTGCTGGAGTATTAATTGCTGTTGCTGCTGCTGTTGTTGTTGCTGCTGCTGTTGTTGTTGCTGCTGCTGTTGTTGCTGCTGCTGTTGTTGTTGTTGTTGCTCCTGTTGCTGCATTAGTTGCAGTTGCTGCTGTTGTTGCTGTTGTGTGTTCTTTATTTGTCGCTGCTGCTGCAAAATGTTTTTGATCTGTTGTTGTTGTTGCTGCTGTTGCTGCAGATTAGCTGGTATGATTTTTTGTTGCTGTATTATGATTTGTTGTTGTTGCTGCTGCTGCGGCGAGGGTGGCGGCGGTGGTGGTGGCGCTTGTGGTGCGCCCTGCTGCTGCATGTTGCGTGGCCGCACAAAGACAACTTGCTGTTGCGCTGGCTGTGGCAGATGTTGCTGCTGCAACTGCTGCTGTTCAGCTGCAGCACGCTCTGCCGATGCCTGCAGTTGGGATTTAATGCTAGCGATACTCTGCGCAGCGCTATCGTCCCCAAAGCCTAGTATATCAGATAGCTGTGTTGCAGCTGGCTGTTGTTGTTGTTGCTGTTGTGGCAATTGTTGTACTAAATGTTGCTGTTGTTGTTGTTGTTGATGCTGCTGCTGTTGTGCCAATTGCTGTTGTAATTGCTGCTGCTGTTGTTGATGCTGCTGTTGCTGCTGCAGATTTTGTTGCTGCTGCTGTTGTTGTTGCTGCTGTTGCTGCTTTTGGGTGCGCTGCTTCTCGATGGGCTTTAGCAATCTGGGATGATAGGGCTCACAAGGCAGACAGCTCTTGAATTTGAGGCAATCAGTGACCCAGTCAGGCGTGACAATGTTCATGGCATTTTTGGGCAGCGCCAGCGCTTTATTGTAAATGTTGCCGGTGGCGGCGCCGCATACCAGATGCGTATTGGTGGCTCCATGCGTGTGGGTGACAACGGCACCATGGTAGGTAAGCATCGCATAGAGGCGCCGGCGATCGCTAGCCACCACATTGGTGATGGCGACTCGTATGCCGCGCAAGAAACGCGGCTGACTTGGATCGAAGGCACGCGTGGAGGCCATGCGACCCAGTTTGGCGCTGTGCGAGATCCATTGCTCGCTCACAGGTATCACATTGTAGAGGTCCAGATTCATGGAGAGCTCCTCTTCGGAGTAGTTGCTGGCACATATTAAATGCGTTATTTGGTCCGAAAGGTAAAGCTTCGATTGCGCTCCGCCGTTCTTAAGCAATCTCTCGCTCTGTAAGGGTCATAAGAAAAACCAAATAATCAGTTCAGCTTTCTCCATATGATTTGCACACATTCACATATGCCTGCGCTAGATATGAGCAATATTTAACAGTGCCGAACCAGTGACAACTTGAACTTCGTCTACAGAATAATATTTATTTTGCCAATTTAATAATTTAAAATAAAATAATAAGTGGCTATAGTCTAGCAACAATTAGCAGCTCAATTAAATGCCTAAAATAATTACAAATAAATAGTAACTTGGAAACAATTTAAAAATAATTATATCTATACATAAGATTCGTTCTGCTAGTCACAGGTACTATTATATGGCTCATCTCTACGTAAACACACACACACACACGCATACACCTAGAAATTTGCCGGCAACATTTTATGGCGCGAATTTGTACATGTTAAACCTGAAACTCCCTGTGTTGCCAGCACTGGCAAATTTGCACACATGTAATTCAGAAATTAATTTAGAGTTAATGCACACTGCTTGTTGCTAAACGAATGCGTTAAATGCATATTTGTTAGTTGCATTAAGTTAATTTCACCCTATAGCCTGTACAGCTGCACCAGCGCACACACACATACACATCACACGCGCGCACACATGCACCTCACACAATGCCAATAATACAGCAGCGGGCACGTACAGCCCTAGGTCGAGCCCGTCACGGAATCTCAATGTTTACCTCATCATCCAAGCTGCCGAGCACATAATATATCACATCCTCGAATAACTTTTCACTGATTTTCAAATTTTCCATTTCTTTGTTGTTTGACTAGCATGCGCTATTCCTTTTGCTCAAATTTCACTTTTCTTTCGTTTCGCTTTTGTTGTTGCTGCGGCTGCCGCGGACATGGAAATGGAAATGCATTCAGCTTTACTTTCACTGGGCACCCATCGTTCGCGATCGGTAAAAATTCGAAACTATCACAACGTATAACAGAATAACCGCTTGATTTGTTAAAATTCATCGAATTAAAGGCTTAATTTTTCGTATTCTTGTATACTTTACGGGACCCATCCGTCTTTTGTATGCAACAAAAACCAACGCTAGCGATGTGAGCCAAATCGATTGTAGTGATGCTTTACATCGATACCTAAAGGAAGCGAATCGATAGTAAGACACCAGTTACACCAGCTGTGCTCGATAACTTAAGAGTTAACAGAATGGAATGTTAACGATTTTTTCTATAAAAGGAGCGCGTATAAGTATACGTTTTTCATTTGCCTTTCGGAACCAGGTGAGAGCAGAGCGGGCTGGGAGGACTTCAGAAAGGATCCAGGACAAAGATCAAAGCGGTAAGTGTAATTTGACCAAAGCTTGCAGGAAGGCTCAGGGCTAGTTATGTGGAAAATATTCGCGAGACGCAAAAACGATCGTATGGGAAATCTTAATATGATTTTTACAACATGTTGATGGAAGATATAGCTTAAATCGGCAAAATCTAGTAAAATGCTCTAAAAATTTCTAATTTAAAATGTTTAAATATATTGATTTGTTGTTTTTTTTTTTTATACAAATACACGTTGGCCTATACATATTAGCTTATTTTTCATAATTTGTTTCTTAACACATTTAAGACATACAGATCTTGATAGTGATTCCTTAACAAAGGTAATTTTTCTGTTTCGCTTAAATTTAACTGTTTTTAGTTATAGTTTTTTTTTTTAATGTTTTTAAATTTGTTGTAAAACATCTACAGAGTGTGGAAACTTTCTTTAAAAGCATAGAAAATCTCGTGTAAGTAAATTGTTTTGTATTGCAATAGCTTAATTGTGGATGTTTGGATTATTTTTTCTAACGATGCGGTTGTTGAATGTAGTGAATGTTGCCTCTACTCATAACTGGGCTGGGAGAGAGGCAGCAGCAGCCGATGATGATGATGCAGCAGCTCCAGCAACTTGTTCGAATTTCTTGTCATGCACGACGGCGTTCTTCATCAGGATAAATCATGAGGCGCTGTTCGATTCGCCGTTGCTCTCGTGGAAATTGGTGCCATTCACAATGAACGAGGTGCCCAGACCGTATAAGTGTCCCGAATATTTGGCATGATCGATATTATCTTCAAAGAACATCTGCAAGTGGGCAAAACAGGATATTTCAGTAATGCAATATCATTTATCTCAGTTAAAAAGAGTTACATTTGGCAAAGCAGCAGCTGAGTTTACAAATCTTGTATGGATCGGGTTAGTATACGTGTGTTTTTTTTGTTAGTTAGTGAAGCGTGTGGTAAGCGACATGGACATGGACAAGATGTATGGAATGTGAAGTATGTGAACTAGTTCAAAGTAGAGTTGTTTCAGTTCAGTTTAAAGATACGTTAGAAAGGTGTTAAATAAATTTCAAGTTACATACCATTTACCAATTTGTGTTGTCTTTTTGATTCGATATTAATTTTGTAATTTTGCTTCGGGTATTTTTTTAAATTTTTTTTTTTTTTTTACATAATTAGTTAACGGGTTAAACACTTGCTATACTCAACATTCACAATGCAGTGGAATCTGCACGGAAGCATTTTTCCATATCGCTTAAAATTATAGAAACAAAAAATACGCTTAGGTATTAGAAACAATGTGTTAAAAAAATTGAAAAAAAATATGGCACCAGCTTAAAACTAAAACACTTCACGTGCAAATCTTACATAGTTAGAAAATATAAATATTAAGAATTGGAAACAACGATATCAAATACCAACTTTTAGATGGAGTTTATCCACCAAAATAGGTTGCGACTAGGTAAGTTAAAAAAAAAATATATAGACATATACAAGAATTATCAGACAATCTTTCTCTAAACTATCAACTATAAACAATAAATATATAGAGAGAAATGTTCAATAATAATCGATCATTTTATCAAATATCAAAAATAAAAAAAAATGTTTGTTAAATCTGAGAAAGCAAATATTAAAGCAAATGAGTTGTGACAGCTTATTGAATATTTGTAAGCAAGTGGAAGCAGCTGTTGATTAAAAAATGATATATTAATTAATTTCAGGCAGGTAAATGTGAGCAATACAGAAAAGTGTGTGATAAGGATGCGTATAAATGTGTAAGTGTAAAGCCCAGAAACCAGAAATGATCAACAATAATGAAAAAGAAAATTGAATTTCAATTCATTTAATTTTCTATTCAAATTCAGCAATTCGTTGCGTAATGTTTTTTTTTTTTGGTTATTTTTTTGTTTAAGTTTTTTGCTTTTTGTTTCAAAATTAACAAATTAAAGACATGTTTCACATGATTTAAACAACTGTTACTAATTAGAAAACGTTTCAGTACGGTTTTTTTTTTAGTTTTCCATCATCCAATTTAAGTTTTGGATTTTACAAAATGTGTTGTAGGGTTAGGATTAGCCGATGAAAATGCGTTGCATGCAGCATAACAAATAAAATGCATTTCGTATGTGTCCAGCGGCGTCTAAAAGCTAATTAGGAGTATTATAAGTACATAATGAGAAAACCAAAATCAAAAAAAAAAAAGAAGGAAACTATGTACATGAGAATGAAATGAGATTCGTGGTAAAATTATGACAACATTTAACCTTAAAAACTGATAAATGGATAAGTAATGTTGGGGAAAAGCGAGTTAGTTGCAATCGTACAGCACAGCAGCAACAACACACAGAATTGCAACAATAGCAACAATGGCAACAGCAGCAACAGGAGGCGCATTAATTATGCTCGCTGTTGATGCTGCTGTTGCCTGGACCCAAAATGCTCTGTGCTGCAGTCAAGGGCGGCGGCGTTACGGTGCGCGTGTAGACCGTTATGGAAAAGCGTAGCGACTGAGAGCGGGACAATAGTTGACTCATGGTCAGATCGTTGTTGCTATCGCCGTTTGTTGTTGTTGTTGCTGCTGTGCTGGGATTGCTGCAGCTGCTGTTGTCGCTGTCGTCGTAGCTGCCACTGGTGATGGTAACATTGTTGCTACGCAAGCTGACCGTGACAACCGACTTAAGGTGCATGGCGTGCTCAAGCACATGGGGAAAGAATGCGCAAGGCTCTTCAATGTCAAAGTGTATACCAAATGTGTGTTGTACCTCACGCATTTTGAAGAAGGCCATGCCCGTTAGCAGCGCATCCGAGCCGGCCTGATGCTGTGGCCCGACGCGTCGCAGCTCCAGCTGATCGGCGACTTCCTGCAGGCCGCCCTTTAGATTCTTGCACGACTTCATCAGATATTTGATATCAAAGATGTTGGGAAAATAGATGTGCAGCAGCTCAAAAAAGTCACTCTCATCCGCGGGCAGATTCTGATCGGTGAGCAGCTTTAGCAGATAGCCAAAATCATAGCCGGAGTGAAAGCAAAGCCATTTGATATTATCCATTAGCACAATGCCGGAGCTCATTAGAAGCTCGGCAAAATCAATTGGATCAATGCCATCCTCTTCATGCTTCTTGAATTGTATGCCCGAGTTTTGCAGTAGATCAATAGAGTCCTGCGCATACATATCCTCGCTGCAATACAACAAGATGAGAATTACCAAATATGAATCATTATATGTGTTGCCTAGGCAACACACACACAGCTCACCTAAGATTGAACTTGAAATTGAATTGCCATGTGGAGTAGCCCGGGGGCGTTTTGCCATCGTCATCCATGAATGTCAGTCCCAGCTGTATGATCCTCAGCAAATCCACATTGCAGCGCAGCAATTGATAATGATAATCGGCCGTTGATCGAAATTCGCCAACGGGTCGCGCCACAACTCCTGGAAATTCCGTATCCATTGCAACAAAATGATATTTTTGCACTACCTTTCGTATGGTGCGAAATTCCTCCTCAAGATTATGTTTCCACACGTCTCGTATGCCGCACTCCTCATTGCTGGGTATATGCACTTGCCCATGCGCGCCGCCACTAATGGCCGAGGGCATTGTCTGTAAATTGGGGCGCAAATTTTTGATTAGCTTTGAATAACACCTTCTGAAAAATATATATATTTGTGAAAATATGTGAATGTTTGTGTTGCGGTTGTTGGAGCCCATTTGAATGATTCGAATATGATTAGGAACTATTCATAGCCATTCGTATTCATTCGAATTTTATTTTTCGTTATTGAATATTATATTTTCGAATTTCTAGACAAAGATATCTCCGGCCCTACATATATATATACAAATATTCTTAAATAGCATCAACAGCCGACTCGATCTAGCCGTTTGTACGTCCTGTTTGTTGGTCTAACTATTCTCGCAGATCTCGATCCAAATTTGGCATCGATTTGCCTTGTTTTTGCATATCTGACGGAGCACTAATCGGATGCGGATTAGCTGTCATGGGAACTATCAGTCAAAAATCAAGTTCTTGCATGAAAAACTTGATTGATTATCGAAATATATTTGTATCTTGGCCAAGATATGTATCTTGCTTTTTATACATGAGCAAAGAATAGGCCGAAGCATTAGTTTTTGCTTAAAACAGTTTGATTTCTTAAGATATCTCAACCAAAATAAACAGTTAGTCCTAATTTCAAAGATAATATTGATCAACATCGGACCACTATATCATGGAATCAATGCGTGCGTTCGATTGATCTGCACGGGATCTTCTATCTCTCTCCTATCTTCTGATGATCGGTTCAAAATATTTGATTTTCGTTTTCTACAGGGCTCCATTTGAGTGTGTATCGAGTATTCATGTCTACTAAATAGTGTATTATAAATTGGGATGTTAGCAACATAAAGAAATACGAAGTAGCCAGGCCAATTGGTTAAGACAGTCGGAATTAAAGAAAATTGATTTTTGTTTAATTTTTGGTTTTTTTTTCGTGGGGTGCAAATTTGTAGCCAATTCTGAAGTTAAGAGGTGCTAAAATTTTGCTAGCTGCTTAAGAAAACAAATACACGTAAAAAACAAAATGGCAAAAGAGAAATTGTATATATAAAATATATAATTGTTGGATTGGTTTACTTTGTGATTGGGAGTTACGGGCGTTACTTACATCGTCGACGGTCGCCGCCTGTTGCTGCCGCTGCAGAGCCGCTTCAGCCACCTTCTCACCAAAGTTAACCTTAAGCTATGTATAAGTTTTTTTTTTTTGTGTTTTTTGTTTTTATAATTTGTTTTTAATTCTGTGAGCTGTTTAGTGCATTGCCTGTAAGAGAACGTTGAGTAACGTTGACTTCAAGGCTAGCGAAATTTGTAATTTTTAATCAACTAAATATCGACCGTTAGTTGAAGTCAACGGAAACTGGTAGAAACAATCTTATTATATAAAAATAATAATCCTCGCAAAATAGGAAACTATGTTCTGAAATTTATATTCAAAGAAATTGACTTGTCTTATCATGCTATCTCGCTTCAATGTGACAGTTGCCTTTGCAAGAGTAAAAGACAAAAAGGAAGAACTCACAAGTGTCATTACACTATTAGAGATGACACTCACATATGCGCATACATATGTTGAAAGCCTTTCAAGCAGTGGATTCTTCTGCAAGGGGTGTGGTTAAAGGTCATGCGAAGTGCAAAATAATGACGATACCTGAAATTGCACTAACACTAGCTACATTTGTTTTAATGTTAACTAAATACATAACATAAGACGGTTGGTAGCACACTTTTAAACTGGGTCACGGCTAATTCCAGCGACCACATTTTGCCGCGCTTCGGAACGACAACAAAAGTTCTGTTAAAACTGCAACCGCTCTTTTTTTTTATACATATGTATATGGATGCATGTATGGGTGCAACTGTATGCGTGAGACAGCCACTCGCCACACACAAGTGTGTATGTATGCAATACACGCATATGGGAAATGTGTGCAGTTTAACATAAAAAAATCGAAGGCCGCCACCGCTGAAACAAGGAAGCCCTTATGCCTGCCAAATGGCCTAAAAAATATACATATGAATTGGCATTGCCTTGCCTCTGGAAACTTACCCATTTCATAGTATGCTTGTTGTTTTACAAAATGCTTTTTTTGGCTGCTGTTGCCGAATGAGTTTCACTTTTCCGATTTCTGGTTTTATTTATATTGCTGCAATTAACGTTTATAGCGCGTTTTCGAGAATGACAACAGAAATGAAGTCCGGTGTTTGAGCGATGACTGTGGCGTTAAATAAATTAGTTGGCGTGAATGTTGTTTATGTTAAATTGCCATAATGAAAGAAATGAATCTGTGTAAGTGTTAAAAAGTGCGCAATGTTTCTAGTGTTGCACAGCGAGAAACCGAGAGACAAAAACCTGGGGCTGCACAATAACTTGTGGCTCTTTTTTTGGAATTTTGTATAGCTATGTATAACTGTGAATGTGTATTTAAAATAAACAAGCAAAAATATTTTCATAATCAATGACTTACTGGGTTTAATTTTACAATATGCGTATTACTTTGTTTTAAAAGCTGTACATTTAAATTCATATCAGATAGATGGCGCTGCTGCTAGTGGTTGAACTGGCAATGCCTAACTTACAGCTGTGTAGTTTTTACGCGCGGTATGCAGCTCAAAATGGCAAATTCTGTAAATATTACAAATTTGGTTAAATTTGTTTGAGAAAAGGCCATTTCAGCAAATTAAAGAAGTGCAATCCTGGTAAATTTGCTGGCACATTATGTGTGCAAACTAATTTTATAGGTATAATTGGCAGACAAATCGCATGTGTTATTAACATTAATTTCACCGATCAGCGTACTGTTTTGAGCCCAAAGATTTAGTACGGCTTTCAACATCGATGGGCGCTGTTGCCGGTGGCTCTTGTGCCAGTTTTAATTTATTTTTAAAGCAATAAGTGATTTTTTTCTACTACAAAATTGAACAATTGTACAGGTAAAGAGTGATTTATTTAGATTTATATATATATTGTAACTGCTGCTGCTGCTGCGTCCTCTGCCGGCGTGAAAAGTGAGTTATTCCTTAGCGTCTTTCACTTGGCCTATTTAGCATATAGTCGAAATATATGTATTTTCTTAAGAGCTTGTTCAGTGTAATGATATTTTTGATTGTCTGTGCTTACACATATCCAGTTGCGGCGCATTGATTGATTTTTGGCTTTTGTTTATGTGCGTTAACAAAAACTAGTTTTCTCTTATCTTGCCAATTTCAGTCAATCAATTGGCCATTGACATGCGAGTGAGATCTTCAGCCGTTCAAAAAGGCGGGCTTCGAACAAACAAACCCATTTACATGCAGATATTCAATTAACTTGTTGTTGAGACGTGCTCCGTCAACAATTAGAACTGAATCTGTACCCAAAATAGGGTCCGTCACGTGGCATATGCCTATTTAATTTAACCTTTAACTTTGTCCATTGAGTATGTATATTTTTTCATTTGCGCCAGTTTTAAAACGGTAACAAAAGCTCGTAGCGAATTTTCATCTCTGTCTGTTTATTACCCAATGAACTTTGTCGTAACTTAATATTGGTTTATTGGGCATCGTTCATCTAAAATTCATATGTTTTTACACATAAATGAAACGTCCTCAAATAAGATATTTTATGTACAAAGGACCTCACATCATAGAAAAGATTGTTCGAAAACGGAGTTTTTTTTATGAACATTTTTTTTGCTTTTAAGATGTTCCTTAAATAACGCGCTATAGAATGTTCTTTCTATATAAGCAAAAACCTAGTAAATATATATTTTTAGGTAGTCCAAAGAAAACACTTCTCTCTTGTTATTATTGTAATGGATCGGTTGATAAGACCACTTTAATTAAAAAAGGCACACAAGTTTTAGCAATTATATTAAGCATATAAAGTTCTTATCGTGCGGTTTTGATTATGAATTGGAATAGTTTCCTCATAATAAGTATAACATAGGCAATTCATTAAAGTTCGCTACAGTTCTAAATAAAAATTGCCCATTTCAAAGCTTTTATTTTAATTCATTGTTGAACCTTGTATATTATTGGGCAGCTATATGAGTAATTGTAGAAATCCAACTAAGTGCGAGTTTATGAAATTTGTTTACGTATCGCATATGTATGTATTTGGTATATAATGCCGGATGATAATGGGAATTGATCAGAACATGATCACGTTTTGTGTCGCACACTTATTAAACTAATTGAATCGACGTCGTGTGACTAAAAACATCTTCGGCACGCGACCGATGAGATCGCATTGAATTTTGTCAGTCTTTGTTTAGCTCTCGACGAGTTCTGATCGGGCGTAGAATCGTTTTCATAATATTTGCAAAGAAATTGACATTTAAAATTTGTTCTAAGCTTGTGAAACGTGTTTTTTGTGTCGCAAGTTTAGAGACATTTGTGCAAATATTTCTATGCTTTGTGAGTTTAAGCATAAAAAATGGGGTTAGGTATAAAGACACATTGTAAACATTATTGAAACTCAATCCGTACCCTTGCTGCTTGGAAATAATTCGAAGTATTGTTTTTCTTTTGTTTATTGTAATTTGACTTATTATATTTACTTTTTGTACTTCAGCTAGACAGTTCTTAAAGCACATTTGCGATAGTCAGCAAGAGAGCCAGTTTAATTAATTGCTAAAATATAGCTATGAAAATATCAATCATTAAAAAACTGTGGTAATGCTTACTAAGCATTGCTTTGAATTTTAAAAATCGCATAGAAAGGCGGTGTTTTAGAAGCGGCGAACAGGAAGAGCGAGCGAACGAGGCACAGAGAAAGCGAGAGAGAGAGAGACAAAGATCTATTGGGCAAGGTGGGAGAGTGAGAGAGAGAAAAGGAAAGATGAAGCGAGACAGAAATAATTGCCTATATCTCTATATATTATTGTATACGTATTACTGAGAAGTATATTAAGATCTTAAAGATGCTTCAGGCCATGAGAATCGCATAGAAGGACGATCCGCATTTCAGAAAATTTTATCATTTATTTACACCATTCAGTTCAATAATAGGGGATTAACAAAAACAAAAACATTTACTACAGACATCTCAATATGCCGCCAAAGAGCTTAACTGTTCTGCTGCCGGGCCTCAAGTGGCTGCAGGGCTACACGGCGCAGGATGCGGTAGCGGATCTGATAGCGGGCATTACCGTTGGCCTAACGGTGCTGCCGCAGGGCTTGGCCTACGCAACGCTGGCGGGCCTGGAGCCGCAGTACGGCCTGTACTCATCATTTGTGGGCGGCATTGTGTATGCGCTGCTGGGCAGCTGTCGCCAGGTGACAATTGGACCGACAGCGTTGCTGGCGCTAATGACCAGCCGGCATACAGGGTTCGGGCTGGACTCGGGCCCGGCATATGGCATATTGCTGTGTCTAATCTCCGGCGTGGTGGAGCTGGCAATGGCTGTCCTTAAGCTGGGCGCATTGGTGGATCTCATTTCGTTGCCCGTAACCGTGGGCTTCACCTCGGCCACAGCTGTCATCATTGGCACCTCACAGTTGAAAGGTCTGTTGGGGTTGCGCGGCGGCTCTGGCTCGGATTTTATCAATACCATGCGGAGCGTATTTGGCAATCTGCATCAGGTGCGTCGTGGAGATCTAACACTGGGACTAGTCTCAATCCTTGTGCTTCTGCTGCTGCGCGTGAGTCAACTAAATAACTGTGTGCAAATCTGCAAGTCTTTGTTAATATTACATTTAATCTTCTGCCACGCAGAGACTGAAAAACGTCAACCTGGCGAACCGTATACACAATTTGCGGGCTCAGCAGCTTCTAAGCGGCAGCATTTGGGTTGCCTCCACCGGACGCAATGCTCTCGTGGTGCTCATCTCCAGTGGCCTGGCTTATAGCCAGTGTAAGCATTTAGACGCCTGCCCCTTCATACTCACGGGCAAGGTGAAGAGCGGTTTGCCGAGCTTGGCGCTGCCGAAATTCGAGACCAGGATACTGGGCAAGAACGGCACCGAGGAGACACAGGACTTTGAGCAAATGGTGTGTATCGAGCAGATGGATATTTGAATACATTTTAAACGATAGTAAAATCATTTCAACTTCAATTGGCAGCTGTCGGATCTGGGACCATCCATGCTGATATTGCCCATTATTGCGGTGCTTGGCAATGTGGCCATTTCGAAGGCATTCGGCGGCGCCGGGCTAAGTCCCACGCGAGAGCTGGTTGCGCTCTCGTTAAGCAACATTTGCGGCGCCTTCTGCAGCTCCATGCCGGTAACGGGCTCCTTTTCGCGCAGCGCCGTCAATCATGCGAGTGGTGTTCGCACGCCCATCGGCGGCTGCTACACCAGCCTGCTGGTGCTGCTGGCTCTGGGTCTGCTGGCGCCATACTTTCAGTATATACCCAAGGCGGCGTTGAGTGCTGTCATCATTTCGGCTGTGATATTTATGATTGAGTTTGAGGTCATCCGGCCGCTGTGGCGCTGCAGCCGGCGTGAATTGCTGCCCGGCGCCATTACCTTTGTCATGAGCCTGGCTGTTGGCGTTGAGATTGGCCTGCTGTTGGGCGTCGGCACTGATGTGGCCTTTCTCGTTTACCGTGCGGCGCGACCCGTGCTAAGCGTGTCCAAGTTGCAGACAATCAACGGCATTAGCTACATTCTGATACGACCCAAGCATAGTTCGCTGTATTTTCCGGCCATCGAGTGGGTTCGTTCTGGCATCTCTAAGGCGATCTCCACACACGGCACTGCACCCGTTGTCCTCGACTGCGCGCATGTGCATGGTAAGCAATATTTTCATATTCCTCAAATGCGCATGGTTTTAATGTTCCCTTATAGATGTCGATTTTACCGCCGCACGCGGTATGGGCAGCCTGCACAAGGAGCTGGCTAAGGCAAATGTGCCGCTGTTCCTAATGAGCGCTCACAAGGATATTAGCGTCATACTGAAGGAGTCTACAAACATTGATTTTCCCACGATAGAGTGCCCAAACGATTTGGAGTGCATACTGGAGCAAAGTGAGTGATATATATATACATATATATATCTGTGTAATTTAAATATCGACTTTTCACTCTTTCAGCGCCCGACTATGAGCTGCACCTACAAGTGACAGCGCCGCTCGTGGAGTCGAAAATGCTGCAGAACGCCGATGAAAAAGCAACTGAACTAAGTAAACTGAATTCAAAGAGTACGTGAATATATCGATGCATTTCTTATAGAACTACCGAAGCGGAATTGTATACGAGAATGTGGCTTCAATGCACAAAGAACTAATACTTTTAATAATGCAAAATCAAACTGCTTTTGTACCTATTCCTAAGAATTGTGTTCTTATCTGTTAATCATCATATCCCACTTGATCAATGTCATTCCCAATTATTCCTTAAAACAATTTCAAAGTCGAATAACCTATTGTTAATTGTATATATTAGTTATGTTTTAATGCAAATATGCTGAGTTAGTTTAAGCAACGATAAGTTTTAAATGTTCTAATGCTGTAAGTAACTCATGACACGCATGGGTTCACAAAAGAGATCCATTTCATTTGGTATATATATTGTTATTGTTATTGAATAGATTATTTATACTTGTATATTAAAACTGTATACATCGCTGTGGTTCGTCTATATCGGAAACACGGCATAGCTAGCCACGTGGCAGAGATTGCCTTGGTTGCGTGCCAAGCGCATGTAGCCTTGCTCTCCCCAGTCACCCCAGGAGTTCTTGATTAACCAAAAGTCGCCGCCGCGTTGATCGTAACCGTAGCCAATGGCAAGCATGGCATGATTCACCTGCCCACGACAGCGAACGTTATACACGCCTCTACGATAGTGCTGAAAATAGGTTGCATCGACACAAACCGAAACTGGACCCTTTGTGGCGATGGCGTTGGCCAATGCGTCTTCATCTTGTCGGACCTGCATCACCTGTGTGACAGTTGCGCTAACACTATCGCGACGGAAACGGCAACGTCCAACACGGCCTTCATACCGATACGCCCTTTCATTATCCAAGCCATTGTTGTCCCGAATATACATCAGAGCGGCGGCGGGCCATCCACCGCTACAGCCATGGTTGTTATATCGACTAGAACAGTCCAGCAAATTCTGCTCGGAGAGCGGAATCAATTGTTTAGTTTGGATAAAATGTTGTCCCTCCAGAGCGCCCGTCGCTGAAAAGGTCCAGCAAGATCCGCAGCGGCCCTGATTCTTCACCCGCGTAACTGCGCCTTTCTCACGCCAGTCAACTTCGCTGGGAATCTCAGCATTTGCTGGCGAATAGATGTACTCAATGCTGGACGTAAAATCACTGATGTTCAGATTTGACAGCATAACTTTCCGGAATTCCGTCGCTAGCATGTCCGTAAATTGGTTCACGCCCATTTCGAAAGTCTCTTCGCCTGCGGCATAGCGCTCGTTGTGCCTATCGATCAGCTCCTTGTTGTCCCTAAATATCTGCATGCGCAGCTGCTCCTCGCTGTCATCCTCGTAACTCTTCTCGTACTCCACTTTAAAGGATTCGAACTCTGCTGCCAGCACATCCTCGTAGCTGAGCGCCTGGATGCAGCCGACGACAACAACGATTAACAGAAGAGCAACTGCCTTCATCTTTAGCCTTGCAACTCGCACTGAAATCAGATTCCAGAGCTGCCCCTTTTATATAGGGCAGTTACATCCCGCATAAATCCTTAAATACCGCATTACAACTTAAATATTATTGATTCGCTGTGGTCAGCGTTAAATCAATGTAAACCTATGTCTAAATTTAAAAATATATTTCATGTAATATTGTATTATTCATAAACGATTGGGAAAGTTTTGTTATTGTTATGGGTTATACAAAGGAATCCTTTTCTTCTAACTTGATGAAGTCCCGTATACTTTATCAAGGGTCATTTCCTATAGTTTCTATATTCGAGAGTGAACGTATTAAGTAAAATTATATTTTTAATAGAGCATATTTAAAGTAGGAGATGGTGCTTTTTCCGTAACATATGCACTTACTATTAATGTTATTAATTTTGAAATTGATTTGAAACAGAACGGGTAAACAATAAACTTTTATAGAATCGTTTATCGCCAATTTACCACAGTCTCGAATGTAATTTCTAAAATCGCTGAAAACCTATTCATTAAGTTATTTTGTAGGTCTTTGAATGTACGTTTAAGGCTAATCGGACGAAACTTAAAGCTGCCCCCAAAAAATCTTTGAATCGCATTTTCCTCCGAGGAAGCCTGGATTCTCTCTCAAATTATTTTTCATATAGATCCTTGGAAATGAATTTGAGCTCGAAACGTAACCCACCAAATCTTTGAGCCCCATTTTTACCAAGGAGGAATGCATTTTTCGAAAAGTGTGAAACAATTCTCAAATGAATTTGAACAAAGATCATTGAAAATGAGTTTGAGGCCGATCGGATGGTAAACAAAAATGTTGCATACGCTTTTCGCGATTATTCCACACTTGCGGGTGGAATTTCCCGAAATTCTGACTTAACGTGCACCTACATTACATAAGGTAACTACAGTGAAAATTTCAGCTTCCTAGCTCTAACGGTTTGGGCTGTGCGTTGATCATCAATCAATCAGTCAGTCAGTCAGTCAGGACAAACAGTTTTATATAAAGAGATATGGCTTCTATTGCAACAATCGCTTGAAAACATATTTTTTTATATTTTTGTATATGTTATGGTGCGGGGTATAGGGTATTTACCACTCGGTCACCCTCGACTAGATTACCCCAATACCCTATACTACACATTTTGCTTGTGCCTTAATGATGTATGGTAAGAGTCATTAAAGCAACCACTTTAATTAATCCGTATTTTTAACCTGATTGAAAGGGAAAACAATTAGGTAATTACATTTGAATATAGAGTACTCACCTATATAAGAACCCAAATTGAAAAGGCTTGAGCGCAGTTTTCTGAAATGACTTTACAAAGACGTCTGGTCGAGAGATTGTGGACATGTTTTGAGAGGAAAACCAAGGAATTTCTGCGCAGCACATCTTTGCAGGGTCTGAAATATGTGTGGGACAATGAATTGCCAGGTTGGGTGCAGTTATTTTTCGCCAAGGTGTTCGTTCTCGTTGTATGTCTGGCCAGGTTTACTGGCCGTGAATGTGTTCAACAAATGGCAAAGCACGCCAGTTATCATTGGCATCAGTTCGACCATGACACCGATACAGGATATACCCTTTCCGGCGATAACCGTGTGCAGTATGAATAAGGCAAAGAACTCAAAAGTAGCCAACTTTCGACCGTGAGTATACTTATGTGTATACTCTATGTGTCATCTATGTGTACATCTCTATATGTTTTTTTTTTAGAGGAACTTTGGAGTATGCGATGCTGCAAAAGACTTGCAATCAGGATTTCAATTATACGGATTATAGATCATTGAAACCTCGCTCCAAGAGCGACACGTACGCGAATTTCATCGTCAAAGTTTCCCACAAATGCGATGAGATGATCGTCTCGTGTATTTTCGGACAGAAGAGCCTGCCCTGCACCGATATCTTCCGAGAGTTCTTCGTTGACGAGGGCCTCTGCTGCGTGTTCAACTTCCTCCATCCGTATTATATATACAAGCATAGGTGAACCTCTTTATTAATAACCAATATCAATAAATATATAAAGAGACATCTTTGCATGTTGAAGTGCATCTTCTTTACGGGACTACACGTCGTCCAAAGGTCTCACGGACATTGCCGTGGACTGGAACCCCATTAGCGGCTATCCAAAGCATCTGCCGGCGGGCTTCTATCCTCGTCGGGGCATTGGCATAGGCGTTGCCAATGGTCTACAGATTGTGCTCAACGGGCACACGGATGACTATTATTGCTCATCCACAAATGGACAAGGATTCAAGGTATGATATATACAAAATTTCATTATAATAATAAATAAATAATTTTATTCCAAATACATACATTATTTTCTTCTTTAGGTGCTCTTGTACAACTCGATTGATCAGCCGCGTCTCAAGGAATCCGGCCTGCCGATAATGCTCGGCCACGAGACCAACTATAGGATCGTGCCGAATAGCTATGAGGCTGTGCCAAGCATACGTGGCATCGACCGGAAGAGGCGCCAATGCATTTTCAGCGACGAGCAGGAGCAGGAGCTGCTCTTTTATAGGTACTACACACGCCGGAACTGTGAGGCCGAGTGCGATGCGATGTACTTCTTGAGGCTCTGCAACTGCATACCATATCACCTGCCGTTGATCTACCGCAATGCCACCGTCTGCCATGTGAGGCACTTTGACTGCCTCAATCGTGCGGAATTGGAGAATGTGGATGGCGAGAGTACGGCGTGCAAGGAGCATTGCCTGACCAGCTGCCACGATGTCACATATTTTCCAAATCCATTCGCAATACCCACAATGCCCTTTAACCAGCAGGGTGCTCGGGTCAAGAACGAGTACTTCAGAAATTTCTCAACGGATTTCATTCTCAACAACCTGGCCATAGTCAATTTCTACCACGATGACAATTACTTTCGCAGCTATGTGCGTTCCTCGTACACAGGCCTCACAGAATATATGTGTAAGTGCGCCAATTAAAATAATTGCCATATAAGTAGTATATCTTTTGTTTTTTCTCCAGCATTAACCGGCGGCATAATGAGCCTAATGTTTGGTTTCAGTGTAGTTTTCATTTCGGAACTATTCTATTTCACATTTCTGCGCTCACTTTTCGAGTACATCCAGCATTGGTGCATTGCTCGTCGAAACAGAGTCAACATATTAGACACAAATCAACTAAGTACGCACTCTTAAGGATTCAAGATCGGGCAAATCACAAAATATATAATTCCCAACGAAAAGTACAATAAAGTCTCCAGAACAAATTTTATAGGAAGCTATAAAGGAATCATATGTATGTTTCTATACCCTTGCAGAGGGTATTATAGTTTTGCCTCGAAACGCTAGAAGGAGTCATCTCTTAAATCTTAAAGTATATATATTCTTGGTCAGTATCAACAGCCGAGTCGATATAGCAATGTCCGTCTCTCAGTTTTAAAGCTATCTTTACGAAACTTTGCTCACATCCCAGTAAATATGTATATGACATATACATACGGATACGGATATACGGATATACAACTATATCATATAGCTGCCATAGGAACGATTGGTCGAAAATGAGGTTCTTGTAAGCAAAAATATTCCGCTTTCCGAGATATTTTCGTCAAACTCAGCATTTACGAAGTTTACTATTCTCTCATATCTGGAAACACGTAAGCCAAATGTCTAAGAGGGTAGAGGGAATCCATTAAAAATGGGTAAACAGGGTATATTGTATTTGTGCAAATGTATGTAACAGGCAAAAGGAAGCATCTCCGACCCCATATAGTATATATATTCTTGATCAGCATCAATAGCCGAGTCGATCTAGCCATGTCCGTCTGTCTGTCCGTCCGTCTGTCCGTCCGTCCGTCCGTCTGTCTGTCCGTCCGTCCGTTTGTATGAACGCAAGGATCTCAGAGCCTATAAGAGCTGGAGACTTGAAATTTTAGCTGTAGATCCTCCTAGTCCCCGCGCAGTTTGTTTCCGATATTCGATAACTTGTCCCGTTTCCAAGTAGTCGATAAAGCTCGAATATCGAAATCCTGTTTTTTGGGCAATTTCCGCAAATAATATGAGCTAGAGTCACCAAACTTGACATGTAGCTTCTAGAATAGTATATACATATATATCAAGCATCTTTCATTTTATACCTATCGCTTGTCGGAAGAAGAGGGTTCAGGGTATCCCCTAGTCGGGAGCTCCCGACTAGAACCTGTTACTAGTTTTATAATGTAGCTATACGAAAGTTCCTCAAATTTAGTATATAGAAACATGTCTGCATATATTTGTGCGCATTTGGCATGCTAAACTATTTGAGCTTCGATTATGTTTCATATCCCATATGATGTTAACTCCCCAATTAAAAACAATGAGGCAGCTTACAATCCCAAAACATCTCATTTACGATAATAACTGCTTGGAAATAAAAAAGAAAGCATATTCGTAAAATAATAGACCTTTAATATTGTTTCTCTCGGACCTAGCCCACTGATTCCATTGATTTAATATAAAAATGAAAAATTGGATTTTTGTAATAAATATCATACAGTTCAAAGATTGTATATGTTTTTGAATACCCCTATTACAATTTTCCATAGCTCTTGGGTCGTATAAGCATTTTGACTGTTTTCAACGAGACGAATAGTTCCCAAAATATGGCATTCGATTCATTCACCTTATGATCATAGTATTTGCCATTTAAATTGCTAAAAAAAGATAAGAAAACAATTAAATTAAATTAAATTCAATTTTTTCTCCAGCAATTCATACCTTCCTACACAGCTGTGGTACCACCAGCCACCAGCATATTTATCTTTACTTGCGCAGTTGCCATTACTCCAATTATCATTATCACGATCGTATGTGCTGAATTTCTGATTGTTGTGGTAATCTAACTTATTAAATGTTGCATGGCCCTCAGCCTTAGCAGAGATTTTCAGTCTGTATTGATCGTTCTCGCCAGCGATGGCAAATTGTCCATATCTGTAATACATTTTGATGCCATCAAATCCTTCCATATGTATGTAGAGCTCATGCGGCTGGGCGCGCGTCAAGCGATGAATCCTCTCGAGACCGAGGAAGAAGTCACCTTCAAAGCTTCCAAAGCCGGCACGGTATGTGGCCCAATCCCTATAGAAGTCCTCTTTGCCATTGATTCGCTGCTGGATAACAATCCAGCCAGGACCTGCTGTCGCACTATCACAAAGTACATTGAACGAATCTTCTTGATCCGGGTTAATCATATAAATACCCGGAGTATCAGCAAAGTCGGTGCAGTCACTGTAAACGGGCTTCTCCTGCCAGTTTTTTAATTTCTTGGCACAAATGTTCATTTCGTTTTTGATTTCGGATATTTGTTGGTCCTTTTGATCAATTAGCTTCTTTTGTTTCTCCAGCTGCTCCTCGTATTCCTGGATTTTCAAAGCATTTGGATTGAGTTTACCGATTTCCTCTTTTATTGATAAGACGTTGCTCGTTAGCTCTTCAATAGTTCGTTTGTAGAATTCATTCTGAGCTGTCAATTCCTCGATGACCAAATCATTACGTTTGTTCAGTTTTTTCTGCAGTTGCTTGATTTCTCTGTCTTTGCCTTCAATTTCCTCCTTCATCTGGTGTATATACTTTAACAAAGGTCTCACTGCCTTATATATGTACTTTCCACATTCCTCCTCAGCTATTCTGTTTGCCGAAGAAGACTAATAAAAAAGAAGGATTTCTTTTCTGCAGTGCACACAAACATTGACAAACAATCTAATTTTACCTCATTTTTACTTAACTCTGTTTCAGCTATGATCAGCATTAGGCTCATAAATAGAATATATATAAACAAAACACATTTCATTTTGATAGCACTTTGATTTTCTTTTTTAAATTTAAATGCGAATCTCAACTGCACTCAGCACGCTCGTAAATAGACTGAAATGCGGCAATCTTTCGGAAGCTCGGCTGCCCAATATTTCGCTTTTACTTTTAGGCGATTATCAGTAGGTCAGGAAGTCAATATAAATAAACAAAGGGCATGGATCAGGCTTTAAATTACCTTCATTGAACTGTTTATAGATTGCAAACAAATAAGTTTATTAGCTTTGGCTGATTCTCGTTGTCAGCTTATTTTACGAGACATAGAACCAGTTTTTTCCTTATGTTTCGGCTAGGCTAGGCTCAAATCAGCTTGTCGTCCGATCAGACATATATATTCCTGAACTTTTTAGGATCGTTGTTGCAGCCTGTTACATATTTTTGAACAAAAGCAATATACCCATTTTCAGGCTATAAAGATAATATAGATTAGCTAAATCGGAAAAAAATAAAATAATTGTAGAGAATATGAAAAAAGCGAAAGATTGGATTACTAAATAAATAATTTTGTATTATGTTATAAACAATTGGATCCCACTTTAGTATACCCTTGTAGAGGGTATTATAGTTTTGACATGAAATGTGTAACGCATAGAAAGAGACATATCCGATCCCATGCATATATATCTATATCCTAGATCCGCATCGAGTTGGTTTAGTCACGTCCATCTGTCTGTCTGTCTGTTTCTATGCAAACTAGTTCCTCAGTCTATAAGCTATCCACATGAATATTTACATATATCCGTCTCTCTGTTGCAGGCACTACATTTCAGGTATTTACACATATTTCAATTCCACATTTATGCACTAGAATTTCAGTAAAATCAACACCCGGCTACTTCTGCTGTTGGCCAAAAGTCGAGATTATTATTGGTAAAATATAAGTTTAAAATTGAATTTTTGTTGTTTTCCGTTTTGCAAACAATCGAAGTAAATGGCGCTAGTCAGCCCATAGCTCAGACCAATATCTTGAGAACAGTTTCTATGAGAAACAACAACAACCAATTATCAAAATTATCCTTTTTTTTTGGCCTACAGCCTATGATCTCAGCTACTGCACTCTTCTAACCGATTGCAGTTATTCTAAGTCACAAAGTCATGTCTTCTCCTTTTCCAGTCGCTTTCAACTTTGCAAGCAGACCGACAGATTTTTATAATTGTTCATCATTGGACCAGCTAAGAAGTCTTCTTCAAAAGAGGTCGGGCTGTCTCCAAAGGCAATTAACCTTCTCATATAACAGCTTTTAGCCAATGTCAAAGAGAAATTTAATTTCGTATTTACTGGGCAACTGCAACTTGTATAATCATTAATAAATGTTTTCATTAGACATTCCCGACTAGGGGACTACCAATAAAATAAATACAAATAAATTTAAAAATAAGACTCGAACCCATAGCAGATCATTCTATACCTGTTCCGCCTTTGCGCGACAGCCATGCAAACAATTAATTTAGTTTTGAATAAAAAAACGTATTAAAATTGCAGAACATACACATAGCACAGAAAACAATGATAACATTCACTAAAGACCCGCATGTATACAGAAATTCTTTCAATTTGCAGTAACTGCCGTAAACACGTGTCAATATAAGCACACGTTTTGTTTAATAGCTTCTGTGTTTCTTAGCCGATTTTAATGAAATTTTCAATAGTAGATCTTATTGTGCAACAGAATATTCTTTTGTTATTAAAAATACAATTGCATTAAAATTGTCACCTAAATTGGTGGGCAGTTTAAATAGGTTTATTTGTTTGATTAATAGCTATTTGATGATGGCGGAGGGGCGGCGATAGCTATAAAATGATATATACATATAAACTATTATAAAAGCAACATATTAAATCTGTACGTCTAGCTCCTAAAACCTATGAAATATTCTTAAAAAAAAGAAATTCGATATCGATTTTTATCGATTGCTTGGAAGCGAGAAACAAATGATCGATTATTGGGCAATCTCGTATTTAAATTTCAAGTCTCTAGCTCTTATGGGTTCTGAGTTTCTTACGATCATACATACGGATGGCCAGATCGGATCAATAATATATATATACAAATATATATTTTATGGGGTTTTCGGAAAATGCCAAGGGATGTATGTATGTCTTATGAATTTAGGAAGCTAGCAACTTTTTGTCCAGCAAATGACAGTTTAAGGCTTTTTGTGGGCGATGGTTGATTACATTTTTAAATAAATTATTTATTATATAGATCCTATTAATAAATTATTAATTTAATGTACACAATAAAGGTAGGAATACAAACCAAACGACACAAGAAATAAAACTTTTCCCCTCCTACAATTTATTCCGAAATGATGCAATGCTGGCAAGTCATGCGCTTGCGTCGGAAGCTCAACTCCACCACAACTTTTCGCGAATTCACCTCGGAACTTTCGCTGTTCACCATCGTAGTGAGGTTGCGCTCTCGCAGCAGCCGATCAGCGGCGCACGGTTGCAGAGGCTGGCAGCCGTTACATTCAAACGCTAAACTCCTATTTATTCCTTAAAACAATTTCACAATCAAATAACCTATTGTTAATTGTATATCTTAGTTAGGTTTTAATACAAATATTCGGAATAAGTCTAATTAATTTACTATGGTTATTTATAAATCTTTTAATGCTTTAAATAGTTTATGTTTGATATGTAGATTATCTATACATGTATATTATGTTTCATCTACACCGGAAATACGGCACAGCTAGCCACGTTGCAGAGATTGCCTTGGTTGCGTGCCAAGCGCAGGTAGCCTTGCTCTCCCCAGTCACCCCAGGAGTTCTTGATTAACCAAAAGTCGCCGCCGCGTTGGTCGTGACCGTAGCCAATGGCAAGCATGGCATGATTCGGCTGATCGTAACAGCGATGGGTATAGACGCCTCCACGATAGTGCTGGATATAGGTTGCATCGACACAAACCGAAACTGGACCCTTTGTGGCGATGGCGTTGGCCAATGCGTCTTCATCTGGGGTTACCTGTATCACCTCTGTGACAGTTGCGCTAACACTATCGCGACGGAAACGGCAACGTTCAACACGGCCTTCATACCGATACGCCCTTTCACTATCCAACCCATTGTTGTCCCGAACATACATCAGAGCGTTGATGGGCCATCCACCGCTACAGCCATTGTTGTTATATTGACCGGAACAGTCCAGCAAATTCTGCTCGGAGAGCGAAATCAATTGATTAGTTTGGATAAAATGTTGTCCCTCCAGAGCGCCCGTGGCTGAAAAGGTCCAGCAAGATCCGCAGAGTCCTTGATTCTTCACCCGCGTAACTGCGCCTTTCTCACGCCAGTCAACTTCGCTAGGAATCTCAGCATTTGCTGGCGAATAGATGTACTCAATGCTGGACGTAAAATCACTGATGTTCAGATTTGACAGCATAATTTTCCGGAATTCCGTCGCCAGCATGTCCGTAAATTGATTCACGCCCATTTCGAAGGTCTCTTCGCCAGCGGCATAGCGCTCGTTATGCCTATCGATCAGCTCCTTGTTGTCCCTAAATATCTGCATGCGCAGCTGCTCCTCGCTGTCATCCTCGTAACTCTTCTCGTACACCACTTTAAAGGATTCGAACTCTGCAGCCAGCACATCCTCGTAGCTGAGCGCCTGGATGCAGCCGACGACAACAACGATTAACAGAAGAGCAACTGCCTTCATCTTTAGCCTTGCAACTCGCACTGAAACCAGATTCCAGAGCTGCCCCTTTTATATACGGGAGCTATTACTATTATTAAAATATAATCAATTGAAATCACTGTGGTCACCTAATCTACCTTCAATCGATGTACAAATATACCTAAATTTAAATTTGTATTCATAAACAAAAGGGAAATAATTGTTTTGTGTTGGGTTATACAAGGGATACGCAATATTTTTTTTTTATTGATGAAGTCATGTGTAATTAGTCAAAGTTTAATTTATTATTATTATTATTATTATTATGATTGTTATTATTATTATTATTCATTATATTATGATTATTATTAATATTATTATTATTATTATTATTATTATTATTATAACTATTATTATTTTTATTATTATAATTATTATTATTATTATTATTATTATTATTATTATTATTATTATTATTATTATTATAACTATTATTATTATTATTATTATTATTTTTATTATTATAATTATTAATATTATTATTATAATAATTATTATTATTATTATTTTTATTATTATTATTATTATTATTATTATTATTATTAATATTATGATTATTATTATTATTATTATTACTATTATTATTAATATTATGATTATTATTATTATTCATTATATTATGATTATTATGATTATTATTATTATTATTATTATTATTATTATTATTATTATTATTATTATTATTATTATTACTATTATTATTTTTATTATTATAATTATTATTATTATTATTATTATTATTATTACTATTATTATTAATATTATGATTATTATTATTATTCATTATATTATGATTATTATGATGATTATTATTATTATTATTATTATTATTATTATTATTATTATTATTATTATTATTATTATTATTATTATTATTATTATTATTATTATTATTATTATTCATTATTATTATTATTATTATTATTATTATTATTATTATTATTATAAATATTATGATTATTATTATTATTATTTTTTTTTTATTTCAATTATTATTATTATTATTATTATTATTGTTATTATTATTATTATTATTATTATTATTATTTTTATTATTATTATTATTATTATTATTATTATTATTATTATTATTATTATCATCATTATTATTACAACTGTAATATGATTACCCTAACCGCACGTTGATTAAACTAATATAAATGGTTGCAAAATATACTATGGGTCGGGTGTTACGAGTTCGTTGACCCCGACTTAAACTTATTGTTTTTATACCTCGAATCCATTGATCGAGGCTATATGTTCTTAGTCAGCATCAACAGTCCCGTCGATCTAGCCATGTCTGTCTGTTCGTCTGTCTGTCCGTCCGTTTTTCTGTATTTCACGTCGACCTCGGAACCTAAAAGAGTTGGGGTCTTAAAACTTTGTATTAATTCCTTCAAGGGCCCGCGTAGTATGAGGTTGTTCCGTTCATTGATAACTTTTCTCGATTTCCTATATTTTTTCCCTTTTATTAGAGGAATTTTGAGGTTTAACTATTTGGAAGTAATCGCTTTAAAAAAAAAAATTCCTTTTACTGCATTGTATTATAGTTTTCAATAAATATATTTTGTTTATATTTATATATTTTTATTATTTATCTCTTTATATAAAATTGTTAGTCCTGACTGACTGACTTCGGCTACAAACTCAGTTTCAGAGATCTTTCTTAACATTTATTTGATACGCTTTTCGCGATATGGATCGAAAATGGGGAAATAAGTTTTAATGAACGAAAGTTTATTTTTCGACTTCAAGATTCTCACCGTTGATTTCAATTAATAGTTTTTTTTTCGATGGACCTGAAATATATTTTCAAATAGTCGCTGGGATCAAGAAAGTCCGGGCTGAGCTACAAAACTAACAATGGGCAAGCCTGGGTAATGCTCGTCTGTATTACATATTTATATATATATACATTGTATTTTAATATTATGCTTCCATATATATATTTTTCTATTAAACAGATTTTATTTTTTACAGAACGTACACACCAAATGGAATATATTATCTTATATACATAACAGTCTTAGTCTGGAACAATTAGGAACAATTTATTTACTTTCAGAGACCAACAAATTTTTCACTTTCAGATCTCAAAATTATTGAGTTATGAAAAGAAAAAAATGTTTCATTTTTCCATTACCTTTTGGTAGACCATTTCCACGTGTATTACATAGTGATCCAAAGGTTTTTAAATGCTAATCTATTAAGTTGGACCGGAATATCTATAACACCCATATAACCCAGCCCAGATATCTAGGAACTGCTCCATAAAATTGGAGGGAAATGTGTTGCATACTTTCGGGTGCTTCAAAAAACCTTTAAATATTGAAAAACTTTCTGTACAAACAATCAAACTTATTATTACCACCTGGCTGAGGGAAAGATGTTTTTTAATGACATAAATAATACCCATTAAAAATGGGTAAAACTCGAGCCGAGTCGATCTAGCCATGTCCGTCTGTCTGTCTGTCCGTCCGTCCGTCCGTGTGTCCGTCAGGACGAAAGGATCTCAGAACCTATCAAAGCTAGAGCCTTCAAATTTTAGCTGTAGGTCCTCCTAGTGCCTGCGCAGATCGAGCTTATTTCAAAAATTCGACAACTTGCTCCGTTTCCAAGTAATCGGTCAAAATTGATATCGAAATCTTGTTTTTTGAGCAATTTCGGCAAATATCACCAAAAATCACCAAACTTGACATGTAGCTTCTAGAATAGAATATATGTATATATCCTATACATATACATATGTATCTTTCATTTTATAGCTATCACCACCTTCCCGCTACTACCTCATAGCTATAAATCATGTTAATAAACCAATTTATGCTGCCCACCAATATAAGCCACAATTTAAATGCAATTGTCATTTTGAGAATACACCAATATTTTATAGTACAATAAGACCTACTGCTGAAAATTTCATCAAGATCCGTTAAGAAACACAAGTTTTGGCTACCCAAGTGTTTGCGGCAGCTAGCGCAAATTGCAAAAATTTCTGAATACATGTACACACACAGTTCTATCAACAGCATTGCAATTGCGATTGTATTGTTTTCGGTGCTGCTATTTTAATTTGTTTTTTACTCATTAAATTTCAATTTTTGGTGTGGCTGTTGAGTAGAGGTGGCAGCAAGTAATGCGGTCAGTTGCGAGCTCAAACCCTGCCAAGGGAACTTTTTTATTTAATTTATCTTTGTTAGTACTAAATCGAACGAGCGCGTAGCGCGTGCTGCATTTGATTTGGAATAAGAGGGTTCAGGGTATCTCATAGTCGGGAGCTCCCGACTAGAACCTCTTACTTGTTTTATGAATTGAATTTGGAACAATTCTTGGTGACATAGAACGTTATACTTACCGGATCCTGATGCAGAGCTAATTTAATTTATCAAATTCTAAATAGTCCCATCTTTTTAGGTATGCTCTCTATAAATAGAACTAAAATCTGATTAAATCCCAAAAACAAACTTGCTTGAGAAACTCTTAAAAACATAAATGTATTTTTCCCACAATAATTAATCATAAACACAAGCAAAAATCAAAAGGCAACATTAAAGATAACTTGATGGAATATCTCATCTGAATAGATTTGGGAATGTGTCACAAATCATTCACCCCAGGCACAACCCCGAACAAGGCACGCAGCCACCTTTTGGGGAAAGTGGAAATGATATTAGTGCGGCCGTAGATAAATAGAGAGCAACAGAAATTGAAACAGTTGCTTGGAAAAATCAAGCGGCAAGAACAAGAACAAATCGAGTTCCCCTCAGAAACACTTCCACTGAAGCGAAAACTTGGTCTCTTGTAATACAATCCGTGCGTAACTACAATTACTTAGTGCCTGTACCGTATGTATCTATCTATCTTACGGATGCAGGCGCTAAAGGTGAACAAACTCTGCTGCGCATGCGTCGCCCTGTCGCTGTCATCGTGGTTTCGCAGCTACGCTCTCTACTCCCGCTCGTTGTCATCCAATTTCAAAACATGAAATATATTTGTCAATTTCCGTCCGTACGACAACTCCTGTCTCCGGGTTGAATGAACTGCACACGAATCCTGTAGCTCGGAGAGACTTGGTTCATTCGATTCATTCGATTCACGGTACAGTTGCTAGGCTGGATGAAAGGTAAGTTTTGGGATCTTACAGGTTGGAACTTCGTAATAAGTGGAATGTATGACTAAAAGCTGTATTGCTTAATGGATCCATTGATATCTTGCTTGAAATAAAAAAAAGGTTTTGATTGGAAATTACCTTCAGGTTCTTTCTATATTTAATACCTTTATCTTCTGTATTTCTTAGGTTCTATATTATATCTATTATAAACTGGGATTTGCATATTCTCGAACTGTTCGCGGGGTGCCACAGACACATCGTCTGCTGGGGAAAGGAATCTAACGGATCCGCGTACGATTCGGCTGCTTCTATTTTTAGATGCCTGTCGTTTGTCGTCTTCTCCTCTTCTTCTTCATCATTGTCTAGTTAGTAGCCGACGGGACCGAGTCGTGCTCTCGTTGCCGAGGGCTGCTGCTGCTGCTATTGGGGCTGACTGTGCCACAGCTCGAGCAGCATTTCAATTGCATTCCAACGCGCGCTCGGTACAGAGATACGGCCACAAATCGAACGGATAAGATATAGATACGTATAAGATTTCAAATACATATATTCAGTGCCTTGGATTATCAGTGAATGTGCATATGAATTTGATTAATTAGTGATAAACAATTGTACACAGTTCCTAACCAACCAAACATACCAAAGAGGATTACTCGCATAAACATAGAAGGAGAAGAAGAAACCAAATTTTTCGTTAAATATTATTAAAACTATTTAAATGCTCAACCAAACTAGTTGATATTCAAATTTTGAATTTGTTCAATTGCTAAAAACAAAAAGGAATTAAAACATATTCAAATAAAATACATTCAAAGAGGTGTGTATAAAATATACTAAAAAAAATTACTAAAATAGATCAAATTATTTAAACTTTTTTTTACGTTATTTGAACGAGTGTAATCACGTAAAACAAAATCCTAACAAAATTTGTTTCATATAAAAGAAATTCTTTCGGCTTTGTTGCATGAGACAAGAGAAAATCCTTAGATCAGAGAAAATTTCCGATTGATCTTAAGTATTGCCTGCCCGAAAAATTGAGTAATGCGAATGTAATTTGATGTCAGGGCCAGTTGACAGAATTAGCATGCCTCTTCCATGTTGCATCAAATGCTGGATGCCAGACCAAATATAGCGCCCATGAGTGTTCGAAGCTAAAGTGACCACATCCCAATGCATTTAAGTGCCAATGTGTGGAACGCGGCGCACAAATAAAGAAAATAATGAGACAGAGCGACTGTCTTCGGCACGCCGAAGCACAAATACCCTACACGGCTTTGCAGGCATATGAGGAGAATTACAAAGCTCGATCGTTTTTCAAGATATTTTGAAAGACAGAAGAGTTTTTGATCATTATGTTTTGTATCTATATACTTTATGGGGCCTATTCTATGCGTTACACCTTCCGTGCGAGAATTGTAATACCCTGTTCAAGTGTATAACAGCGCAGAACAGCTTCAATTTAAATTGGAAAGAGACTGAAATATGTCGCATGCTCGAGCTAAAGCGACGCTCCCTCCACTTTTCATTTTACTTTCCAACTCAACAAAAAAAAAAAATGGAAAAACCTAGGGAAAAACGTAAACAACAGGAGAAAAAAAAAAGAGTGAACGCGGCACAAGTTCAAGATTCTCACAGATACAGTCAGACAACCGAGAGTACCCCGGGCCCGCAGCTAAAAGTAGAAACGCACGAGACCGAGGCAATAAACTGAGAGACGAAAGTAGTTTAATGCAGTTTGCTGGGGATCCTTGACTTCTGCCTCGCCAACTGTTCCCCGATGCATTTTCCCGCTTTGGCGCACGACAACAACAACAACAACAACAGCACGAACAACAACAACAACAACACGAACAACAACAAAGTAACGACATCGCTGCGTTTAGTTCCTCTGCCTATCCCGATCCCGAAGCGATAGTTTTCTTGATCTATTTTTGGCCTAGCCAAGCCAGCATTGTCTTGTCGCCTCGAGTAATTTGTTTGTTGCGTTAGTTTCGTGTTAAATCTACACTGAACAAATTTATATAGTACAAATATAACAGTTATATGAACAGTTGCATTATCTATTCAATGAAAATAGTGTCTAAAAATCTATTTAATTCTTTTAAAATTGCTAAAAATAATAACATTGATTTTGTAAATTACACTTAAAGAAGAATTATTTAAAATTTATTTGTTGCGTTAGTTTCGTGTTAAATCTACACTGAACAAATGGATATAGTACAAATATTACATTTATATGAGCATTTGCATTAGCTATTCAATGAAAATAGCGTACTTTAATCAATTTAATTCTTTTAAAATTGGTTTTAAATTAAATAAGAATATTGACTTTTGTGAAGTACACTTAAAGAAACATATGCAACATATTATATCTTGCCAAATGAGCGCAATTTATAATTTATTTGATATTCTCCGAACCAACTCCCTGCCTTCAGGTTCGCCATCCCTGTACCCAGGTTTTGGCTTAAAACTTGATTTGTCTTCTATGATTATATGATTATAGTTTTTGTCCGTTATACCGAAAGTATTGCAAGTCGTACTTATTTTCATATATATATTACATACCTAAATGTGATCTTTACTGGGGAGCTTGCAGCCTGCGTATAAAAGAATAAATAACAGTAAACAGTTTCAAAGTTCGATAAATAAACTAGTTCAAGTTTTTGAAGAAATTTGGCATTTTGAACCAGTTGCAAAAATTTGCAAGCGACTTAGCTAGTTCAATTTGTTAAAAAAGTGACAATTTGAACCAGTTGCAAAAACTTGCACGAGAGCTGGTAACACGTTGTGGCTAATTTGCGAATTGTGCGCTCTTTTTTTGAGCACTTTATTTCTCAAATAGGCTCAATTGCCGTTTGGACAGGTGTTTTCAGGTGTTTTAGCTGGCGCACAGTGTAAGCATTATAAATAGACAGTTGCTGGAAGTGACAACATGCGGACAGGCGCAAACAAACAAAGTGGCAGAGCAGCAGCAAAGCCATTGGCATCGATACTTTTGAAATGAGCATCGATAACAAACATAAACTGCTAAAATGTTTATTTGAGGCAAACGTTGCAGTTACTTTTCGGCCCCCAAACCGCACAACAAACATAAGATCCGATTCCAAGTGAAAATGCAACTGCAACTGCAACGGCGACGCTGTCTTTGTGTAAGTTTTTCCCCAATGGCCCGCAAATTAAAAATAGTGAGCATTAGACGAGCGCAACAACAACAACAACAACAAGAACAAGAAAAGGCGCAGCTACTTGAGGCAGCGGCTGGAAATGTCAAGAGTGCGTCGACATTGCATGTTGACAGTGGAAATGCAACGGCAAACGTCAACGCTGACGGCGGCAGAACTATTACGAGTTCCATGTAACGTCAACAGCGCGCGCGCCACACTCCGCACCGCGCACCTCCCCCCCCACACCCAAGTTTACGCTGCTGCACAGACAGACGCACACAGAATCGTTGCAGGGGGCCACCAAATGGAGTTGCCCATAAATGGGGGAAGTTGCGTGCGCATCTATCGTTTGGGGTCCACTTCCGTCTTCGACTTCTCTCTCTCCCTCTCTCTCTCTCTCTCTGTTTGTGTTTGCTGTCTGCAATTGCCTGGCTACCAAACGTGTGCGCTTGTGCGCTGCCAGATTTGTGTTGAAACAATTTCACATTGCCTTGGCATTAAGAAGCATTAAAGCTGTAGGCTTATCATTTACAAGCTCGCACCTAAAGATACACAAAGCGCAGGAAACTTGCGTTCGGAGCAGAGCCGAGTCGAGCAGAGCAGAGCAGAGCGAGCAGAGCAGAGCAGAGCAGAGCGAGCAGAGCAGAGCAGAGCAGAGCAGCGCGGAGTTGAGGTCATTTCCGCTGGCGCTGCGCCTCTAGGCTGCCATTTTACGGCATTTTACGAATTGGAGAGGGTATTCGAATGTCGTAACGAAATGTAATACGCATTGTGTTTATATTTGCAATCCAAAAGACATATATATTTATTTTTGATCGGTATTAACAGCCGAGCAGATGTCTGTCTGTCTACTACTATGTCATATATCTCCTAATGATATTATGGGTAAAAATTGAATTTTAATTAATAACTCTTTGATTTTTAACGATTTTGCTGCTGCCAGGAATTTGAATCCCTATTGCAAAAGCGTTATCATATAGATTCAATAGGAACTATTTCGGGACGCTCCAACTAGTTGCGAATTGTAACAGGTAAGCAGCAAAGCGAGCGCAGTTATTTCTTGCATGAGAAACTTTTCGTGAAAAATATCAAATTATCTAAAATAGACTCTCGTAAGTTTTGTTGTGCAAGCGTATTCAGCCGTCGGCATGCCTGAGCTAGCTCTGCTTTCTCGCTGCATTTTATGGCACATTTGGTTGATCGTTAAAGTCGAGCGTCGACTAGGTCCCAGCCAACCCCCGGCCCCTCCAATTGACGTTCAATTAACGTTTTAATGTGCAATTACCAATGTCTTCGCAAGTAAAGCTGTGCATTTGAACTAATTACACACGTTTCTCTTTTACAGCTGACCCAATGTCAATGGCCACAATGCAGCTGCAGTCAATGGACGTGGAGCAGCTGGAGCTGGAGACGCCGCCGCTGCCCATACAACCGCCCCCGAACATCAATGCCAGCGGCATTGTCTACGGCTTTCGCACACGCCACTTGTCCTGCATCGAGGAGAACGATTCGGATTCCCTACACGGATCATCCATACCGCGCGCCTACGATCTGATGCAGCAGGCAGATGAAACCTTTCAGAAGCTAAGCGCTGGGCATGGTTACGCAGCTGAAGAGGAGGAGGACGAAGAGGGCGAAGATGAGGAGGCGGAGGAGGAAACGGACGATGATGATGCGCTGGACACCATTGCCATGATTGATGAGTCGCGTTTGTGTGATGCCGACTATCTGGACGAGCTGATTGCCGTGGAGCAAACGCAGACAGAGCTGGCCGACTCTGGCAATGTGGAGGAGGAGGACTTCTGGCAGCCAAACTTCAATCGCAACGACATCATGATGACCTCTTGCTATGGCACCCTGAACAGCTCCTTTGGCAGCGACATGTCGGCCGTCGCGACGACGCCCAAGAAGGCGCCCGAGCCTCTATATGCCACGCCCGAGAAACGTCGCGAGAACAATCGCAGCTTCGACTCAACCTGCGCCTCGCAGACGAGCTCCATTTATGGCGGCTCAATGAACTCCTCGCTGGATCTCAAGTATATGATGAGCGTGTCGCTGTGCGCCGCCGGCGCCAATGGTGGCATCAACGGCACGAGCACATTACGTGGCGCCTCAGTGCCACCAATGGATCTATCGCTAATGTCTAGCGACGGTGTCAGCGCCCTGGACTGGAGCTCCGCCAGCGTGACTTGTGTTCTGGACACTGGGGACGGCAATCCCGCCGAGGAGCTGGACGAGCAAACTGCAGCCAAGTGCATAAGTGCAGCTGAGAGCGGTGAGTACTAAGGCATCCAATTTTTCAAAGACTTTGTTTTAAGGTTTAGAGATCAATTTAAATTAAAGTAATTGTGGTTTTTATTGCTACCCATTTAAAAAAGTATATATACAGGTAGAAGTAGTCATCTTTGACGATTACCATCAAGCATAGAGTCGATCTCAGAGATTATAAGAAAGAGAAGCTTAATACAAATTAAACAAAAGAACGTCTTTTGTGTATGTATAATTATAAAACCTTGCCCCATTCCATGAAATCCGTTAAATTTCGATTTCCTTCCTTGGTTTTTTTTTATCGTATTTCGCAGTTTAGGGCTGGAGATACCTTATTTGTGTTGAGTTAGCCCTATTACACTTTATGAAGACATAAGTTCGATTTTTAGAATATGCACTCATTTATTATTATCCTTAGATCAAGAAAAGAATCGGAGAAAACCACAAGAGTTAGTCAAGTCTGAAATCAGACTTTAGAGTTACATTTTTGTACAGTTCCAGGTGCAGGCTAGAGCTCTTTTAATGCCATTCAATTTTGACAAATTCTTAAAAATAATTTTAACTAATATATAAATTAAATAAAGATAAGAATAGTGAAGCTCGTAAATGCTGAGTTTGATAAAAATATCTTGAAAAATGTCTTGGCATCCGAAAACCTACTTTTCGACCAATCGATTCTATGACAGCTTTGTGATATAGTCCTATCCGATCGGTTCAGGCATATGTACTGCCTGCAATATAAAGACAGACTAATGCGAAGCTTCAAGACGATAGCTTTAAAACTGAAAGACTATTTCGCATATAAGCAGACAGGCGGACGGACGGACAGCCGGACATGGCTATATAAGCTGATACTGATCTGGAATATATATACTTTATGGGGTCGAAAATGTGTTCTTACATGCGTTACACATTTCATGTCAAAATTGTAATACATACCTTCTACAAGGGTATCAAAATAGAGTTTATATATTTATTTCCCATGCCCTGTTTTTGCCTTTCGAATTGCAATCCATTTTAGTTCAATTAGACTAGTTAAAATTTGAAATGACTAAATTAAATTTGGACAACGTCGGCAATTAAAAATGTTATTAACTAGTAAAATGGCATTATTTGATGAATTTATGATCGCATTTTTTCCGGTTGAATATCACTTTGACCCATTTGGTGCACTTTCCTATGCCGATTGGCAATAGCGAGGCAATCCATCAATGCATCAAGACAGTTAACCCATTTATAATCCTTCATTACCGGACAAATACAAGCAGCAAAAAGCTTTTAATGACCCAGTCGCAGCGAGGGGCAGACTCCTTTCAATGCTCGGCATTAGAAAGGTGGCCCGCAAGGCGGTGGCTGACCCCCAAAACGAAGCCATATTCATAGCCACATCAAAACCAACATACAAAATAGCTCCATGGACATGGCGGAGCGAGAGACAGAGAGAGAGCGAGAGAGAAAGGCATAGTGAGTGAGGGAGAGAGATGCAGTGAAAGCCATCAGGTTGCCAGGCAGCCCATTTCGCACAGATGTTTAACAGGCCAGTCAGGGTCATAAATCATCGAAATAGATACATTCATACTTATATCTATCCATATGCACATATATATTTATATATATATTTATATATCCTTCAATCGGTTGACTATCCTCGGGTGAAATTCGAAGACATTGACAGTTTCTAATAAGAAAATTGTTAAGATTTATGCCGCAGCCGGCCGCCCCCGATCGCCGCGCTACGCTCGATCATTTTTAATTTAAAACTAATCAATAAAAAAAACGGCATAGAATGCAACAAATCCATTCAACAAATTGCAAAATGATGCTGCAATGTGCAATGTCACAGTAATTTACGTGCCATTCCGTGCCAAACTGGCAACGACCACAGAAACTGATGAAAATTTATGCGAAGGGTTAAATGTCAGACTTCTCAGCGCTGCGCACAGTGGCACCAAAACATGAATCTATTATTAAACCAAAAAGGCTTAAAAAAAAGTAATTTTTGTTGATATTTCAGCTAGATCGAGGTTAAGCTTTAGAATTTAGACAAACAAGTTCTGCCTTACTTTTGGGCAATATATTTTGACTAAAGTCGTGAGGCTTAAATACGAACCATATAATAATCTAAACTCAACTTTAATAAACTATTTAAAGAATTTTTTCTTTTAAGTTAGCTTATCTTCAGTTAGTTTACATAAAGATTCGAATTCTTTCATTTCATAATAATTTTTATGTATTTTTAAACCTAAAACTCCAATTTCCGTAGCTTTTATTCTTTCAATTTGATTTGAAAATCAAAATGTTCAATTCAAGGCATTGACACTTTTTAGGCTAATTCTCATTACTGCAAATTTAATTGTGCATGCCCAATTTTGTCAATATTTTAATCAATTATTGCCCACTGTGCGCTATTTCCATCCATATTCCTCACTCTTTTGGCTTGTCTCACGTGCAAAAGTGAAAAGTCATGAATCATATACATATGCATCATGATCGCAACGCACCTTTGCAAACCGAATAATAATCATGTTGATGATGATGATGATAATGATGATTGTTGCTGCGTCTCGCAGTTTGCCAACCTGCGCTAGCCAAGCCAAGCGATCCGTCCAAGACTTTGTGGAGTGCCTGTGGGCCATAAAGTTACATTGCTTATCGCTGGAGAACTTTTAAAAAACACTTGAGATAGCGCTGAGAACGTGCACTGAGCCCCAGCAGCAGCAGCAGCATGACCCCCTCCCTCCCTCCCTCATATCCCTGCATGCCCCAATGCAGATAGAACAAGTAGAAACATTGTTATCCACTGTCAACGACTGCGCAATACTCTGTTCACAGTGTAATTAGCGATTAAGTCTGTGGAAATGCAACTTTTTGATTATTGAGCTTGTGACTCTAAGACTGTAAGTGTAACGGACGTGACTCGTAAACTGTGACTTGATGAGAGAGAGAGAAGGTTATGAGTAGATTATGAACTACTTTAACACTAAGAAGAAAAGAGCCGGAAAATTTAGTTATTGGCCTGGGAAGTAGGATCTAAGGCGAACAGCCTCGTTTTCTTTTTAGAAAGAAACTAAAAACAATTAGTAATTGTTCTTAAAAGTAGACAATTGTCGAGTTTTTCCTAAAGAGGAGAGGGAAGCAATAGTCTAAAAATGCTTAGAACTAATATACTCCGCTTCGCTGTGCGAACAGAGCACAGAAAGACCTAAGTACACACACCGCAAGGCACTGGGGAAAGAGATAGTAGGAGAGTGGCAAGAGGAGGGCGAGGATCGAGAGGAGCCGGTGGCAGAGAGCTGGAGTGTTGGTCGGGTCGCTTGTTAGGCAGCTTGTATCTACAAATAGACTCCGCGGAGCTGACGGCCACAAGACAAACTCAAACAAAAGACCAAACGGTAGTTGCCATGAATGGTCGGCACCGAAAACCGGTAACTGATGAGTGTGTGGTAAAAACGACCCCGAAAAAATAAAAAGAAAAACCAGAAGAAGACTGCGCTGTTGCAGTTGCAACTTTGTTGTGGTACGTGGCAGCATCCACTCGAATCTCTCGCCGCAGCGGCTATTTATTAACCATGGAGCACTCTGCACACCCAATAAAACGCCGTGTCCGACTGTTCCGAATGCATTTTGTGTGTTCGATAAGCGCGTCGGCGATTTCCCACAACTGATATATGTATGTATGTACATACATATAAGCCCAGCATTTGCATTGGCAATTGCTCTTCCCATATTTATTGCCTCAACTCTGTTGTAGATTTCAGCCTCTTTTCCATTTCAATCTTGTATTGATAAGGCCCAGGTACGCACAGGTTGGGTCGATAGATTTCCGCAGCAGTTGGCTCAAATTAATGGTTTCACTTTTCATTTAGAACAGAACAAATAATTGACTTTTCTAAAAGAAATGCATTAAAATGTAAATTAAAATTAAATCAGTCACGCTTTCAGAAAATTAAACAAATTATTGCATTTTTTTTTTTACTATTTTCTATATAATTTTAATAGTTTAATATATATAAAATATTCTTATTATTGCAAAGTATCGATTTCTATAAGTTCTAACCAACGAGTTTCCATAGCATAAAAATCGAAAAATACAGCTTCAAAGTTCGTCTTTAAGTAATACGAGTATTCCCAACTACTCCATAAATCTAACCGTAACTTAAATCCACCAAATAGACTAGCTCGGCTCGGATTTCACCATTACAATGTAATGGAAAGTCTATCGACTTGTTCAACAGTTAATCGCGTGATACTCTGTCGCCGCTGGCAGTCAGAACAATAGACCGTTATCAAATAGAGCGTGCTGCGCTTGTACCTGGTAGCCTTTTAGCTGCTAAGTAGTACAGGGGACTGTCCAATCAGATGCCACACAGTGAAGCACATGTAAGGCGCACAAATGAGGTAATTCCTTTGACACAATCTTGATTAATGAGGGACCGAGTGCGGCAGATGTTGATTTGTAATACTGTAATACACATTTGGTTTACATTCGACGATTTCGAAAGGGAAATCTGTGCTAGAGCTCTATTTTTAATTGCATGATGCAAATATAATCAATTTTTATGAGCGATAAGCTCGCAAAGTGGCTTTTTTGATAAGATTGAACTACTTTGATTTTAAAAAGTGTGAAATCGATGTGTTTAAATCATATCAAAAACAGTTCTAGTCGCCATATTTAAGTCAACTCTTCACCTAGAATCTGAAAGAAATACTTTAACATTGATTAAGAATCGGAATACGTAGAAGATTCGTTTTTCTGATATTAAGAAACCGGCTTTTAATTGAACCCATTTGTATCCGAAACTAATATATTGATTTTATCATGAATCCAATCTCGAATAAACGCAGCCGGCGGTTCGGTTCAAGGTTCGAACCAGCTTTCTGCTTACAATCCTTGGATCCGTTTTTCCACAATCCTGTACCCAGGTTTCAGTTTCAACCCTCGTTTGTTATTTAAAGAGAATCTTATATTTTATTTTTGCCCGTTATATATTGAAAGCCTTAAATATT